TAGTGTACTTTCCTTGAGCGTTCTTAGTAAAAAAGAAGTGTGTATATGTTTTTAAAATATGAAGGTCTGGTTTAAATAAAATATTTAACCCTTCAGTATTTTAATATATATTTTAAGGTACAGGGCTTTGGGTGGGGTCTGCTCTATTGCAGCCAATATCTTGGCATGTTAGCACACACAAATCTCTGGTTTATGAGACACTGGGAGCAGTTACACAGAGGGTGGGGTAGACAAAGCAAAAGCAGTGTTTAAATCGTGCTTGGAAAACATTTGGGATTCAGTAGAAGCCAAAACCATGGGAACTGGCCTATATCCTTAGGGCTTAAAAGAGATCCAAATAGGGCTTACCATGGAATGGAAGTATGCAGAGTACCACACCTCAGCCAGACAATCAGGTCTCACTTGTGTGTAAACTGGCTGTGCGCTCAACTCTTACAAATCCGGGCCTCAGTTACTTTACCTGTAAATATGCATGAGTTTCTAGCTCTTCATGGTAATAAATCATTTTAATGGGGTCTGTTGGTGAGCACAGTCTCTTTACTTACTTTCTTGGGGACTCTGTAGTGTGAAGGCTCTGGCTGTGTTTGTGGTTTGGACTTCTGGGTTCTCACCCACAATCCCAATAAGCAAAGGACCGTACGGCAATTATAAACATTGGCAGCAACATTAGGGTACCTACAAATCTCACAGGTGTGAGCTACTTGGAAGACTGGTTCATCTGGGTGTTGTGTGTCTGGACATATCCTGCAGTTTAGTGGTTGTATCAGTACTCAGAGGAACATGTTTAGGAAGACGTTGTGGATCAGTATGTGGTCTCCTTTATTCCCTAGTGGTGGCAATGGCAAGGATGCAAAGATCAAGAAAGGCTGACTTTCCTGACGGAGTTCCTGCTATCTGCAGGGTCCCTCCACCAACCGGAAGCTTTCCTTGACCTCATTGACCCTTTGGAGCCACACAATGAAATCAAGTCAGGGAAGCGATTAAGTCTGAGATGTCATACGATTTGTTCCAGGAGATAGGATTAAATTGTTCTGCCCGATTCAAAGGAGCGTCATTTGTTTATGTTGCTGTTTTTAATTATAAGACCAGACTTGTAATTAAAATCCAACTCAAGGGTTGAATTACAGAGTTAGCTTTGCATTGTATGTTAGGGTTCTACTGAAAGGGTTTTCAAAGATAAAGACAGCAAAATGTACTTCTTATGAAGGAGTTATGGATTTGAGTATATTGAGAACATTAGCATGCTAAAAAATCAAAACCAACCCTCAAGTATCAAATGTCTCGTCTCCCATGAAGCAGCAGTGGACTTCCATCTTTCTATCTTTATTTCTCTTTAAAAATTCCTAGGTTTCTTTTTTTACTCTAAAAAAAAAAAAGGTCCTCTATTCACCACCTCCCCCAATAAACTTGTCTTTAAATAGTTTCCAATTAGCCAATCAAGGTCCCAAGGGTGAGTACATCAGTCTCTTTCCACGGCACTGGAGGAGATGAGAAAGAGGTTGAGTAAGTGATGTCCTCCTCCGTGGGACTACTTAAAGTGAGAGTCCAGATGAGTCACGAGAGGCATGGGAAGCGGTGGAGTTTTCTCTTCTGAAGAGAAGGGAACTTTTCATATTTCCAGCATATTCTTAAAAGAGCATGTGTATTTCTGAATGGTTAGGTTGAAGACACTAAATTGCCATCTTCTATATCAAATATGGCTGTGTTTCGGTCATTTCAATTTCATACGTTCCATTGTTCCCCAAAGTTTTTAGAATCAAGTGGACTAATGTTTTAGACTGTTTAGGTGTGTGTCTCACCTTTAACACAAAGGATCTATTCTGCAAAACAAGATAATTAAAGCCAAATAATGCCTCAGAGAATGGACAGTGTGATGGATACCGTTCCCAATCCTGAGACAATAAAACAAGAGTAGATGTTTGCTGTGCAGCGAGGTCCGGGTCTGTGCTCTTTGCGCTAGACCCCAGTTCGCGAGCTTCGGGTAAGGGGCTGGAGGTTGAGAATACTCATGCAGATACAGACTGACACACAGACCTTCAATCACTGGTACCAAAAGCCCTTCTTTAATAGCACCATGGAGGCTTAAATACATTGCAGTCAATGGCCAACAGGTGAAAAATCCCATCTTCTGTTCCTCTAGGCTAGGCACAGCTTGTAGTAATGCTAATTACAAGGCTCTAGACAGGGAAGAGCAGCTGCAGGCAGGACTCATTAATCCCAACAGATATTTGAATGAATTGTCACTTATATGCTTCTCTGAATTAAGTTCAGAGTTCAGGTGTAGATGTGACTGAGGTCCACACAGTGTAAGGTGCAGCAATAAGGAAAAGAACTAAGCAGGACAAGCGTCTCAAGAGCTCTAAGTCACAAAGCACGTGGGGAGAGAATTCCTGTCACCTGAAGACCATTATCCCTAGTGAATATAGTCACTGGTTTGGTTTAGATTCCTGAGTCAACATTGTATTTTTCTGTTTTTTTTTTCTGTTTTATTTTTTTTTTTTTTAGAATTACACTGAGTAAATTTCGGATTAAAATGGGAACGGGAATAAGATAATGCTACCTACAACATCCTGGGTGGTTAGTTCTACGAAAGATGGTATGACGTACAGCTGCCATAAAGAAGGCAGGGATGCTTGTAAGGATCGCGCTTGGGAAAAGCTTTTTGGAATCCCTTTCTTCTAACACATTCTACCATGTAGCATGCCTAATGCCTTTTATCTTCTGCATGAAGCTCCCAGCAGTGTAGGTTTTTAAACGTCCTCATGAGCAGGTTTAAGGTTAACTAAGAGCCTTGTTGCTTGATATTCAGAGCCGGAGTCAGATTCGGTTCCAGGTAATTGGACATTACAGAGCTCATGCTGGAGTTTTAATAGACGCCAGATGAAGCTGCGCATGCATGTTGGGCTTTAGAGGATGCCCTGAGGCAAGCACTTTTCTTACTCCACACAGCTAATTTCTGGTTGGCAAAGGACAGAATTAAGATCAGTCATAATATTCCCTTGTTTTCTTATTCCTTGTACGAAACACTTAAGCGTGCAAATCCTACCACGGATTGAATTAACTCGTAGGTCTTGGAAACGTGTGTGTGTGTGTATGTGTGTAGGTGTGTGTATGTGTGTCTCTGTCCATTTTAGAAACGTATCAAAGGAGGGTTCATGTTCAATCCCCTGCTAAATCTACTCACTTCACAGAGTAGAGTGTGTGGCACTGAAAGGGATAAGGTTTGGATGGCCTTCGGGTGCAGGTCCCATTTTCATTGAGATATGCCTGCTGTTTGCTTTGCTTAAAGATTTGGCTCCATTTAGAGACTTTGCTCTTCACTCTTTTACAGATACTTCAGGATGCTTTAGTACGGCAGCTTCCACAGATTTACTGGTAGAGGAAGGGAAATGCTTTGAGGTCACTGCAAAACTGGGTGCCAGGGAGCTTAGAATTCGGGCAGGACTGAATACTCCCACTGTTTTCCTTGTCTTTCTCTACAGGCCCGGGACTTGAACGCAAACCCTCCTAACTGCGTTTGCAGTTCTTTAGTACATATCCCTGTGAGCTAAGTCCCCAGTGCCTCCCGACAAATGTACCAGCCATTGTAGTCTCAGGAAACTCGGCCATCAAAGTACCCCAAAATAAGCTTTATTGCCAGACAAATGTCATATTTGATACATAGACCTACAAAAACAAACACAACCAAAATCCATAAGATTTTCCTCACAAATACTTGATTACAAATTTACATTGTTTTTCTTTTTCTTTTACTTATTAAAAACAAACAAAACAAAAAAGCCCCCAAACATTGGATATAGCTGGTTACTACTCTTTGGTGGACACAGGTGTGAGAGGGATGATTGGCAGTCTGTGTGCGCTTTGGCCATTTCATGGATGAGGTTTCAACGCCGGTCCAGGGATGGGTTCTCTGAAGAGGAGAACATGGATGTGTGCTCTTACTGGGACCTGCTGGTGGAGCATCTTTTCAAATGGCTAAAGCAAGCTAAACATCAGTTCATTTTACAAAGGTATTTCATACACAATAAGCTATGATAAAATGAGGCATATGGTGTATAACTACAGTATTAATGAAAAATTCTAAAAAAAAACACATGGGTTTTAAGAAAACAAATAACATCAACATATATTCCTTGGCTGCGTGGCATGATTGTTTGCACATATGGCAATCCTGAAATAGCTTGTACCTAATAAATGCACCATTAATTGACGACAGCACCAAACGCGACAGAACGCCAGGTGTTCCTCTTCCGAGGAACAGCCGTTCTTCAGCTGCCTGGGGGACCACAAGTGTGCAGCGCGCCCTGGTAAGAATGAGGTGTTGTGGGCGGCACATGTGGTCCCTTGAGGTTAGGAGAAGGAAATACAGTACAGTTTGGCCTGCAATGCTCATGGTCTCACAAGCAGTCAAGGTATTTTGCTACAGAGGTCGAGTTTCCTCTACTGTTGCCTGGTGGAGTCTGGTGATGTGAAACACTGTCACGTGAGCTGCTCTGGCTTTCATCTTTGGATAGGATCAAACGACATTCCTGTCTTTTAAAACATCGATTACACTGCCCGTTCAGCTCCGTGAGACTTTCTTACGAATAGTCAGGGGCATACCAGTTGGAGGGCTGGCAGAGAAACCAAAGGAAACATCTCTTGAATGTACTGGATTTTTTTTTTTCAAAGCACCTCTAAAAGAAATAGCTCAAATTTATAAATCTAAAGAAAACCAAGCGAGTTTCCCTTTTTGTTTACATAAGTTTGTTCATTTCTCCATATATTACTGCATTAAAATAAATAAACATCTATATTTTTTTAATTAGCAACTATAGCAAAATACCCAAAGTGTTCCAGACTGCTAACAGGAAGAAAGCTCACATTATTTGTGCATTTAGTGCCATATGCTGATCTCTTGAATATTTAGGTTTCTTTTTTTTCAATATATTTTAAAATGAAGTTATATAAAAAATACAGTAACTATGTTTGCCTTTGCACTCAAATCTTTGGCCATACTGGAGCCTAAATTATCCCTCCCTGTGAGGGTCGACATTCCAAAGTCTGAATCAGGGAGGAAAGGAACAGAAGTCTTTTTTTTTTCTCTTTCCCTCTATTTAAAATTAGTCACTGACATTCCAAACACTTCTGAAGGCTGGCGGTGCTGGGGTCGGAGCTGGGACCCAAGTCTGCCAAGGGCTAATACAGTTCAATCTGCAGCTTCATTCTGAGAGCCTCCCCCAGCACCCCCAGGAGGTAGTCAACCTCGTTGTGTTCCTCCAGCTTCCGAAGCTCCTTCTTCCCATAGAGTGGGATGCTGCTGATTTCCAGTGTGTAAGTGCCGGGGGTGAGCTTCTTCTTGGCCGTGTGCAGGTAGCTGAGCCCATTCCTTTGGTGGATTCGGAAGACGCCTTCGTCATTCCCTTGGGAGATGACGTAGCGGATATGGTTGTTGAGGGGCTCAATGGCGGGCACCAGTTCAAGGATGTGCTCCTTGGAGCCAAGGCCAGAGAGGTTGAACTTCATGTTGACTGGGCTGTCCATGGCAACGCTGTCTAGGCTGATGTGCTCCACCTGGGGAAAGAGCGCGAACACACTTGAGTTTTTACAGGGCACACAGTGGACTCCAAAGCCATCCATGGCTGGTGGGTGACAGTCACAGTGGCAGGTTTAGGTTGTTCCCTGTCTGGCCATTAGCTGTCTGTCAAAGAGGCTGTTGTAAAGAGAGGTGGGACAAAGCTTCATCCCGTGGAGGAAGCCCCCCCCCCCCCCCCCCCCCCCGCAAATCTTCCTGACTCTCACCTGGCCCCAACAAGATGATTAAAGTTACAGGACTTAGGCCACATAGGTAGGTCTTCTGATGAGTTTATAGGATATGGTACTTATCACTCAGTAATTTTAAACTGAGAGACAATCATTTTGATCTGGTGTCATGGCCCCTCGTAGTTTGCCCATGTTTCAGGGGATGGCCATGTACTTGCACGCCTATGGGCACATACTGGATACAAGTATATCCAGTGGGACATTAACTAAAGAAGTGGGGAGGGGAATAGGTTGTGTCCGGAGGTTCTCTGCAGGGAGCCGGAAGGCAGAAAGGGGGGGTCCATATGATCATTACACATTTCGTACATCTGTGAAATTGTTCCACATTTTAAAGAAGAAAAGGACAAGTTAAGAAGTTGAGTCTAATTTTATCTTTTCTGGGGTCAAAATGAGAAGACTATTCAACAGTAGGTCTTGTACCCACAGAAACCATCACGCTCAAGGCTGGGCTCTGAGTTTGCAAAGGGTCTCAGAACACACCGAGTCTGAGCCAAGATGGGTGAAAGCCAGCGCTTAGGGCCCAGATAACAGGATCCGAATGTGTCAGTTGGGGTGTGAGGTAGGACTGCGCTTTAGTTACACACGCCAAAAAAGCCATAATGCTTTGATGTGGGTTTGTGCTCGGGTGAGGCTGTGGCTATGATAGCTAAGAGAAACCCATCATTATTTAGACAGAATTATGTTTCATGTACCACAAGGGGAAGGCTTTATATCTTGATGAATGATTTGTCATGATTACACATCCTTGAATACTTCAGTCTACTTAAAAGTAAATGTAATATTAACTTGTTATTTTAAAACACTATCAGAGATTTTGGGGCTAAATTAGCATAGTCCTATAGATAAGAAAAATTTCGGGGACCGAGAAAACTGAGACAAGCTGGCAACTGACACAGCCAGTTACTTGATGACTGTAGTTTCTTTTTTGGCTGTTTTTGTTTTGTTTTCGGCAGGAGAAATTCTCAGCAATATTAATTGGAAAGAGAGGTGACTTGTGAAATCATACTGTCTTGGGCCTCAGGGAAATCACCAGTATCCTTATATGTGGGTTATTAATCTCTGAGAGTTAGTAGCATGTGTCCTATAAGACACAAGGGCTGAGGAACAGATCCAAACCTACGCAGCCTTGGTCCAACCTTACTTACTGGAGGCTGGGAAGTTAGACCTCTAGTTCTTAACAAAAGAAAATTATTTGAAAACAAAATTTTATGATGGGTAAGACCTATAAGCACAGAGCAGGTGACCGGGCTGGGGGACCCACTGGAAAGTTAAAATCGACAGTGTCTTGTATATAACCGGGAAAATTCAGAATCATTTCACTTATGAATTATTTCCAAATAATTATTTCTCAAGCGGGCATCTACTTTGTGGCACAAATTAAGACAAATTGACTTAGAACTGAATTGTTGTCTTCCTCAGGGCTTTGTGTTTTACACATCATCCCAACTAATTTTAATTTTCTTATCTTTACCACACTGGATCTGCCAATGGACCCATTAACTATGCAGATAGACTGAACTGTGCTGAAGCTGAGAGCCTATAAATGGCACTGAGACAAGATGATGTGGGAAACCTTTCTTATTTTAGCAAAGCAGGGTTTCTACCCCGGGTCTACTCACAGCTGAGGCTGGCTCAGGCTCCTGCACGCTCCTCTTCTGCCTGCCGTCTTTCTTGGGGTAGCCATTGATTTTGCACTCATAGCATGCTTCCGGGGACAGGGCATTTTCCTCATCCACCTCCGTGTCCGAAGAGAGGTACTGTCCTTTGTTGAAGCCCATCCCCGAGACACAGTGGCTGTTCGTGAGGAAGAAACACGATTAGACATTATTGTCAGCTCAACAAGTCCATAAACATGGAAGCCATGGAGCAAGCACGGAACCACTGTTTCTCAACCTCTTGAGGGAATGTCAAATGGTCCTTTCATAGGGTTCGCCTGGGACCCTCAGAAAACACATATGTTTACATTATAATTCATAACAGTAGCAAAATTACAATCATGAAGTAGCAATGAAAATAATGTTATGGTTGGGGGTGGGGTCACCACAACACGAGGAACTGTATTAAAGGCTCACAGCATTAGGAAGGTTGAGAACCATTGCCCTAGACTCTTAATCACAAAACCCCATCTTCGTGGTTCTGTTCTTTACCACACAGAGAGTGAGAATTCCCCTTGGTTTGAAACAACAAAATTCTGAGGACGAGCCCTGCGCTGCCTCAGCTTGAAATCCGAACTAGACCCAAGCACGGAAAGGTAGATTTACTTAAGGACCGAAAAGCAGCACTGGACGTCCAAAGACAACGGTAAGAGAAAACTGCTGCTTCGCAAGCCTGAAGCTGGTTCTTATTGCCCAGGACAGAGATCCCTGCTTTAGAAGCTGGCATTTCTGAATTCCTATTTTAGTTAGCAAGGAGGGGCAATGTGTTGGCTCTGAAGGGACCTGTGCTAGGCCCAGACTTTTTCTGTTACATGTGATGGTATAGCAGTTGGGGGAAGGTTGGTCCATGTCCCTTAGTGCTGCCTTGTCTATGATCTCTTTCAAAGGAGATGGTCCCTATCTCTAGATTACCATCTTCTGCATCACTGAAGAACACCCCTACCCCCTGGGTAGAAGGGTGTGTGGAGCTAGCACTCAGTAACGAGTGGGAAGATTTGAAGTCAGTTGCCCAAGGGGAGCCAGCCTTGTAGAGAAGGACTGTTCCCTTCCTGGACTACATAAAACCAGAGGAGAAGAGAAAGAGATGAAGTCCTTCCTCAGAGATTGCTGGGCTCAGCATCAGAAAAAAAAAAACAAACAAAAAAACACAAGTCATTTCCACGTTGACCTCTTGCAGTAACACACGTGCTGATAAGCCTTCGTCCGGCCTTGAGTAGGAATGAATCAATTGCAGCCCTTACAAGGAGCAAGCAGTGATAACTCGAGTCCTCGGCTCTTTACAAAAGAAGTGACTCTCACTTCTGGTGCCCAAGTCCCAACACTTCTGTCTCTTGGGCGGGAAGCAAGGCTGCCTTACCCCTGTCCCACTCTGAAGTAGCCAGGCGGGCAGCCGCAGAGGTAGCCCCCTTCCGTGTTGGAGCAGCCATAGCTGCACGGGTTGTTGGAGGAGGAGCACTCGTTCACATCATGGCAGGCGCTGGAGAACTGGTCAAAGGAGAACCCGGAGGGGCAGGCACACTTGTAACTCCCCAGGGTGTTGTAGCAGGAAGCGGAGCCACAGGCCCCGGGGTTGGAGCACTCGTTCTCATCTGTCCAAGGAAAGAAAGAAGAGTTTACAGGGGAAGGGGCCTGGACAAGGAAGAGGACGCGGGGGGGGGGGGGGGGGGGGGTTGGTCTCCACGGACCTATCAATTTATAGCATAGATAACTTAAAAAAATACTGTTTTGACTGACTTCAAAGCAGTCAGAGAGTTAACTAAAAAATACTTCAAAAACACATCTTTAAAGGCAAAAACAAAAACCCCAAATCAAAACAAAAGAAAACAAAACCTCACACCACCCTTTTCCATTTTAGAAAATTTGTATTGTTTCTGAGTATGTGGGTAGCTCTTAGGGACCGATATTTGCAGTTTACCTAATGAATAATCCTTTGGTTCTCTTTAACAAAGGGTTATTTCAAACGCCATTATTTTAGAGACAGCAGATTGGTATTGCCAGGGCTTGGGGGAGGGAAGAAGCGGGAATAATGGCCGCTGGGTATGGGGTTTCTCCTGGGGGCTGGCAGCTGAGACTATTGGGGTAGGTAGGTGCTGCATGTGTCCCTGGGAGGGACACACTGAAGCCATTCAGCTGATGTGATAAAAGGGTGTGTGTCATTCTATTATCAACATTTGTGTTAACTGCCCCTCAGCACGTCCCCACGCCTTTGTGGTTATGGGAGAGGGAGTCTATGGAAAATTCAGAGCCTTTTATGAAAATATTGGAAATGGCCCTGCTTGACTCTGTTGAACTAAGACTGGTTTTAACTGCTCCGGAGCCTTCCTGGTGCAGACCGAGCCTTCTGCGAGGGTTGCATCCCGCCATTAGCTCACACCGAGCTCTTAACCGTTAAATGCTCAGCTTTGGCCCGTGGAAGCCTGGCAGGAGCACCATCACAGGTCTGTTTTCAGTTGCTGTTATCACCGATTCAAGGCCCCATGGTGCTTTTGACTTTGGAAATTATGAGCTCGCCTTTAACTGTTGGCTTGATAGATAGCCCTGGGTTTGGCTCCTTTGAGCTTTATTATAACCCAGATTTCACCCTGGGCACAAATCACATCTGGTGCATGGAATTCTTTCCATTCTTGTGACTGAACATGGAGTGTAGAGTGTCTGTGGACATATTTCAGCCGAGGTGGGGAAGCAGGCCCATCTGTGAGTATACATATCCAGGGAACACAACGATTACAGGGTGTGGGGGCGGGGACCTGCAGTGGCTCATGAGATCTCCTAGACGGAGATGGGACTCAGCAGAGGCTGCTAGACAGGAAATTGAACTTCATTAAGCACAGGATAGAGGCTACCCAAAGGGCAGGTAGTAGGTGCACTTTAATGAAATGAGCATAGTTTTAGAATTAAATGAGACAACTTAAGCGTTGAACTATGAGTCATCGAATATAAAATATGCTCAGATTACCTAATGTATGAAATCCCCAGCCTTTATTACACGCAGAGAAAATACATAAATTCTCAGTAACTTGGCTTCGTGGGACCTGAATGTGACCAGTGTTTTATTTCTATATTTGAGAGACTTGGGATTCTGCCCCAAAGCTTCATCCCCCTTGATACTTAGTTCTCACATGAACATGCCATATTTCTCTTCTAACATGGCATCTAAATTAGATTATAACTTAATGCCATGTTCCCACTATGACTTCATTCAGGCATTGGGTTAGGATGAAAAATTACCAAGAAAGCCAATTGAATTTGAATATTACGCTTACAAGAACATTTTAGAACAGGATAATGTCTCTGGAAGCATTGAAAGATCTCATATGTATATGCTATAAATATATAGCATGATAACATTGTATGTGTTTAGTAAAGTATGGCCTTGTTTGAGATATGCTGTCAATTAAAATGCCTTGCTAGGCTATGTTGGGATTATTTTTGAGAAGTTTACACTATAGAAGGAACTGAAAGCGATCAGCAGTAAACAGCAAAAAAATTTGCATACTGAAGCATTTTCTTCACGGGCAAGGGTTTGTAAGAGTCATGCATTTTCAATTCTGAACAATCACAATACGTGTCAGGGGTTGAGAATGCTACCCACATCTGGACAGTCTATGTTCTAAACGTTCTCTTGATTCCCTGGGCTAACTTACAGGAAACTGACTAAAAGTGGTAAACTTTCTAAAGTGGGAGTTTGGGAAAGGCTTTTCCAAAATGGACACTTTCAAGAGAACTTTTCCTTTCCTTGAATTGGTGGCAACGTGAATAGTACCATAAACTTACGAGTCTCCGCTTGACAAGAGTTTGCTGCCCTGACTGACAGCTTCGGCTGTGCACTAGAGGCCTCTGGGAAAACTCCTTGAAAGTCCTCTTCAGAGCCTCCTACCAATCACAGGGCACTGATACCAGCAGTCACAGAAAATCTCAACTTTGTTATGGTTCTTTTACTTATGCGAACTTGTTGCTTTTGTTAGCTTCCTGGCTGGGGCAATTTCTCTCTGTTTCTGCCAAGTATCTGAGCTAACGTTCCAACTGTTCCATGGTTTAAAGGCAAGAAGAGTGCCGGCTTTATCAGAGGCCAGCTGAATCCCTGGGAGGACCCAGAACCTTGGAAATCAGTCTCTGCTTGTCTACCAAGGGAGTGGCTGTTTAGAGATAACCATTTTAGGAAAGAAAAGCTCCTAACCAACCCTGGCAATTGGGAAGACCTGCTTATGTACTTTTGATCCCCTTTCTGGGTCTCGCTGGCCTTGGATTCTCCTGCTTTAGTCTGTGGGTGCTGGGACTGAGGGCACACGCTCCCACACCTCATCCTTGGCGGGCGCTGCTGCCCTGCTCAAGGTGTTTCTCTCCTCAGAAGGCACACGGGTCTGGATCAGGACTCGGGCAGCCTAGGCTAGAGCACTTAACTCAAGGTATTCATGAAAAGGCAATGGAAATGGTACCTAATCCTTTCAAATACCACTCAGGCAATTTCAAATAGAAACTCCACAGTTACTAGAAGCCTGTGTAGAAAGTTTTGGACTGGATGTTTATAGGTCATTTCAGAAGTGTAAAAACTTGAATCCATGACTTGTACGTGCTATCATTTCTATTTAAGTTCCCCTTAAACCCAAGAATTCCGTGTGAGATAACTTATAGAGAACCATCCTTTCGTCTTACGTTTTGCAGAGCTAACCCAGAAGCCTACGGTCCTTATTAAAATGATGGCCTTGGGAGTTTAGAAACATGGTAATCTAATAAAATTCTACACCATCTCTACTAGTCAAAACCACTATTGTCTGTATGGTAAAGAGCTTGCCAGCACTTGGCCTCAGTATATGAATGAATGTATCAGGTCCTAGGCAATTCTACGACATTCTCTCTCTCTAGTTTGCTGTTTTTACAATCTGAGAGCCCAGGCCTGGCACCCTAGATCTTTTCTCTTATCTCTCTCTCATTTCTCTCTCTCTCTCTCTCTCTCTCTCTCTCTCTCTCTCTCTCTCTCTCTCTCACACACACACACACACACACACAAATTTTCTTTGAAGGAAAAAAGGAAGTGTATTATATTTATGAAAAAATTTTGATTGGCAACTTCATTCATTGCTTTGGTAATCATCGAAAAACTTAAGTTTTACCCCTTTTATTTCCCCAGCTGCAGGTCTTTAATTTTTTTAATTAATTTTAAAGTTAGTGTATAACGTAATGGTTTTCATTTGTGACACTTGCCCACATAGAGTCATCCTCCCTTGCTCTAGATCACGGCTGCCTCTCCCTTTCCTCCCACAGAGATGCATTGCTGGTGCGGTAAAGCCCCTGGCCTGGCAGGAGGCCACAGTCGAGATAAGAACTTCACAGACCCTGTGTGCTTTCTTCTCAGCTCATTGAGCTGTCATTAGGAAATTCTTTTGAGAAGAACATAAAAGACCAAACCGAGTCAGTTCGTTTGGTCAATCGTTACACTACATTTGAATGATGTGATGTGTGTAGTAGCTTAAATCACTTCATAGACAAGAAGGCATCCTGCCATTCTCTGCGGTGTGTATGTGGGGGTGGGTAGAAGCTTCATTTCCCTTCTGATTGGTAAGGCAAGCTTCTACTCTCAAGATGTGCTGGACAGTGCAGCTATGGAGTATGTTCGAAGGGAACCAAGAAATCGGGCATATGCTAAGTGAGTTTTTGACCAGTGGTTTCCATGATTAGGACCAGTGTGAAGAATAGAATGAAATGCCTGTGTGTTTTCTTTCGTAAGCGTTTTTGTCTGGAGTGGTCAGCAGCACTTGCTGTGACTAGTCGCCTTTTCTATGTTGAGACACTGTATTAAAGCTGCGAGACAGGAGAGCACAGACGGACTGGCTTCAGTTCTTATACTTCCTGACCAGGCATGGTGGTGTATGCCTGTTGTCATATACCACAGCCCTGGGAAGCAGACGATGCAGGCCAGCCTGAGGCTACATAGCAAGTTATAGACAAGCCCGGCCTGTGTAGTGATAGTTCATTTGGATTTTAATAAATAGAGCTTGCCTGAAGATCAAGAGAGTAAAGCAGCCCCACTGGACAGTCTTACAGACCAGGTAGTGGTGACACACACCTTCAATCCTAGTAGCCACACTAGTTGCCATAGAAATGGGGCAGTATTGGTGCATGCTTTAAATCCCAACCCTAGAGAGGAATATAAGACGGGAGGAGACAGCTCTCAGACACAGTCTCATTCTGAGACTCCTGGAGGCAGGATCACCGTTTCAGACTGAAGTAGAGGTAAGAGCCAGTGGCTGGCTGTTTTGATTTTCTGACCTTCAGGCTGAACCCCAATATCTGTCTCTGGGTTTTTATTAGGCGTGCTACAGAACTATATGAGGCCTTGTCTCAAAAAGGAGGGGAAGGCTCCTTTAGATTTCTAAGAGGGTAAGGCGCAAGGAGTTCTTCCACAGCCTAAATCTCACAAATTACTGATGAAAAGCAGAAAAGCAGGGCGAAGGAAGACGTTTTTGATGCCATCCTCAGAAACCTCACAGTACACCAAAGAGAGAAAATGATTACACCTGTAGGTGATGTGCCTTTAAATACCTCAGAGACAGGTTTATCCTGGATCATGTCACAAGTACAGGGCCCAGTAGAAAAAAACCCCAGTGTGCATCAGTGTTTTTGTGCAGACTTCCCCCATCCACCTTCCTCACAGTGAGCAGGGGTGGCATGGAACCCTGGGCTGGATTTGTGCTAGGCAAGTGCTCTACCACTAACACTAAAGTGAGAAAAGTAAGTGCCCGGGAACGCTCACCAACACACTGATTCCACTGGTAGTGTTGAATGTACCCCTGTGGGCAGCCGCACCGATAGCCACCCAGGATGTTCTGGCAGCCATGTTGGCACCTGTGGTTCCCGTCACATTCGTCGACATCTGCAAAAACAACCCAAGGACGATCTTTACGGTCCCTTGTTCAGTGCGTTCCAAACACAGCCTTTCAGGGGACACACAAACAAGGCATGGCATGCAGAGAGGCTGGGCCTTCCTGCCACAGCATCGTTAGTCCGTGGTGGTGCAAAGAATGGTTATGATAAGAAACCACCTCATTCTTTGTGCTGTCCACCAGACCCTGGCACAGCAGCGCTCTGAACAACAGCTTAATTTCTGCAAATCAACCCTAGTAACCACAAATATGGAGGATTTTGAATTGATTAGCTCCATATGGTATGATTTATTTGGTAAATTATATATATATGTATACACATAATAATACACACACACATATATGTACATTATAGATTCTAGTTGATTCAAAATGTCTCACATGTAATCCTCATTGTGGGGAAGACACAAAAGCCATGGAGATATCTACAAGGTATAATGGCTTTGCATGCAGATTTTTTTTTTTTGTTGGTCAAGACGAATTAGATGCAAAGCCTTTTTAAGTCTTTGAATATGTTGTTATTTTTAGGCAAGATGTGGTATGATACATATGGAATAATTTCTTTGTTAATATATGCATACAATCTTGGAATGACAACTAAGGCTTTGAAATCTACCCCAAAAGAGTGAAGTAAAATTGGCATGTCTGATGTGTGTGTAACAAATTTACATGGATAATTAATAAACGGTATCTTATGTGGATGGTTGTGAGCTGAGTTCACACATGGCAAGCAGCTGTAGGTTCAGAATGCTTTCAATGTCTGTTGACTTCAAATACAAAATTAAAATTTTCTAAAGCAAAAAAATTGACTGAAAAATAATACAAAAGTCCTATAATTCTTACAAAGAACATTTAAAAAAATTGATTGTTTCTAGAGTTGAAAACCATATATTCCTTGGAATAACTTTGAAAAGGATAACTAACTCAATTCTATAAATTGCAATACATTCTAAAGATATAGATGTGAGGAGGCCCTCAACATTAACATAATCATCTTCCCGTACCTGAGCATCTGCCAAGGAAACACTCAAAACCCATGAGTCTTACTTATCTCCCAGTCAGTGTTCTTTTTGATTTTGGAAAAAACAAAACAAAACAAAACATTTATTTCATGTGAGGCACCGTAGGCTCTCGTGAGTAAAGAGCATGGGGCAAGGGCTTCCGTGTACAAAAGGAAGTGTGTGTGTTTTTGTATGTGATGTGCATGCATGTGTGTGTGTGTGTTTGTGTGTGTTCCTCTACTGTGCTCCCCCACGGAAATTGAGGCGGGGTCTTTTGCTGAAGTCCGAGCGTGTGGATTCCTGTCGTCTAGCTCTCCACCTTACTCCACAGAGTCCATTCTTGCCTCTAGAGCCCTGGATTACAGAAGAGGCACCATGACGCATTTACTTGGGTTCTGGTGAACTGAACTCTGGGTCTTCAGGCTGGCATGGCACATGCTTTATGTACTAAGCCGTTTCTGAAGTCCAGATGTTAAGGATTCGTGTGCACATGAACTTACCTTCACAGTTGAGCCCAGAGGCATCAAGAGAGAACCCTCTTTGGCATTCGCAGCTGAAGCTCCCAGGGGTATTTTGACAGATTCCTTTTGCTCCACAAAGTGAAGGCTGAGACCCACATTCATTATTGTCTAGCAAAGCAACAAGATGGATGGAAAGAGTCAAACATTCTGGTATGTAGTATGTGAACTAAATCTCTCTGCATGGAATGAGCAGATGGATACAAGCTCAAGTTTCCATTATGTGGAGAAAGCGTTTTAGACAACGTTAAGTCTGAATTTATTAGCAAGAGTAGCATAAAAAGTACATTTCTCAGGGACTTGAAACCAGAATGTATTTTAGAGTTATTAGAGGCACCACTTTGGATAACATAGACTAAGAATCTCTTAACATGTGCCTTCTAAAATAAAACTGAAAAAAACCCAGTATTTTTATATTATTTTTATATTAATATTAGCCTTTTATCATATTTTATCTGAGCATCACAGCAGTACGGGATATGAAATTGAAGCACTGCCTCCAACACAAAAGTGTGTTGAGGGCTTCTGCATCTGACGCCACAGCTCAGGACATTACATGGAAGCGCCGCACAGTGTGCCCACAGCACAGATGCATTCACGTTCCCTACAACTTCTTCGGACCAGACTGCGCTGTGGCCCTGCCCCCACCAGACATCTGCAAATTACCTCGACTCTCATTTGCCTTACCGATGCAGGCAGTGTGATGCTGGGTGAAGCCGGGGGGACATTTACAGGTGAACCCCCCGAGGGTGTTGACACAGAGGAACTGGCAGTTGTGCTGTTTGGTTTGACATTCATCGAGATCTGCAACGACAGAGAAGTCCAGCAGGATCAGCGGGGCTGTTCAGTTATGAATAATGTGGTCTCATGAATCCACAGGAACTGTGCGTTTTCTCCGGGGGTGTTTGGTTTAAATTTCAGCTACAGTCTAGCAAGGTTCACGTATGCTTATTAGGAAGGGTTTGAATGTGCATATTAAACATGCCTAAGTGTGGAAGGCTACCAGCCAGGACAGGGTGGCTAAAGGTTTTTAGGGCAAAGCTTTCTTCTTCTTCTTCTTTTTCTTTCTTTCTTTCTTTTTTTTTTTTCCGAGACAGGGTTTCTCTGTGGCTTTGGAGCCTGTCCTGGAACTAGCTCTGTAGACTAGGCTGGTCTCGAACTCACAGAGATCCGCCTGCCTCTGCCTCCCGAGTGCTGGGATTAAAGGCGTGCGCCACCACCGCCTGGCTAGGGCAAAGCTTTCTTAAAGTAAGAACTGGATGGGCAAAACATAGCAAGTCCACCATTTTCAAAGCTAACATGGAAAAGCAGTCCTTGTATTTAATGTACTTTAGGACATGGATGGTTACCTATTAAAGGGACTACTAAGTAAAAAGAGAGTTTGGAAATGGAGGAAGGCTTAGCAGATTCAAACGGGAACACCATCACTAAGATGAGAGGAAACAACAACTTAAGTTTCTGCTGGGCGTGGTGGTGCATGCCTGCACAAAAGACAGTAATAAACCCTAAACCAGAGCCAAACAAACAAAAAACAAAACAACTGGAAATTTAGAAGTAATGTCTGGACTCTTCTTATAGGAAACTCAAGATCTGATTTTGGTTTGAGAGAAACTTAATTTGGGAAAAGCAAGTTCCCTCTACAGCGGAAGGTATGAGCTCCACACATTTTATAAACACTGTGAAAAGTCAGTTCACGCAAACCATTTCTCTAAACAGGGGCAGGAACAGCCCAGAACTTGCTGCTTTTTCTGCACTTATTTTTTTTTTTAATATGGGTTGGAAACAAAACCTTGCTTGGCAGAAAATACCATCTGTTCACTCCATTAGTATCATGATTGGGAGGGTCCATGTAAAATCCAACACAGTATGGCACTGAAGCCATTTTTAGTGATCACGTTTAGCATGGTAATTACTTTTAATACTCCACGGAACGTGACCCACACACTGACTTTTCTCCGTTCTACAGGAAATGTCAGTGTAACACTGTGGAGAGATGAAGTCAGACATAAGCAGCAACAGGAATTCTAATTTCTCATGCATTGTTCCAACTCTTGCTTCAATATTTTTTTAACTAAAAAGTTACCATATGAATGCATGGATTATGCTATTTTCATACACATGCATCATTGTAATTTTTCTCAAATTTACCCCCATTATCTCTTCTTGTTTTTCCCTCTTGCCTCTGACCATATCCCAAAGAGTGTTCTTCAACTTTCATGTCATGCATATTTTCTTTTACATTTTTATTTTAAAAGTTTTTAAAATTGGTATTGAAGGCGGCATACAAAAGCTTAGGTTTCATTATGGCATTTCTCCACTCCTTTAACAAAGTCTAGAGTCTGTATATGTCAGAAAACATGGTATTTCCATTTCTGAAGTTGGTTTATTTTGCTTAATGTGATGACATCGAGTTCCACCCTCTTTTCTTTTGATGTAATTTTGGGTTTTTTGGTTGGAGGGGAAAAAAAAAACAACCACCATTATGTGTGCGTGTTTGTGTGAACACGTGCAGACATTTTGTGTTTTTTCTTTTTTTTTTTTTTAATTTCTAAGAAGTGAAATACTGTGACTTAGATTTTAAGGTCCTCTTTCTTCCATAATGGGAGGCCTGGTGCAGTTTTCTGTGAAGCAGGGTTTTAATAGGGGAAGTATAAGCTACGACTCTGATCACTAAGATGCAAACGTTACTGAAGAAACAGACAAGGGTGGCCGGCTCCCCTCACCTTTGCATGTCTTTCCGTCCTCCTGCAGGACGTATCCCCGGGGACAGGAGCACTGATAGCTGCCCTCTGTGTTCTTGCAGATGAAGTTGCACGGTTTTGGAGACTGTGAACATTCATCAAGATCTACGGGGAAGGAGCATGAACATGAGAGCCCTGGTTACACGAAACGGCCAGCCCTTCTCCCACCTCCACCTTCCCACTTCATCTTTCTTGATTTTCCTCTGCCACTTACAGTGGCATCCAGCCAGAGAAAAACAACTCTTAGAACCGTTTCCTCTAAGGTAGCAGACTGGCCTACTGTGAAGATCAATGCACACATCTTGGATAAACCTTGTAATGTCTAGACAACTGTCTGGGTTCAATTTTTTTTTCCTTCAGATTCATTAGGCTGGCTTAGGCCCTGGAGGCTTCATCAGTGGCCTCTCCCACCTTGCGCCTTCTGGACATTCCCATTTCTTCACTGTCTCTCCAGAGTGGATTTATTCTGAGCCACTGGCTCCCTGTCGCTGCCTCTCATGGATGTCCAATGAGTGCTCTATTCACCCGTCAGCCTCTCATCACCTTTCCCTCCTTTTTTTTTTTTTTTTTTTTTTTTTTTGGCCTTTGTAGAAAGGCCATTCACAGACTCACTGCTAAGCCATACTGAACTGTCCTTGCAGGGACGAACCACCTCTTTACTGCCAGGTCTGGGACTGACAGCTGGGAATCTCTATTTCCTCCACAGAGCTCACAGGATGGAGGACTTGACATGGAGAAAGTTCTCGATTAGCAACCTGCTCCTGGCTCCTCCTGTCTGCTGTTTCTACTGCATGAGTCAAATGTGTACGAGGGGTCAGTTGGCTTTTCCTAAATCCGATGTTTGTATGCCAGGGACTTGTTACTAAAATGGGTAATTTAAGAGGATATTGCAGAAGCTGAGGAAATACAAAGAAACTAAGAAATGCTTGAAAGACAAAAAAAAAAAAAAACAAAAAACAAAAAAAACACCTAGGGCTGATGAGAGAGGGGGAGTTGATTGGGGAGGGGGAGGGATAAGGGAGGCGGTGGCGAGGAAGAGACAGAAATCTTTAATAAATAAATAAATTAGTAAAACAACCTAATTAACTAACTAAATAAACAAATGAAGGCTATTCTCTAGCTTTCCTTTTGCCACAACATGGTGTGCATCAGACAATAAAAAATAAAAATTTAAAATAAGATACATTGTAGAACAGCCAAAAGATGCTGTAACAAGACTGCTTGCAAGGAGAGATTCTAGATGATGCCTAGTTGCTTCGTTTCATGAAAACTGTAGAAATGCATCTGTTTCACACACAAACACACCGGAGTCACAAGAGAAGACTTTTCCACCAATTACATGCACATTTGTAAATTTTAAATTAAATATAAAATGTTAAAAGCACATTTTTCAATATTTATGTTTCCCTGACGACACAGAATTCGAGATGGAGTGGACCCCATGCCCCACACAAGGAGACGAAAGGCAAGAACACCATTGTTAAGAACAGCACCCTTGACAAGTCCAGCATCCTTTAGGGGAAGCGGCATAGACAAGCACTCCACTGACTGCACCTGGTCTGGAGGAAGCAGGAGTTGCCAAAGCCCTTTTTACAACCTCCTCTTACCTACGCAAGCTGTCCCGCTGATGTCGGTGGTGTAGCCAACCTTGCAGAAGCACCGGAAGGTGCCCATGGTGTTGACACACTGGCCATTAGAGCAGAGGTTCGGCATCACCTTACATTCGTCAATGTCTGCACAGCAGGAAATAAAGAGAAAGGAAAAGAAGTTTATGTCTGAACAGTGGGGGCGACCGGAAATGAAGAGGAACGAAGGACAGACTGAGGTGGCAGTGAGCACCACAAAAGTTCCAGCGTCCCTTTTCATTGTTCAGGGAATGCTATGGGGAGGGGAACAAAATCACCTGAAGAGCTGGGGAGAAATAAATAAGGAAGGCCACGCTGCAGGCTTATGCTGGACTGTTTATCCATTCTGTATTCTGAGTAGGAGTTACTATTTTTTTTTAAATATGTATTTCAGGAAGCTACACTATACAGATTTGGGCCTCCAGTTCCCATCTGCCTTAGATCAGAAGAAAGGCTGCTGTTAGCAGCCAGGCTAACAGAAATGTGAAGGAGAAATCCTATCATAATTCTATCTGAAATACTGATGCCTTTATGTGTGTTCTACACATATGAATCACAAGAATATTCTTGTGTAATGTTTTATAGAGGTGTGTGTGCATAGATATGTAAGCACCTGTGTACAGGTGTGTGTGTGTATAGATATGTAAACACTTGTGTACAGGTCTGTGTATAGATATGTAAGCACTTGTGTACAGGTGTGTATAGATATGTAAACACTTGTGTACAGGTGTGTGTGTATAGATATGTAAGTACCTGTGTACAGGTGTGTGTGTGTATAGATATGTAAGCACCTGTGTACAGGTGTGTGTGTATAGATATGTAACCACTTGTGTACAGGTGTGTGTGTATAGATATGTAAGCACTTGTGTACAGGTGTGTATAGATATGTAAACACCTGTGTACAGGTGTGTGTGTGTATAGATAAGTAAGCACCTGTGTGCAGGTGTGTGTGTATAGATATGTAAGCACTTGTGTACAGGTGTGTATAGATATGTAAACACCTGTGTGCAGGTGTTTGTGTATAGATATGTAAGCACCTGTGTACAGGTGTGTGTGTATAGATATGTAAGCACTTGTGTACAGGTGTGTATAGATATGTAAACACCTGTGTACAGGTGTGTGTGTATAGATAAGTAAGCACCTGTGTGCAGGTGTGTGTGTATAGATATGTAAGCACCTGTGTGCAGGTGTGTGTGTATAGATATGTAAGCACCTGTGTGCAGGTTTGTGTGTATAGATATGTAAGCACCTGTGTACAGGTTTGTGTGTATAGATATGTAAGCACCTGTGTGCAGGTGTGTATATATATGTAAGCACCTGTGTATAGGTGTGTGTATAGATATGTAAGCACTTGTGTACAGGTGTGTATAGATATGTGAGCACCTGTGTACAGGTGTGTGTATATATACGTAAGCACTTGTGTACAGGTGTGTATAGATATGTAAACACCTGTGTACAGGTGTTTGTGTATAGATATGTAAACACCTGTGTGCAGGTGTGTGTGTATAGATAAGTAAGCACCTGTGTGCAGGTGTGTGTGTATAGATATGTAAGCACTTGTGTACAGGTGTGTATAGATATGTAAACACTTGTGTACAGGTGTGTGTGTATAGATATGTAAGCACCTGTGTACAGGTGTGTGTGTATAGATATGTAAGCACCTGTGTACAGGTGTGTGTGTATAGATATGTAAGCACTTGTGTACAGGTGTGTGTGTATAGATATGTAAGCACCTGTGTACAGGTGTATGTGTGGAAGCCAGTGGAACTCCCTGAGTAGGCCAGGCCGCCCGGCCAGTGAGCTTGTTTTCACCTCCCTACCACTCCTGGCCTTTCAAAACGTACGTGCTGGGAATCTAATTCATGTCTTCATGCTTGCAAGATAAGCACTCCACCCAATGGAGCTATCGCCCCAAGCCACACTGCACAGAATTTAAGAGATCTCTTCCTACACCAAATCTATGGGAGACTTTATCGCCCTCACTTGTCAGATGAGGAGAGGGGAGCACAGAACTAGGCTAAAAGTAAATGATGTCCTAAAGAACATGGCACAAACTTCTCCGATCCCAAAGGTCATGGTGGCTGGTAACCTCCTAACAACCTTTGCCTTGTTGAAAGAAATGTTGGCCTCCTGTGTGTAGGCAGGGATTCATCCTATTTTCTGGATCCTTCCATACCAGTAGGTTTCATAATGAAGATCATTTTTGCACACTTCTTTTAAACTAATGTGGGTGTATAAAATTCACTGGTCTGATACAGTGCCCCAAGTCCCTCATCACACTACCTCTCCCATCAGTGGCATATCCCGGGCCATGAGGACAAATCTTTTTGTACTGGGCGGTTCCAGGAAGCGGACACAGCTCACACTGGTGGCCCCAGCCTCGTCCACCGTCACAGCAGCATTCTGACTTTGTGACCAGATTGCGGCTACTGGAGGCCATTTGGCACATTGTCTGCAGGACTTCTGCGAAGCACAGGCCCTGCCGGTTGTCTGGAAGAGACACAAGCAAGACACGAGTCAAGGTCAGGAGCTGACAGCCTGGTTTTCAGTGGACGATCATCCTCTCCTCAGCCACAACCTTCAACCCTGAGAGTACTCATTTTGTGCCAACAGTCTACACTTGGTGATTGTAAAGTTGTGTTGACATTGCACCCCCGTGGTACTTATACTAAAAAAGATGATCAAACTTGGCAAAAGTTCTACAACGTGTACTCTTTTCAATTCAACGAAAGAACATCACATATATGTATTTTCTTTATCTAAAAGTAATGACAGGTAGGGGTTGTAAAATATATTCAAGGCTATGTTATGAGCGTGGCGCTTATTCCACTATTTTCTGGTGTTTTCTACAGCAAAAGGACTCAGTACATTATAGATAGTATACTAATATAAGTAAAAGGGTTTCTTCTTCAGTATGGCTTCATAAGCCAAGTGTGCCAGTGAAACTGTCGTCTGAACAGAAAACAGTATTCTTTGTAGAGTATCTTTACTGTTTCCTCAAAGACTTAACAGTGAATGTCTAGAATGGAGACAACAGGAACTAAAATACATTGTCTTAAGTACAAAAACCTCCCTAGGGTTGGACGTAGCCAGTTGCTGCCCCTCTGACGTTTGGCCCCATCAAGCCCCTAGCCAGTTGATCGCTCTTCCTTATCTGGTTCCTACAAGCTCGACCACGCCCTCCTTTTCCAGCTGCCCTCGTTAACTGCAAACGGTTACAGCATCGCACATATTTCAGCCTTGGCTTAGTGTGATGTCGTGCCCATGAGGTCTAGGTTTTCCACGAGAAAATATTTCTGAAAACATTTTCTCTGGACGGTAATATAAAAATTAATCTCTGCTGCATTTTTGCAATGTGGCGCTTGCTTTGCATTGATAATGTGAGGGCAGAGCTTACCTCACACTGCAAATATTTTCTTTGGGAATTAAGTCATTTCCTCGTGTAAGTCTTACTAAAGTCACATTTTCCACAGAGCTTCATTAATCTTAATTTTGGAAAGACCATTTCAGGTTGTTATTTACATTACATATGCATGCATGGCAGAGGCATAGAAATATATCATCTTAACAGACGCATACCTATGGGGAGAGGCATGTAGAGTACTGTGCTTATGAGGGCCAATGGACAAGAGTACATGCGCGGAGTTGTTCTCTGATGACATCATAAACATGTTCTGCTTACCAAGGAAAATATTCATAGATCCGCTTACCAAGGCATTCAGTGCCTGAGGAACTTGACTGGAAGCCTTCATTGCACTCACATCGGTAGCTCCCAATGATGTTAATACAACGCCCATTTTCACAGATGCCTGGCTTGGTCCTGCATTCATTTTCATCTTCACAGGAAAAAAAAAGAAAACCAATATGAGCAATGAGCAGCTTGTAAAGCCATAGTTTCCTAACTTTCGTCCAGTGGTTACATCTCATTGAAAGCTCCTTGACAAAATACCAATAAGATGGGATAGGTCACATCCCAAATGACTGAGGCCTATGACTATGGCACCCAGCATGCCTCATCCACCCAGGTAGTTCCTGCCCCTGTAGAAGAGGAATGGAGTTCTTGTAGAATCGCAACAGTAAGGACAGCCTTTCCCCAAGATGCCCCACCAGCAGAGGAAGAAAGCGGTGGAGAAGGACTAAAGTCTGCAGGTAGAGAGATGGCATCTAGAGATGGTACTAACCAGGGATGAAAGCTTGTTGAGTGAACCCCCAGGGCCAACTGCGGCCTCTGAGGGCAGGTAACAGGACAGAGAAATCAGGGAGTAGTGCTCTTTGGCTTGGTGACAAATGAATAAGTAAAAACAAAACAAAACAAAAACCCAAACAAAACAAAAACCCAAACTTATTTATAAAAATTCCCAATATCATTACTGGGATTTTGTAAAATGCATTTGATGATTTCTCAAAGCTGTTTTCAACATAAGGGACTTTATGACAACTTTATTGTTTTGGTAAGTCCCTCCTTCTCTTTTACACATTTTAATTTTTTGGCCCTGAGTTTTCTGACATATTTTTCCTGCATTCTTTTTTATTAGCATTTGCCTTGAATATCTTTCCCATCTCTTTCTTTTCAAGACATCAACTCACCCTTTGATTTAGGTTTCTTACAAAAAGCGTTTAACTGAACTTAAAAAGAATTGTAAAAATGCATTCATCTTTCATCTAGCAATTGAAACCATTCATACTTATGATTTCATTCTTACCTGCCACTTCATATGTCTTAAATTATTCCATATTTACTATGCTGTTGCTCCATTCTCTTAACTATCAAATCCATCTAATTTTTTATGTTTTCCTTGCATCTCCAGTCCAGGTTTGAAAATTACCATGTTTTTTTCACTCTTCTAGCAACAGCCTTTAAATGATTTCAAAATGTTCCTTTAATGAATTTCCTACCAGAGCCAAGGAGAACTTTTTATCTTTTCCACACCATATATTGAATCTGGTGCCCTGTGCACGCTAGGTAAATGTTCTACACTGCTCTATTCTAGGCCCCTTTATATTTGGAGACAAAGTATATTCCCAAATTGTCCACACTGGCTTAACCTGGCTGTCGTCTAGGGTGGATCTGAATTTGCCATCCTCTTGCCTCAGCCTCCTGAGGTCTGTCCCAATAGCGGGATCTGTTCCAAAGTTTATAGCCAGTACATTGTATTCTGGTTGGACTGCTAAGTTACTACACATATGTTATGATTGTCTCTTGGATTAGATTATAGAGCTGGCTAACTAGTTTAGAAAGGGCTTGTGGATATGAAATAAATTCCAAAACAGATGTTTGACAATGCCTTATTTTGATTGTTCTTAAATCCCATTGTGTTCAAAATTTTAGATCAAGATTATTTTCCTTTGAACATTGTGAAAATAGTGGGCTATTTTCTTTTGCCTAGCATTTTTGTTCATTGGAATGGAACCTAGTTTTCTTTTCTGGAAGTAATGAATATTTTTGTTTTGTTTTTAGTGTGTTCTAAAACTCACAATGATGAGACTTCCTCTAGATAGTCAGTTTTAGGGAAAACACTGTTATTATGAATAATTCGAAAGTACTTACAAAATGATGATCTGAATTATGAAGTATGAATTTTCTAGTTTGCTGTTTCTACAATCTGAGAGCTCAGGCCTGGCACCCTAGATCTGACCTTTTCTCTTATCTCTCTCTCATTTCTCTCTCCTCTCTCTCTCTCTCTCTCTCTCTCTCTCTCTCTCTCACATACACACACACACATACACACACACACACACACACACACACACACACACACACACACGGGGTTTTGAGACAGGGTTTCTCTGTGTAGCCCTGCCTGTCCTAGAATTCGCTGTGTAGACCAGGCTGACCTTGAACTCATATGTCTGCCTGTTTCTGCTCCTCCCACCCCCAATGCTGAGATTAAAGGTGTGCACCACCTTTAATGTATTTATAATTTAATGATAGGACTTAATTTCTTCAGTAAAGCGTCTGATGGATGCCCCGCCTAGCCTAAGCTCTGGCACTTGAATGACCAGTTGACGTGCCTCAGGCTCTACCACTGATACCTTGCTTTACTGCCACTGGCAATGAGAATTTAAAAGGGGGTGGGGGAGATGAATTCCCATGGCTGCTGACTGCTAACATCTGTAGCTTTTAGAGGGTTGTCTTAGTATGGTGCTACACCACCCGCAACACCTTGATTCCCAGCCTCCACCATCTCCCCTTGGACAATCTCTGCACACCGGAACCACCAACTGTTGCCGTTTCCATGCCCACTGCTCTCCCTGTGCCCACTCCCTCTTCCTCCGCTGTGTCTAACCCACAGCGGGGTCACCAAAAGGAGAATGACGCCCCAGACAGGTCTTGTTTCATTCATGGGCCTGGGCAGCGTGGAATTTGGACTTCTATGGACCATGCCAGGACAGCCCCTGCCGTGTCTATGCAGCCGTGGTACTGAGAGGTATCTGCGACTGTCCTGCTGGGGACTTCCCTCACTTTCAGCTCCGTTCCCTTTCCCACAAGATGAGGCCTCTTTGTTGTCCACCAAGGTCAGCACTTTGTTTTGCCTTCCAAGATCTTACAGTTCTCCCTTCTCGGAAAATCACACCCTGGTCTACATTCGCCAGTAACATCTACCTGTTGGAGGAGGAGGCCACTTGTTTGTCCCTGCCACCCAGAACGGAAATAATCACACAGAAGCCATATTAATTAAATAACTGCTTGGCCCATTAACTCTAGCTTCTTACTGGCTAACTCTTATGTCTTAATTTAACCCATCTCCATTAATCTGTGCATCACCATGAGGTTATGGTCTACCAGCAAATTTCAGAGCGTCTGTTTCTTGGAGGCGGCTCCAAGGCTTCTTCCTTACTCTGCCTCCTATCTCCCAGCATTCAGCTTAGTTTTCCCTGCCTGTGGTCCCCTATAGCTCGGCTACAGGCCCAAAGCAGTTCCTTTATTAACCAATGGAAATCACAATATACAGAGGGAAATGCCACATCATCTACCTTACAAACCCAAACCAGAATGGAACACTTCTCAGTCACACATGACAGCTCCAGTTACTGTCACATCTCCTCATTCTCCTTGAGGGATGAAACTTGAAAGAAGGATAAGAAGGACCTATGATTGTCTGCCTCACTTCTGCCCCTCTGATTCTGGGCTTTACTGGCCTGCTCTGTCTCTCTCCAGTGACATTTCCTGGAAGGCCACCAAATCCAACCGCTATGTTGCTGCCTGTATCTTACTCTTCCAATCCATAACACCTCGAAAAAGGGACTCCCCAACTTCCTCCCCCATGACCACTTCTCCACATTCTCAAGACAGCACACCATCCCACAGGGAGGTCACTCTGTTTCCATTTCCATGGGTTTTCAGAGCTCAGCTGCTGCTGCTTCTCTTCTCTAAGATCTGCTTCCCGGTGTGCATGTCAGTTCCATGATCATTTCAACAGTAAGTATGCCATCAATTTATAGCTCTGCCTCATGAGTGTTTGCATGTGTTATAATACCAGTGGGATATGAGACACACCCAGCACAGCCCACAGTCGTTTGTGCACCTAACCACATTGGCTCTTTCTAGTCTTTCCCACAGAAGTAATGTCTTTCCCATAGTACATAATGTTACAAAAGTAACATTATCCAATCAGTCCATTTCAGTAAAAATCCTTCTCATCTTTTACGTCTCTTTTCCTTTATTTCTCTTGTCAGGCGTCCATCAGCAATCCTGGATGTTGATTAGTTATCATGTATTCTAGATCTGTCCACGCAACCGTGGCCCCAACCTGGATGATTTTTAATAGCCACCTAAATGACGTCACTACTTCTGCTTCTTCCCCCTTAAAACGCACTGCTTTACAAGGCAGCCAGAGTGCTCTAAAAAAGGCCAATTAGAGGATACCAATGTTAGCATTTAATTGAAATTTTACCATCGGCTTAGCTCTGTCCTAAATGAGCCATGACAACAATCCCCATGAGGTAAGTGGCCTCACGATTGCTAGAGGAATCTGAGACACAGTTAATCCAGTTTACCCAAGGTTACAGGCCAGCCAATGGCTTACAGCTAGGTTCTTCACATTCAGGGCACATCCCCAGCCTTACTAATAAACCGTTTTGCCTTGAGGCTTTCTCCACAAAGCCAGAGTCTCCACGGTGTCTGCACTGCTTTGGCCTTCTTCCGGTCTCCCTCTGTGCCACACTCGAGCACAGACCCCACTGACTCTGCTCTTCCTTGCTGCCACAGGTCTACATTGTTAGTGACACTTCTTTGTTTTCCATTCTATGTTACAGTTCCCGTCACTCCAGTAAACCCTGAGGCGCAGTCTACACTATCTCCTACCCAATCACAAAACCTTCCTTTCCTTAAAGAGCTAATTAACCTTATCTGACATTACCAGGTTCATTTGTTTCTTTATTTGTTCAAGCCTGTTTTTCCCAAGCCAGGGAGAAAGTGAGGGATTTGTCCTCAGAAGGAGCTGGTTTACTCTGTGCTGCCAGCACCACAAACATGGTGAATGCTTCATAAATATAATTAAACTAATGGATGACTCTTGTGTAAGTAAGGGTTTTCATGAGGCACTGGGCTCTTTGTGATGGAGATTTCCGTCTTTTTCCTAAGAATTTCTCCAAAATACTCAAATCTATCCCAGTACTTTTTATTTGCTTAGAGTAGAGGTTGCTTAGGTTTCTTTCTTTCTTTCTTTCTTTCTTTCTTTCTTTCTTTTTTTTTTGTCCTGGAACTTTCTCTGTAGATCAAGCTGGCCTTGATTTGGCCAGATCCACCTGCCTCTGCTTCCCAAGTGTTAGGATTGAAGGCGAGCACTATCACACTCGGCTAGCTTTCCTTTTTAAAAGGGATTTTATTTAAAAACTTACTATGGATACCTGTCTTCCACTTGATCATTTTATTGGTCCATTCTATATCCATATTTTTATTTGTGTTTTCTGCCATTTCTGTTTTATGAGTACACACACACACACACACACCTGGCACCTGGAGGTTACCATGAGTTCCTTCCTCTTTGTGCCCCACTCTAGTTTTTAGGCAGGGTCTCTCACTAAACCTGGCTTTCACCATCCTGACTAGTCCAGTTAGTCAACAAGGCCCGAGAGCCCCGCTCCCACCCCTCTAGTTCTGGTCCTGATGCTTGCACAACGAGCACATCATCTCCACCAACGGGGCCATCGCCCCAGTCCCCCCATTTTTACTCTGTGACTTCCAAAGTGATTTTAAAGTCCTGTGGCAGGTGCATTTCCTCTGAACTTGGCTAGATTATCGTTATATCGTCTTTTCCCCCTGTATAGTTTTAAACCATTTTGGTTTTTTATTTAACAGCGTTTCTCACATATTATTGAAGTGATTTTTCTAAATCATTTTCTCTTTCCCATTGTCTTGAGTTTATTTCTTATCTTCCTGTCTTTTCCCTACTCTGTACACACGAGTTGAATTTTGGGTAAATAGTTCAGCCTTGAATAGTTTTCTGCAGTTTAACTTTATTTGCCGAAAAAGCAGCCTAGCAGGTCCCTAAGGGAAAGCAGGCATAATTTACGGTTTCAATTCATATATTTCTTTATGAACATCTTCAATGAATCTGTCATGCTTTCTGTCCCTGGGGCACTGTACTGAGTCAGACGATCTTTCCGGTCTGAGACACAAAGTTCAGGAAGTCACTCTCTAGTGACTGCTCTGTCCCTCTGCTTTTGGCCTTGACTCCAGGAATCTTCCCATCTAGACAAGCCTGTCAATAATGAAACAGCATGGTGCCAGGCTCTCTCTCACATCTGCCATTCCAGAGACTGCAGAGTCCATCCAGGCCTCCACAAAAAGACTCCCATGTCTCTGACTCACCGTGCTCCTCATCTTCTAATCAAACTTGAAAACTGAGCTGGCTGGCTGAAGCCAGGAAGGAGAGCCTGCCTCTTAACACCGGTGTGGTGGCTGACACCTCACAGTGCTCAAAGGCAGCCTTCACAGTCTGTTGTGACTGGGTCTTCCTTGAAGTCCAGACAGCCCAGCATTCACCTCTTCCCATTACATTTCTAGAATCCCCAACCTTGAGAAGGACGCGCCTTTATCCCATCATTTGAAAAATAAACTGCCTTCTCCTAAATTACTATCTTAGACTCTTATGAGTCCGTTTTTAATCAAATCTAATGATCTCGGTATATTTTTTTTCTATTTATTAGATTTTGGCATCTGTGAATTGTTCAAGAAATGATTCTTTTATTATAATGCACTCAGAATCAAGTTTCTACCTCTGGTTAATTTTACAGGTTTTGTTTTTACCCCCTATGTCCTGCATAACATCCTTAGCTTGCCATGTTTTATATTTTTATTACAATTGACTTTTTTTTTTTCAGAAATTTTCTTGGACCCCGAAGTCACACATGTACATTTCTCAATTTTCAAATGACTTTATTTTCCATTCTAAATTCTGCAACTACTTTTAATGGTTATAATATTTTGTTATTTGTTGGGATTTCCAGTTACGAAATCATACTGCCTGCATCAAATGAAGTTTTTCCCCACAGTGTTTCTGTGGCGGTCCAAAGAGGCTTTGCATACGTTTCCACTACCAGTGTCCTGCAATGAAGAGCTGAGTACCTGACAAACCTCAAAACCAACTTCCTACTCCATAGCCCAGGCTGCCTTTGAACACGTGGTCCCAAGTGCTGGTGTCACAAGCTTGAGCCACTAAGCTGGGTCTTGGGGCTTACATCTTCTATTGCGTATTTTAAACAATAAAAAAGACAGATACAAAATGCTACCCATCAACAAGGTCATACCATACTTGACTAGAGGAGATGTCATCCTTCCCATCCTCCACCAGTCACACACCATAATGAAAATGAGGGACGAAGAATTCAACCTTTTTCGGAGCTCCCCAGCTCATCTCTAACAGTTCTAACGAGACGCTTCCTCCTGCTGTCTACCTTTGTCCCCAGGAAACCGACAGATAAATGTACTGGCTTTATAATGAGCGTCTGCTAATTATAAACAATGAAAAAGTTCCATGTAAATAAAGCCGAACATATTTCTGAATACTCTAGCTAGATAAAATTAGACTAAGCACGTACATTCCAATTTAAAACAAAAGAGAAAGTGTCTCAAGTGCAGTAACCAGGATGGTTCTTTCCTTCCTCCCCCACGTTAGGATTCTGCCCTGGGCTAGATTTGAGGAACTTTCTCTTTTGACTGAGGAGCCTAGGTTAGTCTCCTGAATTGACAGGTCTTGGATGAATAGTGATTTTGAAACGACCGGGGTGTAACTGATCTCTTAACATAGGACTTAAAAACAAAACAAGCAAACACAAACCCTAACTTTCATTAGATAAAGTTTGTTAGTTACAAGACACTGGACGCTGCAGTTTGGACACTGCACACCTCCTCAGGGCGGACATGCTGAAGGGTCTCCACCATGTGGTATTAGCAGGAGGTGGAAAGACACTGAGGAGGAGGGGGCATAACAAGGGGTGCCAGGGTCACTGCAGACTTGTCCCCTGTGGGGATTATAGGACCCCAGCCCCTGCTTCATTTCTTTGGCCTTTCAGTGACCTGGAGGAGTGCTTTTCCTCTTGTGATGTGATTCCTGGATCTAAGTTCAAAGCATGGGCCCTCGGTCATGGACCAGACTCTACAGCTAGGAACCAAAGCACCATTGTCTCTCGGTCATGGACTAGACTCTACAGCTAGGAACCAAAGCACCATTGTCTCTCGGTCATGGACCAGACTCTACAGCTAGGAACCACAGCGCCGTTTTCTCTTGGTCATGGTCTAGACTCTACAGCTAGGAACCAAAGCACCATTTTCTCTTGGTCATGGTCTAGACTCTACAGCTAGGAACCAAAGCACCATTTTCTCTTGGTCATGGTCTAGACTCTACAGCTATGAACAAAGCACCATTTTCTCTTGGTCATGGTCTAGACTCTACAGCTAGGAACCAAAGCACCATTTTCTCTTGGTCATGGTCTAGACTCTACAGCTATGAACAAAGCACCATTTTCTCTTGGTCATGGTCTAGACTCTACAGCTAGGAACCAAAGCACCATTTTCTCTTGGTCATGGTCTAGACTCTACAGCTAGGAACAAAGCGCCGCTTTCTCTCTGTCATGGACCAGACTCTACAGCTAGGAACAAAGCGCCGCTTTCTCTTATACTCTAAGTCACATATTCTGTCGCAGTGACAGACAGAGGAGAACACGTTAAATCCATGCAGAACTTAGCAGGGCACTGCATCTTTAAGATTTATACTATGTATCTGATTTAGGAATTAATTTTTGTCCAAGATCAAAATTTTTAGATGAAGTCACTCTAGATTAGAAGCCTTTAATTTAAATACCTTTTATGGGGGTGGGTAATTCCTGCTGCGAATCACGATTTCTCTTTTTTAAAACTTATCCTACATATTCGCTTGCTTGTGCTACCAACAGAAAACATAACACTTTAGATTTCCTATAAAATGACATGTTATCTTATATGGCTTTGCTCCGTATGTTCACGGTTATTTCTGTGTCAGTATATACATACATTTATCACACTCATTTTAGCAGCTATGTATTTTCTGGCATGAATATTCCACAACAGATTTATCTATGTATTCATAATGTACACTTTGGTGGTTTTGTCCATTTATATTTTGCTAGTACAAATAGCACGATATTATATGTCCTGTATTTCTTTCCCTAGGGAAGCTTCCTTTTTTTTATTTTTAAAATGAACTTTACTGAGGTACAATTTGCATGCCATAAAATTTGTAAGCATACGATCCAATGGTTTTTGGTCAATTACAGGCCTCATAACTGTCACCACAATGCAGTCTCATAACGTTTCTGTCCCCTAAAGGCACCGTGCCCATTTGCAGCCTCTGTCTGGTGTAGCTTTGAGAAGCAGACAACAGCCTGTAGATTCATTTTTAAGAAACCTTATTCTTTACTTTGGTATTCTTTTTGCAGAAACAGGAAAGTATTAATAATTATTGTTTCTCCAAAAATACCTCCATGTCCCTAGGTAGTGGAGGTTGGTAAGTTAAACAGTCCCAGTCTTAGGGAGGAGAAAGCACATGTAGTGGCTGTAGTGGCTGCGGTGGCTCGGGTGGCAGACAGCACTTTAGGAAAGAAGGACACACGGAATGACTACGGTAGTTGGGACATGCTCGCACGAGGCACATGCCTTGAAATCATAGCTCCATCACCTACCCCTTTAACCATGAATGCACTGAGACTCAGACAAGACGAGTCATGGCAGACAATGTGCTAAGCCTGCTGGACTGCCCCTGAACTGCTCTTCTCACTCACGGGAGGACACAAAGGTGGGACTAGTAATCTCGAAGCTTTCATTTTTCTGCACGAGTAGAGGTATTCCCCGGATGTTTCCTACACTTCAGCGTTTGATGTTTCAGACTCACAGAGGCTAACGAACAACAAATGCCCACAATTCCCAGCTGTGTGGATCACCACTGCGGTCCAGAGTCCCATGTGTCGCCCTGGACCCTGAGAAGATGGAGAGGGCCTTGGCACAGCCTAGAAAAGCGCTGGCTTATGTTTAGCTCCTCTGGGAGCAGTGTTAGTTCTGGCTTGGAGCAAGAGCACTGCTCAACCAGAGACCGTCCTTGGGGCTTACCTACACAGCCCTCTCCATCGGGCCTGCGGGTCATGCCAGGGGGGCAGATGCACATGAAGGTGCCGATCAGATTCTTACACATCATGCCTCGAGATTCACAGTCGTGCAGCCCTTCGGCACATTCATCCAGATCTAGAAGACATTTATTAAGATATGTATCGAAAGGAGAAAAAAAAGTAACAACAGCACATCGTGTTTAGCGGGCTGTACGTTAGTTATTTTCAGTCATTATTTCTGGTCTTCTGACCCACGTCAAGCTATCATTCGGTGTGACAGAGGAAGGCGCCTAGTCTCCTGAACAGCTGGCTCTTGTCCAGATGTGTAGCACTCTCAGGACTGGTCCTTACAGTAAGTCAGGGAAGGGTGACCTCCTCTTAAGTTAAGAGTCCAGGAGTACTACAACAGCAGGATGGGATGCTCAGGCCGGCCCATCCATAGGCTTTTAAATGTCCTGTTATCTAGGTGGGAAAACCTACAGCAAAGCTGCCACGCTTCTTTCTGTAAAGCCCTGGGAGAAAACTGCTCAGACGAAGACAAAGGTCAAAGTACAATCCATCCCAATGGCGCAAGTCAAGTTGCGGCTCTTGTCTTACCTTTACACATCTTTTGGTCTTCCCTGAGGGCGTAGCCAACTGGGCACGTGCATTCGTAAGACCCGAAAGTGTTCATGCAGCGGAAGGCGCAGAGCAGTGGGTTCTGGGCACACTCGTTGATATCTGATTAAGGAAGTAGGCATGCACTCAGCACGAGGCTCTTCCTTGTAGCCCCACCCCCAATCATCTCTTTAAAGAAACACCAGTGTGTTTGCTGGTAAACCATATAGGAAGCAGAAGGTAATAAAACTCTCACTTCTGGTATATAAAATATAGTACCTGGGCAACCCCTCCTCCAGTGAGTTAACAGCCATATGCTGGAAGAACCCCAAAGGCTCCCTGGAGTCTTAGTGATGGGTAAAAACTCAAGCTAAGAACCCACAGGAACTAACGTTAATTATGTTGGCTGCCCTCCCTGTCTCTTCCCTTCTCCAAATCTAACCTGCAGGTGACCAGTATCCTAACAGGGGCAGTCTGAGAGTTAAATGTCAACTTCTTAATATCCTGTCCAGGGGACACAACCTTGAGGCCGCCATGGTGCTTAAGAGTGAATGAGATTCTGGAAAGGAGTGCCAGAAAAGAAAAGTGCTATCCTTTCTTCCTTTCCACGTTTGCAGCCTAGGCTGTTGACTGTGCTGTGCGTGTATGGGACAAAACTCAAGGAAGTTAGCTTCTAGGTTCCAAGGGTGGACCTGAAATCTGAGCCTTCACAGGCCAATCCAGGCTGCCTTTGGGTCTACAAAACTCAAATCTTCTAAGATCAAAGCATCAACATTCCTCAAAGGAGTGTAACCCTGCCCAGAATGTATCATTCTCAGTATTCTGAGTACAAATTAAAAGTTAACCGATACAATGAAAGTCATGAAAATGTAACCAACTCTTAAAGAAAGGAGAAAATAACAGATGCCAGTGACCGAGCCACTCTGGGGCTGCGGTCAGGAGACAAATGTGTAGCTGCTGAGGGAGCTGGATGAGGCGAAGGACAATGTACTGGTGAAGAGTATAAACAGCAGAATAACACAGTGGCTATAGGTGGATATAAGTTCCTAAAACACATTCTATACATCAAAGGAAGACAACGCAATCTCAAGGCAGTATGACTTGCCTTCACAGTTCATCATGGGCCCCGGCTCAAAGCCTTCATTGCAATTGCATTCAAAACTTCCAATCACGTTGGTGCATGTGCCATTCCCACAGGGATTGCCGATTGAACACTCGTCAGTGTCTGCAAGGCAACACAAGGTGTGTAGAGTTTCGCACACATTTCAGGGATGTGAAAAAAGCACAGTGAACCCCCCTTCCTGCCACAGCGCCTCCCCCTTGGCCTTGACCAGCCTTTATGTGTGCAGAGGTCAAGGTGCACTGCTTCAAGAGGATGTGGGAAAAGACATAACATCAAATGAACAATACTCCTAGTTAGGCTTTTGTCAATTAAAAGAAGTGTTTTTTTTTTCTTATTTGTTAGTCTTTCATGCCTTTAAGGATCAAACCCAGGTCTTGCGCATGCAAGGCAAATCTATCATTGGACTATATCTCAAGGCCTTAAGAGTTTGTGTATTTGGTTAAAGGCAGAGATACTGGGAAACTCAATTGTCTAATGAGTCAATCTGTGTGGGAAAATGCAGAAGTGAAGTTTCTACTATTAGGTCATCTTGGTTTTCTAAATCTTACCACTACCACCACCAAGGCTACCCGGGGGTCCCTGGGCTAACAGGAGAATAAAAGAGGGCATTCACAGTGCATCAACCAGAGGCAATACTCACCCACACACCGGACTCCAGTGTAATCCAGGTTGTAGCCCATTGGACACTCACAACGGAAAGAGCCATCGGTGTTGATGCACTGCCCATTTGAGCAAATGCCTGGGCTCTCAAGACACTCATTGACATCTAAAATATAAAACTGCCCATGAACTTCTTCATAAGAAAAGATGTGCTAATATAGCTGTATCTACTAAACACATATCTAACATGAATGGTACATAAATATTTTTTCTTTTTACTAGAAAAACAGACATTTCACATATGATACATGCATATGATAAATGGTTCACAAACTATTAATACATACTTTAAATATGATACACTATAGGACATACTAAAACTAGCATGATTTATAAAATGGAAAATCCACCCAGGTTAAAATGTGCCAGAGCTCACCTTCTCGTGTGTCGTGAAGACTAGGGACTGTCCCGTGGCCGTATGGACACAGATCCTGGAATGCAACTACAGAGAAACAGGTTCTCCATCACTAGAGTGCTTCATTTTAAAAACTAGTTAACACTGCACAATCCATGTTTAGCAAGAGCATTTCTTCCTCTCTCTCTTCCTTTCCCTCCCTCCCTTCCTTCCTTCCTCCCTCCCTCCCTCCCTCCCTCCCTTCCTCCCTCCCTCCCTTCCTTCCATCCTTTCTTCCTTCCTTCCTTCCTTCTTTCCTTTGACTCACCCCGCCCCCTGCCTGAGTCTGAAAGTTGCTACATAGACCAAGCAGTCTTGACCTGCTGTCTGTCTCCCGCATGCTGGGAGTAAAGGCGCACACCACTGCACCTGGCCATGGTTTATTTTTAAACCCAACACTGAGTATACTCATAGAAGGCTGCCTGAGCTCCTCCTAGGGTACCACCAACCTGGGGACTCTGGATCTGTCTGTCTAACACCACGAAGTCCAAAACTGCCCCTGTCCTTTACACATAGAAGCTACCCCTGACGTAAGGACCCACCACAGGTTGATCTTGCTGGGAATTACTCTACAAGTCACTGGTGCTGATGGGAAGCCGTGGGGCCAATGTGCTGATGTGACATCTCAGAAATTTACGTAATATTTGGAGAACCACAGTCCATGATATTACAGCAACATAGGCTTTTACTTAACTGGGCATTCATTTTTGGTGGTAAGGACCGAACTCCAGCCTTGCAGGAGTTAGGCCTATGGTCTATCGCCAAGCTATACTTCTACACCCCAGTCTGGAACTTGTAAAGTCGTGTGGAGTTTCCTTTCCACCCTCCCCTGGCATCTTCTGCCCTCGCCTCTGCAGTTCAGTCTTCAGAACGCAAGTAATGCTAACATTGGAAGGAAAAGTAAGCGGGCTATGTCAGTGGGCAGGCTGTGTATAGATGCTGGTGGGCCTCTTGCCAAGTAGCCGCTTCCGGAACCACTGGTAATCCTATCTGAAGGTACGATGTCGCCCTCCACATGATCACAACAAAGTCCTCTCTGCCGTTACTCGCGCCTTCATTGTCTTTGGGGCACAGCTCATACGGGTCTCCCCCCCAGCCCTCTCTGTCGTTACGCTCACCTTCATCATCTTTGGGGCACAGCTCACACGGGTCCCCCCAGCCCTCGCCTGGCATCTTACTGCAGCAGCACTTTGCCTTGGTGGTGTTGAAGGCTTTGGGCACAGAACACTTGCCATTTTCAAAGTTGGTGAAGCAGAAACTCTGGCGGGTATCTAGTCAGGAAAGCAAAGAGCACAGCTCCTCACCGCTCGTGAGACAGACAGAACAATGTGAATACAACTAGTTCGGAGGGAACACTTCTCATGGGCTGGACACAAGGTACATGCTAGATCAGTAGTTAAGAGACAGGCCTGGGCATTTGTCACGGTTCGCTTTCATTTGCTAGTTTAAATTGATCTGCATGTAAAATGTTATTGCATCTAAAATACTTTTATGATGTGTTCAGGGATTTGTAAAATCGGCCTTAGTCGGGAAAATATTCCCACAGTCTCCTTTTTTTCCTTCACTCTCACATCAAGGCTGTCCAAAAACAACGACTTTAACATCCAGGAAGTTAAACGACGCCCGAGGCAAATCGTGTACTGATAAATAACAGCCCATGCCAGCAACCAAATGAAAATGGCAAACCAAGATGATTTTCCTTTTAGCATAAAGTCTGAACATGGTACTAACGGTCTTAACAGACTGCTCGAACACTGTCCATTAGAGACACTCTTGAGAAGTCCGTGCTCTAACTGCAGACTGTGTATTATATATTTATACACAAATATTTTATCGTAAGAAAGCCTGAGCATGATGATGCTCCACTGTCCATGTTTACACCGTCTAGGGAACATGCTGCCAGAGAAGTCACACCACAGCTTACCGAAGCACCTCCGTCCATTATCAGACAAGACAAAGCCAGGGGGACAGATGCATTGGAAGCCCCCGGGGGTGTTGGTGCAGGAACCAAAAAGGCAAATGTTGGGGTCTTCGTCACATTCATTTATATCTGCAGGACAGGAGAGTTTGTTAATCCAATCAATGTTCTGTTCAAGAGTTGAAAATATCTACTTGTCCATGCTGCAACAGATATTAATTAATAGAGGTTTAATGATGGATTTAGAGATGACGCTGTGAACATAGCTAATTTATTCTTTTAAAGTAAGTTATTGCCTTAAAAGCCAAAGATTATATCCAGTTTCAGCCAGCCGTATGCCAGAACTTCCCACCTCCAGGTCCTGTCACCTGATCACTAGGGGGCGCTCTACCCGCCTACCTGACATGACCCCCTCACCTGCCTCACAGGTACAGTGTGCTTAGCCGGCGTTTACTCATGGCCCCCTCCCTAATGCCTCCTTTGGGACTCCAATAGGGCTACCTCTGGCTTTTTAATTCTTACACACACTCAGCATGTAGCCTGCCTGTTCTGCTCCTCGGTACCTTCTACCCACATCCAGTCGCCACCCTGTTACCCTACAGCTCTTCTCCAGCCTTCAAAGAAAGGCAATAGCTGCACAAGGAATATGGGTGACCAAAAGAAAGGCCATGCAAACCACAGGAAATGGAACGCAGTGAACAGAACCACAGATGCAGGTGCTTCCGACAGACAGGGTTATCGAGGATGCTACGGTGCACAGCGACATCTGCATTTCTACGTCCTTACTGCTCTAGCATGCGGGATCTCTCCATACAAGGATGGAGTGGACACGATGACGAGATGAAATCGAATGTGAAAAGCAAAAATGATGCTCAGTGGGTGGAAGCACTCACTGTGCAAGCAGGAGGACCCACGCTTAAATCCCTAGACAATATGTTAAGAGCTGGGATTGGCCAACACATCGGCCTGTAGCCCCAGCACTGGGAAGCAGAGGCAGACAGGGTCATAGGGCTTGCTGCCTGCCAGCCTCACTCCAGGTTCAGTGAGAGACTGTCTCAAGGAAGTAAGGGGAATAACATCTGTACGCATATACATGTATACATACACCATACACATACACAATATACTTTATACATACGTAACACATATATACTTCCCACCATGCACAGACATACTAGACACACATATAGCTACCCAAATCAGACATATACAACAAATATACACCACACACATATATCCCGTCCACCACACACACACACACACACACACGCACACACACACATACTTATATCATATGCACACATACACCACATACATATACTTCTCCCCAACACATATACATGCTCAATACACATCACATACACACATATACATCATTCCCCATATACCACATACATGTACATCACACACATGGGCATACTACCCATATAACACACCAAACATACATACTAATACACTATACACACATACCACATGTACATTACACATACATATTTCACACATGCATTACCCCCCATATAGACCCCCCACAAACATACCACATAAACACATATATACTGTGTAGCCAATACAGATACTTTTAAAGAAAGCGATTGATGGACTATGGATTTTCTTTGCTACTTTGTTGTGAACTCATCCATGTGTGCACATACACAGAAACAAAAATTCTCTCTCATATCCACAAAACAAAATTTTTTTAAAGTAGCAGAGAATCTTAGGCTTTCAAGAAACTTTTACCAAGATGGTTCATCTGTGTTTATTATTATTTTGGCTAGTAAAATAAGAATCAATCTTCTAATAAACTATGCACACCAACAAGACCAATGGGGATACATACTGTCTAATCCTGTGGCCTGAAATAGATTTCATTCTGTGATAACAACAGCCCATTTTGCTCTGTAACTGCCTTGAATATGAACAACAGAGGCGTTTATCTTTAGGATCGGAGAGAGTGAAAACCTTTAAGTCAGACATATCCTCAGCAACCCTTTCATGCTCACAAAGCCTCCCTTCGAGGTCACTCCCTCTGAACGTCAATCATGCTGAAAGAACAAGTGACAAGGAGTGACGGGGATGACCTGTACAAAGGTCGCCTTCATCGTGTCGACCAGGCCTTCCGAGGCTGTACAGTGTCCTCCTGTGCTGGGAGCTGCGGTAGAAGCCATCTGCTATGACAAAGGGATTGATAGCTTCCATTTTTATGTTAGTGTAGCCTTCCAGAGAGGGGGAATGTCAGGAGAACCATCAAGCTTCCTGGTTCATATTTTCAGGAGCCTGGACACCTTTAATACAGTGTCAAAGATCACACTGTAGAAACTTTTAAAATTCACTAGGTAATCTCTACTGACATCTAGGACTCAGATACTAAGGATAATGAAAAATCCCTTGATAGCATTATGATTTCTGTCGATGAAAACAAGCCCGCGTCTCTAAGTTCTCGCTGCCAACACTACAACACAACCATTTCTGACGCTACAGTAAGACGGATGCAGGCACGGTCAACTCCCCGAGGCCAGCAGGCACGCAGGGGCTGGGTTTGAGGTTCCCACACAGCCTTTACCATTACCAAGCCTTATTCTCCCGCACACCCGTGAACTCAGAATGAAGTCAAGCCTCACCAATGCAGCTCTCGCTTTTTACTTCATATCCGGGGGGGCAGATGCACCTGAAAGATCCCTCCAAATTCTGACAGGTCCCAGGAGAACAAGAGCCAGGAAGCGCCACACACTCATTGGTATCTTTAGAGAGAAAGAAGAAGAAGAAAAAAATGTGACTCGGACAGGAGACAATCATTGCGGTCTTTTCTGTTTGCTAAAACGGTAGACAGTGTTTGATGGTAACACACGGACTCCACCTGGGCCCATTGGTCAGCTGGGTCACCATGGACAAAGATACCCTGTGCTTCTCCCCTATCATGGATGGTTTTTATGAGGAAGGCTGCCAATTCTTTTGATTTGTTTCTTCATGTACTTTTATTGAGACATAGCCTCAGGCGCTCTCCCCAATAAAAATTCTCCCCGTGACACATTCCCAACTGGTGGTTAATACCTTAGACCAAAATGTCCCTGACACAGGTCATTGTGGTCCTGCCATTTGATGGTGAAATGTGGTTAAGCTGAGTGAGACTGTGGGGTTCACGGTGTCTCACAGAACATAACGCCACCAAGATGATTGACCGTTTCATTTCTTACCGATACAGTTTTTGCCGTCTGGCGTAAGTTCATAACCCTCATTGCACAGACACTTGAAGGAGCCAATTTCATTGAAGCACCGGCCGTTTCTGCACACTTGCCCGAAAAACGAGCTGCATTCGTCTATGTCTGTAAGCAGAGAGAGGCCAGGGTCTCAGAGGGAGCGTCTGCACAGAACCGTTTCCCTAGCTGAACTCTGAAAACACGTTTGCTGGAACCCATTTCCAAAAGGTCCACACTGTGCTTCAGTGACAGAAAAGGAAAATGACAAACGTTTGGAGGACTACACCATGCAGACAAACGTTCTGAGGTCTGCACCACGCAGACAAACGTTCTGAGGTCTGCACCACGCAGACAAACGTTCTGAGGTCTGCACCACGCAGGGCCACTGCGGTTTTCAAGGACACGAACTATAACTTAGGAGATTTATAAACAGGTAAAGTCTGACAATTTAAGACCCATCTTTGATTTTTTTCCAATTGCAATGTATTTCTTTTGGCAGAGGAGAGGGGACGATGGGATGCAACTTGATTGCATGACTTGCAGATCCTTCACCTGGACACAGGATCCTATTCAAAGGACAAAGAAGTGAGCTTACTGAACACAGTAATCAGCTCTGTTAAAAAGTGCAGGGCTGCTGACCATAATGCACCATTTGCAAGGAGGATGGCAGGTGCTGGGCTTTCAGGTAAGCCTCGGGCTGATTACAAGTGAGCAAGTGAGTCATTGCCTATGTTTCCTGAAGACCGCTTTTGTGTTACAGCATCGTCAGACAGGACTCTTGGGTCTCCCAGGAGAACTACGGAACCTACAGAGGAACCCGAGCAAAGTTGGATAAAATAGCCATCTAACTGCAAATCTTTTTCACAATTGCAGAATTCCGAAGGATAAAGGAAATCAACAGGGAAGCTGGGATGTGGTGGTGGGGCTGAGCTGTGCTGATCCTACAATGGTGGACATCATTCTGAATGCTCCCCTCACAGCTCATGTCGCTACATTGTATTGCATCGAAAAGCACCCCACAGTGGATACACAACTCAGTGTTGCCTTTCTTTTATATTTACTTGGTATGTCAGTGTGTGGCAAAAACTGAAATCCTGTATTTAGCACAGCTGTGGCCCAAGGACCCATCTCAAAACTTGCTCATTGTACATTTTTGTTTTTTAACTGGGAAAGGCATACAGGCTTTGAAATGGATGGGCAAGGAAATTTCCCGACATGGACATGGGTATGGAGAGTCTGCGAGGGTTGGAGTGCTAATTAGAAATGAACTCATATAAAATACATGAAGTAACATGAGATTGAGCGTCTCTCTCTATCTCACCTAGAGGGGACAAAGAGCCTAAACTATAAATCAGACCTGCTCCAGTTATGGGTGTCCGGATGACCTTTCTCCCTGATAAACTGGGTATGTGAGGAAGGGCTCAACACAGCCCATGGCCTTGTGACTACGGAGGAAAAACTGCTGCGGGTGTCCAGAGATTGCTCAGCGGCTTTGCCTATCTTCTGAATAACCAAGGCTGAACCGACGGAAAGACTTACCAAGGCAGTCATTGTTGTGAGTGAGCTCAAACCCAGGGTAGCACAGACAGTTGTAGGACCCAACCGTGTTCTTGCAAGTCCCGTTTCCGCACGGATGCCGTTCACACTCGTCCACATCTACCGAGGAGAACTTGACGTTTAGCTAGAACCAGCTACCCCCCTTTAACGTTTCCTTTCTCCCTCACCGCTTCGTGACTTAGATGCTCCCCAGCGCAGTGCTAGGAACCCGTGGTTGTTTGAGGAAAGTAAGAATGTGAAAACGGGGAGAGAAATCAAAACTGCAAACTGATGAAAGATAAAAAACAGTCTGACCTATGGGGATGTGCAATTCTCAGAAGCAACGGGTAGAAAACATGTCATTGGCAGAAATATTGCAAGGAACAGGCTCATCTAGCAAATGTTAAAGCATTATTAACACTTGGTCAAGAATCGATAAATCTTAATTTAACAATGAAGAGTTCAGCCTCTTTAAGGAAGTAATAAAATCCAAAGAGGAGTTTATTTAGAATTTAGTCATGAGCTTTCTAAAAGTCACAGTGAGAATAGTTAGCAAGGTCATCTATGACAGCAGACAGCAAACCCTTGTGCTGGGAGGCCAGCCTGCAGGGCCACTATCCAGGGAACAGACACGGCTCCACAGTGTGTCTGAGAGGCCTGGGCTCCAGCTGACTTTATTGTGAAAGAATTGTTCATATAGGACATGTTGTTCCCATATGAATTCCAGAGTCATAAATACAAAATATGTATGTAGCAGATTAGACTCTCTGAGTATAGAAGGAGACCCCTGTTTCTCCTCTAAGCAAGCCTTCCCAGAAAGTCCACGCACATGGGTCCAGAACCAATGATATAGGTTAGAGACTTTTATTTCTTGTCATTCTGGGGCGGCCCATGATGGGAAGGTGCTCTCAGGGTGCAGTGGGTAAACTGAGGCTTTCCCCATATGCTGTTCGTGGCACAGATAGTCCATGAAGGAAATAGTTCCAGACTAGTGAAACCTGATTTTAACACTCACCTCGCCAGGTGATCCCTATAGAGTGGGCACACAAAAATCCCCTGGCCTTTCCACACAGAGGACATGCTACTCGCAAAGCACCACGTGTTAAGTTTTATCTTAAGCTTAGAGAGGACCTCTGAGTTACATAACATCAGAGGTTTGGCATTCGGTGCCACCCTAGCCTATGGCATCCTTTCCAGCTGCCTTTGCAAGCATATTACTCACCACTTGCAGCAATTAACCAACCCTTATATTGGTTACTGGGGACTTTTAAAGACTCTGGTTATATTCACGTCTGCAATTATCTTAAGAGGTAAAGCTTCAATGATGCCATTAAATCCCAAACTAGAGTTTGTATAAAAGGATGCATATCTGCACACGTGTGTGTGTTAATATGGTCATCCTCGCTACTCCTGTGCACTCCAAGATGCATTTCGTGGGTAAATTCCACCTGGCACTGAGTTCGTCTGAATGACGTCATGCCACATGAACCTCTGGAGTCAAATGTTGAGGATCACTGGACAGAAGAACCTACTGCGGCATGTCCCTGACTTGCACATTTTACTCCAAAGCCCTAAACTGTTTAGCATGGTGGAGACATGGTGGCTGCCCTCGGAATCACTGTCTTTAAGTCCCAGCCTCATGTCGATCCCTGGATGGGAAAAGCGGTCCTACCCATGCACATGGTCTGGTCTTGAGAAGCCTTGAAGCCGTTGTTGCAGATGCACTGGTAACTTCCTTGCAAATCAACGCACAGGCCATGACTGCAGACGTTGGGAATTTCCAAGCATTCATTGCGATCTAAAACAGGAAAGAAAAAAAAAAAGACACATGTTATGCATAGCTGAGTTTTATTAAGAGTCCCCGTTTTTTCACAGATGCATTTCTCTAACCTGCTAGTAATTATTACAGACAGGCTAAGAATGGACCAGGACCAGAGCTGAATTAATATAAGCGAGGCTTTGGGGTACCCAAGGCTCTCTTCATTCAGACAATGTTTGCTGGTGGACTGGGACCTCAAGGATTCTATTTGATGCCAGAGAAACCCACTGAACATCATTTCTCAAGAAAACAATTTGAACATTATGGTGGAAGTGTTTCAGCATGAGGCAGACTATCTTTCTAAAGGCATCCTTAAAATATTTTGTAGTGAGGAAGCGAGAAATCCTTGGAGAACAGGGAACCCATACGTTGCCGTATCTGGCGGCTGTTAGCCTACTGCTTACCTACACAGGCCCCGTTGGGAGAGAGCTTGAAGCCGGCCGCACACTCGCAGCGGTAGCTGCCGGGGCTGTTGATGCAGTCTGCATTGCGCTGACAAAGGTTGTCGCCATTGCTGCACTCGTCGATGTCTGAAAAAGCAACGGGTCCAGGTAAACAGTCTTACACAGTTGCTTTAGAGGTACGTTCAGGTCACCGACTTCCACGCTCAGCTCTTACATACTACAGAGGGGATGGTACAAAATCACAAGTTCCCACCGAGAAGCCACTTGCGCAGCCAAGTCTTTGGAGGAAGGACATATATTTCTCAGATTACCTTCACAGACCAGGAGCAGGTCATTGTAACTGAAGCCCGTCGGGCACTCGCAGCGGAAACTGCCGATCTGGTTGATGCACACACCGTTGGCACAAATGCCTGGAATCTCTTTACATTCATCAATGTCTGAAATGGAATGAATTGGATAAAATATGTGTTTCTGCGAAACGTCTTTACCATCTTATTTCTGTGTAGCCTGAAATGAAAATACGTATTCTCTATTCAAGTCAAATGTAAGCTGCCATAAGTGGTCATGTGGCTTACGGAGAACTACAGACCACAGTGCAGTTAGTTCCTCTGAAGAGCTTTGGAAAAATGAAGGTGATTGGTAAACACAAAAAGGAGTGACAAGAAGACCAGTGAATCCCTTAAGGAACCAAGTCCCAACTGCTAGTTGTGTGAGGTCAGCTGAATGGCTGCCGTTCATCTGACAAAGCTGTGTTTCCTTAAGTGAGTGTATTTTGTTATACACACACTCAAGTAGATTGCTTCACAGAGACTTAAAATTATATTGTTTAAACTAGGAGGGAAATGTAGACTTCACAACAGAAAGTCCATTCAGAAGGAAGTGATGCATCTGAAAAGGGATTCCGTAAATTCATAATGAGACCAAATGAAAGGGATGATATAAAAATAGACAAAAAAACTTGAGGTGTATTTTTGAAAAGAGCAACTAGCAGTTAAAATAAGATGAAGCAGGGTGGAGAGATGGTTCAGTGGAAAAGTGCTTGACATGTAAGCATAGGACCTGAGTTCAGATCCCCAGTGTCCACATAGTGGCATGCATCTGTAACCCTAGGGCTGGGAAGGAAGGGATCAGAGGTGTGTGGATTCGTGGAGGTCCTGGCTAGCTTGTCTGTGAGGGACCCTGTCACAGGAAGCAATGTGTAAAATGTTGAGGAACACATCAGATATTAATCTCTGGTCTTTAGAAATTCCTGGCATGCACAAACATGTGCACCTACACAGATACGCACAAGGTACATCCACACCCACGAACATAAAATAAGGTAGGATTTTTAGCCATGCAAGACAATGAGCATTGCAAGGGAAATTTGAACTTTTGCATGGCATGCATGGAACTTTGAGACTGTCAAGTAATTATCATACTTTAATTGCTAGGCTACGTGGATGAAGTATAACGCAATCACAACTAACACTTGGTCAAAGGCTGGAAGCACACTTTCTTGATTAACTAATCATGTTAGCTTGGAATCCAGATTAATAGATTTTGTGGTACTGATACATTTGGAGACACTTGAGTACAAACTGTGACCTATACATGCATATGTTTACACACGCATGTGTGCATTCACAACTATAATGGGAACAAACTCACCAACGGCCTTTCCTGTGTGGATGTCAAAGGTGAATCCAGGGATGTTTCCACATATAGTTTTGAAGTCAGCTTTAAAATGGAAACAAAGGCAGACACTCTTAACATTCTCAGACACATCCTAATTATCTTTACACCGCAATTTTGACCAACAAGAGCGTTTTTATATTATCCACAGCCAGTCTTCTACATAGTAATCATGTGCATTTGATAACAATGTCTGCTTCTGCAAATGATCTAGGCAGCCTCGATCACTGCCATCTCTATCATCAGCTTCTTATTGATCTGATATCAGGAGAAGGTAAGCAGAATATTAAAGAAGACAAAACTTCTTTGGCAATTCAGTTATTTTTCCCTTATGATACAAAGAGCTTTAATAATGATTCAATTCGGGCGGCTTAGGTGGCTCAGGTGCAGAGGCTTTCATGGAGCAAGCCTAACAACCTGAGCCAGGTTTTTGGAATCCATGGAAGAGGGGAAGGAGAGAACCAACTTCACAAAACTGTCCTCTGACATCTGTCCATCCATCTCTGTCTGTCTGTCTGTCTGTCTTTCTATCTAATCTACCTACCGACCTTCCTACCAATCATCTCAGTTTGTCAGAAAGCATGGTACCCCATGGAATAGCCCCTGCTGCTGTTGATTATCCTGTTTTCCAGAGAAGGTGTCATTAAAAACTGCAAGTCCTCTGTTTGGATCACACCACCAACAGGGCTTTCCTATACATATATAGATCTGTCCCAAAACCTAAGCCCTTCGTTTTCTGTCAGAGAAAATGACATTTATTTTCTCCAACCAGTAGTCTTGCTGGAGTTTCATAATGGTGAGAATGTCTTCACCTCATCTTACGGATGCAAACGGGGCTGGGCAAGGCTAACCAAACCCACCTGAAAACGGTTGCGATATTATCTAAGGTGCCCTGCCTGGCTCACCATTTCAACACTTGGCCTCTAGCTTTTTAATCCAGTTTGCTGTTTTTGAGGCTGTCGACCATTTAGAGGTGGTGGAAGCAGTCCAGAAGGGTTGATCTTTAAAGGTCACCCTTGTTTCTGCCTCCTGCCTGTGTCCTCTGGCTCTTGGTCTATGCCCTGTGAACAAGCTAAGGCCTTGAGCTTCTGCTACCCTGGACCAAAGGGCTCTGCTCACTTTTCTCCACCATGGTGGGTCATGACTTTTGGAAAGCATGAGACAGAATAAATCTGTCGTCCCTTAGACTGGTGGGTCGGTCCGTCGGGTGTTCTGTCATGATGAGGAAGAAAGTACTTGCTGCTGGGTTTGAGTCACTAAGACACTGGGTTTGAGAACTCTGCACCACTTCTCCATATCTCTTCCCCCGAATTCATTTTAGCATCCCCAGAGTGAAACATGCACACGCACATCAATATTTGGTAACAAATGCACAGTCCATTCATTTTCCACTGGTCCTCCTAGTTTAGGTTCAGGATCTACAACTACGCTAAGTTACCATTCTCTAGGCCTCACAAAGTCTAGACAAAGAATAATTTAAAGACAAGTGGTTGCTAATCTTGACTCTGTTTTCCTTCCTTCCTTCCTTCCTTCCTTCTTTCTTTCCTTCCTTCTTTCCTTCCTTCTTTTTTTTCTTTCAATGGAATATGCTCTTGTGTGAAACCCTCCCATGCCTGGCTGGAGACAGGCTCTTCTGGGCCCAATTCCCAGCATGCACTGAGCACATCACAACCGGCTATAACTCCCAGTTCTTGGAGATTCAGTGTCCTCTTCTGGTCTCTGCAGGCACCAGGCACAGAAACACACAAAAGAAAACCCCAGTACTCTAAAACCATTTTAAAATGTATTGTCATGTATAGGTTCCTTCTGTGTTGTGGGAGGAGCTGCATATGAGCTGGCTTTTTTTTTTTTTTGCAGTTTTTTTCATGAGATACTTTCTTAAAACATATTTTTTTCAAGCAACATTTCTTCATCACTTTATTTTACATATTTTCAAGATTTAATTTAAACAATTATTACTGATGTTGCTAGCTTTTAAGTTACTTTACCAAAACATTATACCTTCCATGTTGAACACAGTGACGAACAGTAGTTGCTCAATAAATTCGTTGGATGACTAAATAAATAAAAGGCCAGTCTTTTTGATGATGATTGTACATAGACCAATGCTATAAACCCGGACATTGATGCTTGCCTCTTTTTGAGATCTGGAGCTTATGAGTATATATCTCAGGAGTCAGTGCAGGGCCCAGGTCATTTGGGAAATGAAGCCATAGCCCGCTGTTTGGCTCTATCTGGACCTGACGCACACTGTGACTGTCTGCCACACAAAGCACTGAGCGGAGGGAGCGTGAGTGACGGTGCCTACCTGTTCCTGGCGCTGGGCATGGCTCACAAGGCTTGTTCCAGGCTTTTCCCACGTTGTGTGTGCAGCAGCACATCCTCTTGGTCACGTTGAAAGGCAACTCGTTTTCACACGTGGTCCCATTATAGCTTCGGTAGCAGAAGCTTTTCCTCATGTCTGCGTGGGGAAAAATGGGTCAGCTCGGCATCACGAGCAGTAAAACCAACATGCTTGCTCAGCCAACTCTCCTGAGGGATGGAACTCTGGGAAAGTTCTGTCTTGGTCGGCTGTCTTAACTCGCTGAACTGCTCCATCCTTTTCGGATGGACAGCCCCTGCTTTTAGGCAAAGCATTTTATGGGCACATTAACATGCATTTCTTCTACTAAAATACTCATTTAATCAAAAAATATTAATTAATTTAATTGAAAAAAATTAAGTGTTGAAATCTGAATATCTTCTTATCTATACAAAGTACATTTTATATACAGGGAGAATCAAAATTATCTGAGACCTGTAACTCCAAGCCCTAATTTTTTTTTTTTAAATCTCAGATTTACAGGATATGGATCTATGTGGTGGAAGATTAAGAGCCTGAGGTAGAGCATCAGTTCATGGGACTCTGAAACACTTCCTCAATCGTGATGATTCCTTCTCCATAAAGATTTGGACCCAGACACTCTGAACAGTGATTCTGAGAACAGAGATGCCAGAGGCGCTCAGTCAGCAGCCTTGACTCCGGCGGTTCCTCTCGGGGTCGGCTACTGACCCATGCAATTGTGCCCTCCGTTGACCTGCATGTACTCAGGTGGGCAAATGCAGGTGTAATTTCCCAGGGTGTTGTAGCAGGTTCCGGGGCCACATACGCCAGGATGGGCAAAACATTCATCAATGTCTAGAAGAAGCAAGAACATCCGTGATTTAGGTTGGTAGCTTACTGAACAGGACACAGGTGATTCCCTAATTCCGTGTTTATAAGATTCAGAAATGAAAAAAATACCCACAAAGGATGTGTTTATATTTATACATCACAAGAACATACTTCAAAAAAAAAGATAAAAAGCTCTCTCAATCCTAAAAATCGATGAACTATAAAGAAATTGCCCCATGCCTGTATACATTTGGGGAAATTCACATTCTCTAAGAGGAATTTCTTTCAAGTTTGCTTTTTCCTATGCCATTTGGATTAAAGTTTTAACAGCAGCCTGAAACTGAGTGTAGGCTGTGTGATCCTCTTTTCAAACTAGAAGTCCCCTCATAGGCTCTCAGTTGAGGGTAAATCACATTTCTTTCAGATGCATTTGGCTAAGAAGTTCAAGACTAAAGGCTGTAATAGAACAATGTTTCGTTCTTAATGTTCAGTTTTTGACGCAGTCCCTCATCCCACAGACAAACACTGAGTTATATTGTTAACTAGAGCTTGAAGCAACAAAGACAAGGGTGGTCCTTGCCTCTAGAGGTGAGAAGGTCTCCTAAAATTCAAATTATAACTGCTATGTGATAGGGGGAGGGGGAGACATAATCCATACAATATTTCGTCATCTTTATATTTATCCAACATTTAGAAATTACTGACCAGTTTTGACTTGCCATCACATTGAAGTTTCCCTGTTCCTACGCAAAATTATTGTCAATGTTTACATGTAACTAACTTCATATTCGCAATTCCATTATCAATCTATATTTAGCCCACCATCTTACTCAGAGAAAACTTTAAAGTAAGTCATTGCAAATGAACTGCAAATTGAATTTGTTACTATACAAAGGGACAGCATTGCCATGAAAAGATAAAAGCTATCAACAGTCTCAATGAGCTGTCATCCTTCTGTAGGACGCAGGGCCCTGAGAGCAGACATTGCAGTAGACAGCAGCACCATATCCCCTCACCTTCACAGATGCGGGTTTCCTCGCTGAGGTAGTAGCCCTGGGGGCACTCGCATTGAAAACTCCCAAAGGTGTTAATACAGTTTCCACCCTGGCAGAGCCCTGGTAACTCCTGACATTCATCAATATCTACAAGAGGAGACAGTTCATTAACAACAAACATCGTGAGCAAAGGGTCAATATCTGCAGCTTTCAAACACGACATCTTGTACGGACCACAGACATCTGTGCACCTAAAAGAAGACCTCTAAGTGCTGGGTTTACTCTGACCATAATTCTCCTGACTTCCTTGCACAACTGCTGGTTTCTGAGGAGAGGAATGGAAGCAAGCTGCCGGCATTTGCTGCAGACAATGTAACAAGGGGGTCTCTGCATAACAACTGAACACCAGATCTGGCAATGGATGGCTGCCTCTCGGTAAAATTGTAGCTAAACATGTGTGTGACAGCCTGCCCACCTGTAGCTCCACTCAGGAAGCCTGCTGCTCTGCTTCACACCGGCTTTTGTACAGGTTTCCCTCTAACCTAAGCCGATATCCTTATTAAAGCCTACACGACAAATAGCGATGAACTCACCTTCTAAGATGATTGTGATGGGGTTCGGTCTAAAGCCCTCACCTCCAGGACACAGCGTATAATATTCAGCTGGGAGGGAAAAAAAAAGGGAAAACAAGAAGTTTGATTCTCGGATCCCAGTGGTTGAGACAATCAGCAAACATTCACCAGCTGCCAAACTCAGATCCTCAGGGGGTGTCCATAGTTTTCTTTGTGTCTTTTCAAACGTATTACAATAACGTATATCACATTTTACTCCCAAGTATCATGACTTCATCAGTGACATGCAGTGGGAATAACAAAAGCCATTTTTTTGTTTTTATTTTATAGAGAACACTGCCGTTTAGATAATTCATATCACAAATGCTTAGCCAAGGAAATAAAAATGTCAGGAGCCTGCGGTACAAAGGTTTGGTTCTGTGCATATCAGAACACATGTTTCCATTTAGAGTGCCCCATGACTGACTTCAGGATACACTCCACCTACGGACCTGAACTAAACCTCCGAGAAGAACTGGGAATGGCCTTCGTCTCTGATACCATGGAGAATCGAGATTATGACCATTCAGATTGGATTGTGGTTAAAATGATTTTTTAGAGTAACACAATGAAGAAAAATAGGAAGAGAGGAACTAAAATTCCTTTTCTAAAAAACACTCTTGGCGGATTTTAGCACAACCACAGACAACCGTCCAAAACCACCCCTCCCCGCGCCCCCAGTCCAAGAATACAATAGCAACTTGTTTCTATCCTGGGCTGGGAATGTTCTGTTCCTCTTCTGTCGGCTGCATACTTACTGCTGTTTACAGGGGGGCACGTCTCGCAGGGGTTTCCCCAGGCCTTCCCCAGGGAGCAGCAGCAGGAGGAGCGACTGACGCCCACCCCAATCTCTGTGTTGCAGGACAGACTCCCGTCTCCTCGAGGACCGAACTTCAGGTAACAGTTGCCCACGCGGTTGTCTGCGGAACAACAGAGGAGCTTAAAGTGGTCCCGACTATGGAGAGAACCCCTCAGGAAGGCATTTAAAAGGACTGCGTTCAGGATTTTGCACGCTGATGTGGTGGGATCATTTTAACTCCTTGCACAATGTCTCGAATCAACCATAAGAAATGATGACAGGCGGTGGTCACTAGAGATCACAGACTGTTGCATATATTCATGGAAGAAGCAACGCAGTGAGGCATTCCTTATTTGGGGGTACTCTGGACATTTTGAATTATGTGACTACAAGAAAATTGGGTTTAATTAATCTGTATCTTGAGTTTGCGAAGAAGTGGAAACATATGTAGGTAAGTTAACTAAGTTTGTAACGTGCTAACGGTCTCATTCTGCTCGACTGTCATCAGCAACCCCCAAATGGGTTGATGTCAATCTCCACGGCAACGTTTGCAGAACTGTCAAACTAGAGCTCTCTAGCGGAAGGGTCCAGTGTCGCTGAAGGTGGCCTCATCTCTGTAGCTACCATCTTGAAGCATGGCTTTACATAGTATTTTCATTTTCCTTTGAGTGAACTCAAGTGCAGAGTCCTCTCTTACCTTTCTTCTGAGTTCTAAACCTTTCTGCTGATTTCTCTCGTAAGTGTTATTAGTTATTTCCGAGTCAACACCTCCAAGAATTAAACTGGAGACTCTTTGTTCACATACGGATCTGTTCTACTTCACCTTGAGTCTTAGGGGTTTTCAGGTGATGGAAGTCTCCACCTTTCTCAGCTGTCAAGGCTTGTTGCCACTTCCGATCCCTCACTCTCATTCCCCTTTCACACAAGTAACAAAAAGGCTTGATAACTTTATCTTCAAAATGCACCTGGCAACTGATGTCACTGACGTCTTAATCTGAATTCCAGCTACCAACATCTTTTTTAACCTAGACTCCAATGGCCTCCTAACTCATCTCTTAGCTTCAACCCTTGGCCCAAGTCCAGTCTGTTTTGGCCTTTGTAGCCTAAGTAGTCTGTCAGAAGAACTGCTTCAGGCCAGGCCACCCCTAAAAGGTCTCATCCCAACCAAAGTATTTTGAAAGTCTTTATGAGTTCACAGAGTACCTTTCTCTTCTGGCTGCACACAGAGCAACCATCTGACTGCTTCTCTTTGTTATGCTTCAATATCTTTACTTGTTTCTGATGCCAGATCTTGGGTGCAGGAACTGGGTTAACTCATGGTCCCTCCCTTGCTAGCTTTGAATTCATTCAATATTCCTTTTTCCCTCTTTCCCCCTCTTTTGTTTTTATCCTCCATTCCTGTCTCCCCCGACCATTTGACTATTCAAATGCCCTGCTAGTAGCTTTTGCGTGTGTTCCTATAAAACAGTTTTAATGTGCTAATTTAAAATTTTTGTCATGTAAAACGCTGAGTTTCAGTGTCTAATCACAGCTGCTTTGGGGACAAACTGTGTAAGAGTTCTATGATGTCCAAATGCTTATATTTCTCGTTTGTCTGTTTTGAGATATGGTTTTACTCTGCAGCACAGCCTAGACTCTAATGTAAGAACCTCCGGCCTCAGTTTCCTGAGAGTTCAGATTGCCTTTAAAAATCTGTACAGTTTGCTAAATTGGTTTCTAGTAAATCTGTGTCACTGCAAGTAGTGTAATGAACATCCTACAGACATCTATGAAAGTCACTGTGTTACTATCTTCGGTCTATAAAGCCAAGAGAAAAACTTAGGGTTCACAGATTCTTCAGTTGGAAAGAGCACCGTCCTTTATTATCTGTATTCCCTGGACCCTTTCTAATGTTTTGAAATAATTTTAATGGGGTTTATAGAAAATAAAATCTATCTATACTGAAAAAATATTGCTTATTTTAGTAAGGATTTAGTCATTGTCAACTCAAATATCTACTACCTCTTTTCTTGGTTTTGTACTCAAAGTTGTCCTTCAGATTATAACCGTGGAATCATCTAGAGTGTTTCTTAGGTGATCAGGTTGTTTTCTTTAAATGAATATATCAAGTACACATTATAGCTCATTGTCAAGAGAATTTAAATATTCAGTTCTGTCTGTCTGATTCTATTCATTTGTCTTTCACTTACCAACACAACCCACGCCCGTGGGGTTCAACTGGAAGTCAGGTGGGCAGTTACACTCATAGCGACCAGGCGTGTTCACACATAGGCCGTTGACACAGTTTATGGGATCTGCACACTCATCAATATCTATGAACATGTAAGATGCCCATGTTAATTAACATCTTTACTTCTACATGAGAAGTGCTTTTCCAAGGAATTGAATGGATCTTCCCCCCAAGTTAGAAAAGATTGTTGTGAAAGACTCAACAGAATGAAAATAGATTTGACACAAAGATAGAATATGTTTCAATGGTGAAGATTCTATATAAGTGTGTGCATATATGTAGGGTGCACATGTATGTGCATTCATGTGTGTGTGTTTGTGCATCTGTGAGCATGTTAGTGTGTATTTTTTGAGGGTATGGGGGAAGACAATGGGATTATACTTTTTAACCCTGGCTGCCCTAATTCACTATGTACACCAGAAAGGCCTGGAACTAATAGAAAATGGCATTTTCAATAGTGCTGTTTAATAACTTAATATATAAACAATAATCAAATGCTGCATTCTGAGGAAGAAAAATGATCTGCTTAAGAAAAATGAAGAATTCAGGCTGGGTAATCGTGATGCATGCCTTTAATCCCAGCACCCAGGAGGCAGAGGTAAGTAGATCTCTGTGAGTTTGAGGCTAGCCTGGTCTACAAGAACTAGTTCCAGGACAGCTAAGTCTGTTATGCAGAGAAACCCTTTCTCAAAAAACAAAGCAAAAAACAAAAAGCAAAACAGAATGAAAAAGAAAAAACAGAAAGAAAAATAGAAGAATTCATTGAGAAGCTCCACAGGTTGAGAATTGCTATTCAGCCTGTGTAGAAGTTCACCAAGATGTGTAGACTTTAGGTCTGGTTAATTCTGGTGCGTGACTTTTTTTTTTATTTGAAAGGTTTGTTATTAAATTCTATTAAAAATTAAGAAAAATGAAATATACATACAAATTCACATATGTTCATTCAATATATGAATGTTTACTAGTTTTGTATTAAATAATGAAGTTGTTTATCTAAACACTAATAAATTCCATAGTAGAAAGTAAATGTGTTAGAATATACTTTTCTTTTTCAAAAACATTCACAGTCTAACTTCAGAAAAATTTGAGGAGTTAATGTATTTAGCATAGAATACTATGCCAAGCCATGAGAACACAGTTGGCCCTGGCTTGCCATACCTGTGCAGTTTCCTCCTGTCCTGTCCAGTTCATAGCCATCGTCGCAGATACAGTGAAACATCCCAGGCAAATTGTTACATGTTCCAAAGACACAAATGTTCTGGAAGGAGCATTCATCAATATCTGAGGACACAAAGAAAGAAGGTCACCTCTTGTTTACAAAGACATTTTATGTTTTTAATGAGTAACAATGAATTTTTCTAAATTCTAGGATATTTATGAGCAGTAACATTTTTTTTTTCTTTGTCTTTAGCTGGATAAATAGTTCAAATGGTGAGTAAGGCATACTTATCTGTAGGATAAAACGCTTATCTATAGGATATGATATAAAACAAGTCCTATTTTGGTTCAATGGGTTTCTTATGTTTTTTTCCCCTTTCTGCAGTGTTAGGAATCTAATGCAGAGACCCATGCATGCTAGGCAAGTACATTACCACTGAGCTACACCTGTGTCCCAATTATTCTCTATTATAATATACTCCAATAGTAAGTGCCAGCTTAGGCAGTATAAGTAGAATATGAAAATTAAATGCAAAGTCGTCAAATTAGTGAAATCTTAAAAAAACAAGTAAATGAAAGATTCTACCTAATTCGTACAAACAGTACATAGTTTATAATCGGCATATTGAAATATAAAACAACATGTACTAAATATATTGGTAAAAAGTCTTTAACACTTAATGTTAGTTTATTTTATAATCTGACCTATTACCATAAAATCATTTGTAAACATGGAGAGAATACTATTCTTTATACCGTGAAATAACATGGTCCATTACCCATTGATTTCTTTGTATTTTGATAAAATATATCTACTAACAGAGCATGGGAGGAGGCTCAGTAGGTAAGAGCGGGTACTGCTCTTCCTGAGGACCTGGGCTTGATTCCTAGCAGCCACAGTCAGTTGCACACAGCCATCTGTCAATCCAGCTTCAGGGATTTGATACCCTCTTCTGGGCTCCATGGGTACGCATGCTCACACGTACATATACCACCCTACTCCACAGCACACAGACCCACTCATGTAACCAAAGATAAAATCTTAACATATTTTTTGAGGAAACAATTCTTTAAAAATGATTTTTAAATATAACAGTAATTTAGTGTGTGTGTGTGTGCATATTTGCGTGTGTATGCACACATCGTGACTTGCACATGGAGGTGAGAAGGTGATTTGTGGAAAGCAGTCCTTTTCTTCCACCATGTGGGTTCCGGGGATGGGTCTCGTGTCAACAGACTTGGTGGCAAGCAAGTAAAGGTGCTTGCATGTTGCAAGGTGAGTCATTTTTCAGGCTTCATAGATAAGTCATTCAAACTGCTTTCTTGAAATAGTTGTATCTTAAATTAGAAGGGTCTCCTGGCTACTTAAAATAGGTACACTAATTTGTTCTAACTATCTTAGGTTTAAGGGACTGTTCCAATTGTGTCAAATGTTCAGCCAGTATTCAAATGTATCTTGTCCTGTTGGTGGCTGTCCTCTAAGAAGAGAGAGCTAAGATTTCTTGATGCAGGCTGCAATTAAAACTGTCGGTAGTGGAGAGAGAATGGCACCATCTTTCTGAGCACACATTTCCCTATGGAATGAACTTCACCAAAAGCTTCCAGTTTCTACTAATGCGCCAGCTATGTAAGATGGGGTATGGGAAAACATTGCCTTTATATGGTCGAGACAACTCAAATGAGACAGAACGCACTGCTGATGGCATCTTCCTCTAGGACCTCCGTCTACCATCATGCACAGATGCAATCGATCCTAACGAATAATTACTCAGCCATCACCTTCTCGCAGGCATCATTTCTCTCTTAGCATCTACTTTCTGGTGGCGGGGCAGGATGAGGTTTGCCTTTGAGTCTCCCGGTACAGTTTGCTTATGTTTGGTTGATAGCAATGTGTTTGTGTGTCTGTGCTGGTGCTCGCCGTTTCTTTCACACTATGGTAGGGGAAGGGCCTGGAATTTGTTTCATTTCATCATCTTTCCCCCATAGTTAGCTTGAGGGGGAAGAGGGGAAAGAAGAGGAGGAGCCAGATTTGGAATTGGGGGAAGTCACCTTTTGGAAAAAAAAATGTTTCTATGAATGGCAACTTTTGTTGACGCTCCACAGTCTCACAATGAAGCTACATTCTTTTCATTCTTCAATCATATTATATTTCCTATAGCAGGCTGATGGCCCAGACTCTGTGTACTGTGAATTGAATCCCCAACTTAAGAGAAAATCCATTTTTTCCCTTGGACACATTCTGGCATTCTAGATACAGAGCCCCATTTTTAGGAGAGAAATCATGTATTTCATTTTCCTCTACTTTTGAGGAGAGGTGAACAAGTCCTTGATGGGCTTCTAGTCTCGGCCATACACACCACATCCTCAAACATGAAAGGAAATGCCAGAAGCAAGATGCTTTGACTTTACTGAGCATGGTGAATACAGATAGCTGAGGTAGGCAATAGATCCCCCCCCTTTAAAACCAGAAGAGGTGTGTCACATGTCATTCATTTAGTGACACCAAAGGAAGAAAGAAATGGCTTAGCAAAAAGAAAGAAAGAAAGAAAAAAAGAGGAATAAGCCAAACTTCCAACTATTGGCTCTGAGCCAGAAATATCTCATAAGAGATGAAAGCCAGCCTTCCTCATTATTCATTTCACAAACTAATCCACGCTTAAACGAGCGGCTTTTTATATGTGCTGCGTGCGCTGTGTATTCTGCTTCCAGGTGGAGCCCGTTCCAGCCCTTTCCGTGGTTTCATTTGCTGTAGCGGATCCAGCTGGAAAATGAATTGGAAGCCTGGCAACCCACCTTGGCAGGATCTGCTGTCTGAGGCTGGGGTGAAGCCCATCTCACACTCGCAACGGTAAGCTCCGGGGACATTCAGGCACTGGCCGTTCTCACAAAGGTTTATGTTCTCTGCACACTCGTCGACGTCTGCAGAATGAGAAGACACCTCCGTCAGGTTCCAAATTTCCCAGCACGTTTGTCTCCTTGCTCAAAAGTGATATCCGTTTCAGCGGCGGGAGTTGGGGTTGCTTAGTATGAAGCACCAATTAACCCATTCGCTAGAGTGGGTCCGAAGCCTGAGATGGAAGCTCCCTAACTTACACACCTAACACTCGGCTATAATAGAGACGGATGGAGTTTCTCTCAGTTCTCCTTAATACCCGCTGATAAATGGGTATTAAAAGCGGTATTAGTAGATAGGACCAAGAGCTCTGGGATTCCGCTCATTCATAGGAAAGCACAGCAATGGACTTCCCTGTTTTCCCAGCTGAGGCGTCTTACAGGAAATGAGAGATGCCGTGGAAACAAAGTTTCCTTCCTACTACTAAAGTCTCACCAAAATATACAGACAGACACTTTTTAAAGGCCTTCAAGATAATTTACTTAATTCTAAATAGCAGGAAAGGGGAGGGGGACAGACATCAGCGTGTCCTGAGCCAGGTGGCATGGCCACCACCAGGAATGCAGTTTTCATTGAGTTCACTAGAAAAAAGTCCAGGCTGAGAGAGGCCAAAAGAGCTACAAGGGTCCCACTGGGCCCCATTATGAGTATTGATGGGCTTGCCACCAACACCATTCTTTCTTTGACACTACATCCCATACAAAGTCCGGGACATATATAACAGCCAAGACTCTACAGAGAGGGAGTATGAGACAGCACTTTGACGAATTACAGACCTAGTCTTATGATTATGAGTTTAAAGTTTGAATGAACCTTAGCTGGGAGACACCTCGCTTGTAAAGCAAAAAGTCATTTTCTTGCCCCAAAGGATGATCTAGTCTTATATATGGGTATAAGAGATGACCTTTCAACCTTGAGACCTGGGGAGCAGCGGGAGGGAAACAACAACCAGTGTGTACTGAAGCTTACGTGGTGGCTTCCTAAGTCCTCTGTGTCTTCTGTTATTCCATTTAATCCTCTCAAAACTGGGAGAAAAGCTAATAAAACTCTGAGGAGGATAATAAGCAGCTTTGATGATCTCTCTTAGAAAGGGACATTACGCATTCCATCTTCAAGAATTGCGAAGTTCCCCCAGATCATCCACTTAGTGATTAAAAAATGCCGCTGTGGTCGCTATGTCTATTTTAAAATGAGAAGAACTCCCTCCTCTTTCATGAAGTTCTGGTGGAATTCTGTGCTGAAACCCTTTGGTCCTGGGCATTTTTTGAAGAGGGGAAGGGAGAGGGAACTGGGATTGGTATGTAAAATGAGGAAGGATTGTTTTAAAAAAATAATAAAAATGAGAAGAGCTGAGGTCACCCTGACTACTCATGTAGGTAGGTTAACACCAGAGTAAGCAGCATAAACATTGTGAACCCAGGTGCCTTCCCCAACCCCTGTGTTTTTCTGATGGGTACTTCATCAAGTAGTAAGAGGTAACAATCGTCATTAGCAGTACAGGAAAAGAGAGACGTCATTACTTTAAAGAATCCACATTCTCTGGACGCTTTTTCAGGCTTCTGTGTTTAAGGGATGAAAAAGGTATGTGCTCTTTCACTGGTCGAGTAGAAGCGCAGACAATCATTTCCATTTTCTTCACGTTTTTCTTAAAACAAGGAAAGCCTATTGGGTGTCCTGAGATGGGGATAACGGAGCACTCCGCAAGCCTGTTACTCACCTGAGCAAGTAAAGCCATCTCCGGTGAAACCCTCTGAGCAGGCACATCTGTATGAGCCCGGGGTGTTGACGCACTGAGCATTTATGCTGCACTGGTGGGTTCCATTCGAGCACTCGTCCAGATCTGCGTGAGGAGCCAGCCCGACAAAGAAGATCAGCAGTGAAGATGGGACATCCTAATGCAGGGCGAGGGTGGGACTTGCAAAAGCGTGAGCCAGCCCAAGCTGGTTTTATTTTAGCTTATCTGGAAGGACAGTACTCTATAGCCCTCAGATTCTACGTCTAAGTCAGATTTCACGCTGGCCTCCACCTACGGTGGCTCTTACTACTGGTTCTCTTGTCACTGTGAGACGATCTGTTTGGGAGATAGCATCGACAAGAGAGAGTCAGCTTAGAGTTCTAAATCTTATCAGAAGGGAAGAGAGACGTGGTTCTTTCTTTCATGGAATTAACAGCCTATCGGAAGGGATGCATGTCAAACACAGGAAAGAAAGGATGCTGTATTTTTCTAGAGACCATGAAGCAGGTTCCAGATACAACCTAATCTGAAATTCAGGGAAGAACAAAGAACCCATTGAAGAGGTAACTTTTAATCACCTTCAGACCTCCTCTTCCAGGGATGAAGGAGCCTAACTTGACTGAGTAGAAGAGAGAAGGGTGTTTCTTATAGAGGATAATGGGGACAGGACCAGTAAAGAGGAAAAGTACAGAATGTGGCATTCATGACAGGTGGAACGGCAAAACACACCACAGGGGCCAGGGCAGAGGACGATGGAGCTAGAAAATGATGCAGGGACCTGTAAACTTAGGAGAGGAAGCTGGGGTTTCTCCTAAATTTGAAGAGGTGACTGTCAGTGTGAAGAGAGGCTTAAGATTTCTCGACTGCTGTCTGAAGAATAAGTGAATATGGGGGAGGGAGGAGGAGGACGAAAGGGAAAAGGAAGAGGGAAGGAGGTGGGGCGGAAGGGGGCAGAGAAGAGGGGGAGATGGAGAGGGGAGGGAACAGGAGGAGGGGAGAGCAGAAGAGAGGGGACTGAGGTGTGGGGAGAGAGGGAGGGTAGGGAAATGACTCCGGAGGAGGATGAAGATGGAGCCCTGGTGACTGAACCCTCTAATGTCTCATCTTGGGGCAGGCAGTCTTGGGATGGTTGGCCAGACTGACAGGTGGACATGAAGCACATAAAATGGAAACTAAGAGAAAAATAGGAGGCACATGGGACAAGAAAAATGGCAACGAGGACAGGCCCTACCTGTACAGTCATGAGATTAATGCTAGTGGGTGTGGCTGGCCTGGAAATCGGTTTACGGTTGGCCTGAGGAGGCTGACATAGGGGGCTATACAGCAAATCATTCTCCAACTACAATAATACACATTCTGCAATTGGTTTTAAATCGTTGACAAGTCTGAAACATCTGGCTGGAGAGCCCAGCTTTACTCAAATTAATTTTCATTATTGGTAAGAGATATTAAAGGTTTTTTATTTAATCCTTACTATGGGCCTATAAGCTTTTCCTGAGAAGTCACCATGGGGACCTCAGATGGCTTTTTCCCCTCTCCTTCTTCTATTTTAAATTGACCTGGGTAATGCTTACCAGCTGGAAATATTCTTTATTGTCACAGTATGGACATACTAAACAGCTTCATGAACGACACCCAGAGTATAATCCAGTCCCCCGCCTCAGGGCTATACACTATTATTAGGCTTCAGTTTAAGAGTTATAGAACCCAGGGAAAAAGATTTTCCTAGTCTCCCTTTTTTGAGTTAGACTTCTTGGAATTCAACAAAAATACTTAGCTTTGCCTGCAAGGACAATTTTAATACTAAGAATTGCCCACTTCCTCCCATCTTAAGGCCATGTGAAAAACCCCTTTGTTTCCACCCTGGACTTCACTGGCTCTCAAACCGCACTGATTACTCTATGGAAAGACTGGGAAAACACATTAACTGTTTTTCATGTTACAGCTGTTTAGATCACTGGCTGCACATCAAATAATTTTTTTTTCAACTGAGCAACATGCATGAAAAGGCAGATGCCAAAGCATCCTGTTGTAATTTGACCATTTATATTAAAGCTAAGGAAACACTCAGACAGGAATTATCCCTGCAACCAAAGATAGCTTTGATTTATGAGAGAATAAATAAAAAGCGAAGAGGATGTTCCCGTTTGGAGTGTTGATTAGCATGTGTGCAAGGAAGAGCCACACAGAATGCTGGCCCTTCGAGAAGGGTTTTCCTCTTTGCAAACTCACCAATACATTTGATGCCATTTCCCACCCAGCCTTCTCGGCAGCTGCACTTGAAGCTTCCGGGGACATTCAGACATGAGGCATGCATGTCGCAGTTGTGGGCACCAATTTCACACTCATCCACATCTGAGAAGCAGAGTTAAAAAGGAAAAGATGAAGCATGAGCTAATTAAGTCTACTTCCAAGTATGTTTCTGTAAGACAGCAAATTAGGATAAACGCGGGGCTTGTACGGAGAAACACTGACACCGCCTTTGTCTCTAAGTCGTTTTCCATTCCAGTAAGATATAAGACTTCATGATCATGACCAAACAAGTCCTTCTCTCCAAGAACTTTCTGGCCACTTCCTGTTGGAAGGAGAAAGTGCAGCTGTTGTCCCCTGCGGATATGAGTGGCAGCCCCCACATGTTGCGAAGGCCCATTCAAAACTCCGTGGGAAGGATATAAAGACACATTTCAGGAGAGATTTTTGAAAAAGACTTTACTGTTTCTTTCTATTAATATTTATCACATATTTTTCATGAAGATAAGAATGAGCCTGATTAAAAAAGTCCACCCTTCATTCAATGCCCCAATGCAGATGAAGGGGTAGAATGTTTGCTTAGCATGTGTAAACACCTAAGATTAAATAACTTCCAGCATCACACACACATGATCAAAGCTACACATATACTCAGAGCTTTTGTAAAAGGTCACTTATGTGTGTGCTTTTGTTTTTTCTTTCTTATCTGAGAATATGTAAAGAATTCTCTCTTCAGATGTGGCCTAAAAGGGGACCAATGCTCACCAGCCTGTGTTTATGTTCACAAATACTCCACAGAAACACATACATGTGATTTATTCAGTCATGTGCAGCCTGAAGACACTTTGGTCAACGGCAAACCATGTACATGACAATGGTCCCATAAGCTTATAATGCCTGGACATGTGGCTGATGCTAACATGCAGATGAATTCATCTAAGGACACGTGTCTTGTGATGTATGCCCTTTGTAAAGCCATGCACAGCCATGCACAGCCGTGTGAATGTGTTTATACAGAACATATACACTTGTGTACAACTCTGTCAATTTGGCTTCCTCAAACTTTCTAGGATATGATTCCTATCTGTCCTCGCCACTCACTGACTACTGGCCGCCACTGTTGAACTGATACTGAGCACACACTCCTGGCTTCCATCCCCTTTGCTATTAGTAAAGTCTTTGCCCTCGTTCCTCATCATCTGCCTTCTCCTGGGGTGGGGGCAGCTGAAGTTTTCCCTGCAGCCCGAGCTTCTCACTGCGGCCTTGAACAAAATGCTATACAGGGAACCTAAAGGTGAACATTCAGGTTAGTCAGACCAATGATTCAGGTGTTTCCTAGTCATATCTGTATGCTACGGGATAAAACTAAATAGTAAAAACTGGAGTCAGGAGGTGAAAAAGTGAAGAGAAAGAAAGGAGAGAGGTAATGGTAGGGGAGGAGAGAGAATAGAAAAGAAGAAACCATGGGGGCAAGGCAGTAAAAGTCTAAATAGAACCTAAGAACGCATTATCAGTTTAACATTGCAAACTAAATGAAAACTTGGATCCTTTAAGACAGTGGTTGTCAACCTGTGTGTTGCAACCCCTTTGAAAGATTGAATGGCCCTTTCACAGGGATTCCCTAAGACCACAGGAAAACACAGCTATTTACATTACGATTCAGAATAGTAGCAAAATTAAAGTTATGAAGTAGCAATGTATGGTGATATTTTGCTCCATCAGATAAAGCTTGTCTGAAAATTAGAGCGTGGAGCTAGCTAACCACAGAGGGCAGGCAGTGGTGGCACAGACCTTTAATCCCGGGAGGAGGAAACGGGACTTGATATGACTGGGCAGAGAAAAGAAGTGATAAAGCAGGGTGGAGACGGGAGCTTGGCCCATTTTCACCTGGGAAGTTGGTGAGGTGAGAGATGGCTCTGGCTTGCTCCTTAGTCTCGCTTACCTTTCTTAATTTACCCCGATATCTGACTCTGGGATTTTATTATTAAGACCAATTAGAATTCACGCCACAGCAACGAAAATAATTTTATGGTTGGGGGATCACCCCAACATGAAGAACTATTTTTCCTTCTTTACATGGGCCCTCCATCTGGGCTGTAACCAAGCTGAGGAACTGAATGTGGCTGCAGGACCCACCAGAAGCAGGGCAGACTTGGCCCACTCCTTCCTACAGGGTGACCTCAGACATGATGCATGGTAAAGGTAAGAGTCAGTTGCCCATCACGTGACAGTCATATGCTGGTGGACTGGCCCGAGGATGCTGAAGGCTGAAGCGATGGCTGCTTTTGAACCTGTGAGGCTGAAGTCTCGCAGACATGGGGTTGAGCCCTACCTGTGCATCCCGTGGTCCCCTTCTTCACCGAATAGCCCAGCTGACAATGGCAGATGAAAGAGCCCTTCGTGTTCTCACACTCCCCAAACATACAGATGTTGGGATTCAAGTCACACTCATTCACATCTGGAAAACACATGTTCTGGTTACTGCTATCACATTAATTTAAAAGCCACCTTTTAATCTGAATAACACGGTACTGAAATAAACAGATAAAATTGAAAATGAGGTCTCCTTGAAAGACTTGTATTGCAAGTAAGTACTATGTGCCTTTAAGGGTGTCTGAAATAATTCTTTTTCAGATTTTACAGTTCTGGCAAAATGGCTCAGATTTTCAAAGTAACAGTGAAATAAGTCTTCTTTCCCTGTGGATGTGTATTCATGCACGTATCAAACTCTCATTTGTTGGAGAGTGACATGCCGTCTTCTGGATATGACATGGCTATCACATGCATGACCACAGAGCAGCTGTGGTGACTTGTACAAGATCAACTCAACTAAAACTGAAACATAGATGTGGTAGGTGGTCTCCAGGTCCTGGCACCAACTGAGGAGCTATGGTCAATAGACAGTTGCTGAAGGAGAGAGAACCATTTTTTTTTGGAGGATGTGGCCCCCTGATAGTGCATGGCCCTACACCCAAGCACATAAGGGCAACCAGACTCAGTTATATAAACAAACAAACAAACATGCAGTTGGGAAGGAGACACATTTGAGGAATGTGGGAAGAGAGGGAGATGGGGTAGTCATAATATTTCACTCTGTATGATGGTCTCAATAATAGAGAATACTAAAGAATTGCCATTGACTTCTGATACTCACCGATGCACGTTTTCATGTCCATCGAAGCCATGAAGCCATCATAACAGAGGCAGCGGTACTCCCCAGGAATGTTGGTACACTGGCCACCATCACAGACGTCAGGATTGTTTTCACATTCATCGATATCTGATGACACAAAGTTAACGCCCAGTGAAAGCAAGAATGGCTTCCCTTGGTCCCAAACACATTTCCTCTGTTCAGCTCTCTGCGACCAAGTCTGGAGCCACATTTGTAACAGAGCAACCGTAGCACGCGCATTTTGTGTATCTTTTCTGTACCTGCACACGATCTCCCATCTGGCATCAGTGCATACCCCTCACTGCAGCTGCACTCGTAGCTTCCTTCCGAATTGGTGCACTGGGTGTCGCAGCCTCCATTCATGATCATACATTCATCGATATCTGTGCAGACACCACACGCACGTTAGATGCCAAGTAGGTGCCCGTACAAAGGAATGGGTGCTGCATCTTCTTTTCAAACAGCTGATGCTTGAGTAGCTTTGGATTGTCTTTATATTGGTACTGATTAAGTTTATACCATTAATCTCCCTTAACCCCTTTCACTTCCTTTTAATTTTTTTTTCACTTCCTTTTATATAGCATTCTATGTAGTCCACTATCTGAAGAAGAGAGAACCAGACATATAACTACTATGGAGTTTGGGGTACTTTTTATAACAAGACCAGTGGGGTTTCTGCAAAATCAGCAAACCATCTGACCCCTGCTTGCATTCATTCCCAGTACAAGGGACCCTCATAGGCTTTAGGACATATTTGATGCCAAAGCTCGATGGTCTGAGAGATGGGAAATGAAGACCTGTGTGGCCCGCCCTTACCTATACAGCCTTGGCGGTCTGGCGTGGCCTGATATCCAGGATTGCAAGAACACTGGTAGGCTCCGATCATGTTCACACATTTGCCATTTCTACAGAGATTGTCGCTCAAGGAACACTCATTGATATCTATAAAACACAAGCAGAATTATGGTTTATGCCACAGCAAAGTTGGAAGAGCCTTTAAGCGCGGGCTTTAGCAAAGAGGTGCCGCCTGAGTAGGGAGCAGGACAAACTGGGAGGTTTGGTGAAAATGCTGGTCCCTGTTCACTTATGTCTGACCCCAGAACTTCCTGTTGTGTTGGAAGCATTCCCTTCTCTGTCTATAGTTTCCAAGATGGAACTGCATGTTCTACTAGACCTTGAAATGTATATAACATAATTGAGCAATTTTTAATGTTATTTAATTTCATTTACAATTATATAGCCACATGCAGCTAGCCGTCGCCATCACAGAGTGCACGGACAGAGTGTGTGCCATAAATGAATCTTATTATTATTTATTTTACTTCATGGGTTTACACTGGTGTGTTCATGTGGTCTTCAAACACTGTTCAGATGCTGCCTACAGAACTTGAGCTATCCTGAGAGAAGACGCTTGTTCCAGAGGACAGAGTTAGGACAGTCAAGACCCTAAGCAAGATGATGTTTGCTTTCATCAAGCTGTCTGTGTGCCTGGGTATATGGGCCTTCAGTCCACAACTGTTAGTTTAAAACGATTTGCCCTTATGAGATTGGCAAATGCTCCTGATCTTTATCCATTGTGCTCACTGGATTTCTATACGAAGGGGAAAAACTCACCCACACAGTCCTCACGGGATGGTGACAGCTCGTGTCCCAGTGGGCAGTCACACTGAAAGCTGCCCTCAGTGTTCACACAGGTGCCACCCCTACAAAGGAGAGGGTTACGTTCACATTCGTCAATGTCTGAAAGGTAAAAACGTGAGATCCATTGAAGAACTCGGAGGAAAATACATTTACATATATAGTACAGGAGAAGTGGGACTAGAAGGCAGGTGTGCGGCTCAAACATAACGACACATCCAATCAGAAGTGGGGCAAGTTTTACTTTTTGTTTCAATATAAAAATTATGAACCTTCTATTCTCAACACAGTAAACCATTGAAAAATTTTTATGTGTAATATAATCTGGTTCATAAGAGGTTACTTATACAAAACTCACTTTATGTCATAATAAACTAAGAGTTTGTATGGCATTGCCAGTCATTTAGCATTTATAGCTCAAATCCAACTGAAAAACAAAATCCTAAGACCCCTAAACGATTACAGTTAGGAGGGTCTTTGCAGCTCAATTCAGTCATGAGTGCAGATCAGCACACTATAGACAACAACGCCCTTTGTAACGTGAATCGAATCGGTTGTACCCTGAGAGTGGCAACATCTTATGTGGCAAGTTCCACAAGTCACTCATATGACACAGTGGCCTAAACATGCTTCAGTATCACAGCTACAAAGCACAGCTCTCATGGGACTGGCAAGGCAGGACAGAAGTTGGAGGTGACCACAATGCTACCCATTTAAAATAAATCCACCCTGGGTGGTCTGTGTATTTCTTCCAGTCTGAGGAAGGTTATTTTGTCTGCCTTTGACAGCTCTCAGCGTCACTCCACCTCTAGTCAAGGGTGCTGCCATGGCTCTGAAGCCAGCCATGACACAGCAGCCCAGCCTGCATGAGGCCGGTGTCCTAGCCAGCAGGAGGGTCTGGCTGAGCTTACCCATGCAGTTCTTCATCATCATGAAGCCACTCTCGTATCCCTCAAAACACTCGCATTCAAAGCTGCCTGGCGTGTTGACGCAGATGCCACTGCCACAGAGGTCAGGAGAGATCCTGCACTCGTCGATGTCTGCTCCCCGTGTTCAAGAGAAAGAAAAACACAGAACGAGATAAGAGAGGGCTGGAGGCACGGGGCCTTCCATGTCAGGGGCTGCGGTTCTGAGACCTGGGAAACCAGGACTGAGAGGAGGAAGAAATGTTCTGAGGAGATGGGGTGGGGGGAGACGTTGTCTCCTTCATAAGGCACATTCCTTTCTCCAACTGCCAAAACTGTCATGGCCAACCGGCAGGTGGGGCCTGTGTGTCTTTGAGTTCTGAAATGTGGCCTTCTCTTTGCGGCTGAGATGTCGTCATAGAGAACGGACCAAGCGACTCCTCTGCAAGGCCCAAGTGGAGAGGCAGTGTGCTCACGTGAAAGGAAGACCCAGCAAGGCGTGAGACTGTTCATTCTACTCCTCCAGCCACAGGAGCGTGGGGACCTGGAACCCTGAGGCTAAGAGGGCTGACTGGCAGGACACAGACAGGCAGCCTCCGAGGCAGACACAGCACACCTCTCAAGCCCGAGCCTGCGGGCACAGCGGGGCCTTGGAGTGAACCCACTTTGTAATCTGTGCTCCATTTGGCTGAGAAATGCTTACTTACCAACTTTAAAAAAAAATAAAGAGAAATCACGTGTTTGTGTTTTGCTGTGTTTTCTATATTCCAGTCATAGTATCTACACTCTGAAAAAGTTTATGAGAAACCCTCATACCTGTAGCGTATTTTCAGTACTGACGTTGGAGCTACACAAAATATGTTTAAGAAAAAGCATGGGATAAATCCGGACTAGCTGAACATAGTGGACAATGAGGAACACTGAGAATTCAAGAACAATTGCAGTGGGTTTTTGATCCTACTGCACGTACTGGCTTTGTGGGAGCCTAGGCAGTTTGAATGCTCACCTTACGAGACCTGGATAGAGGTGGGCAGTCCTGGGCTTCCCACAGGTCAGGGAACCCTGATTGCTCTTCGAGCAGATGAGGGAGGGGGACTTGATCGGGGGAGGGGGAGGGAAATGGGAAGCGGTTGTGGGGACGAGGCAGAAATCCTTAATAAATAAATAAATTTAAAAAAGAAAAAAGAAAAAAGAAAAAAAAAGAAAACATGAGCCATTAAAAAAAAGTCACAAAGAAATGTTTCTGCCTCCATCTTATCGTATGTTAAAATATTTATTGATGTATCAAGGCAGGGCCTTCTATGTCTCTGACTGCCCTGGAATACCAAGTCATTCACAGAGATCCACCAGCCTCTGCCTGTTGAATGTTGGGATTGAAGGCACACGCCAGCATAGAAGCCTCACTGTGTCTTTTGATGAACTGAAGTTTAAAGCCTTGCAGTAAAATCAATGGACAACTTCTGCATTTCTGGCCACGCATTTGTAATAAACTGCATGCCATCAAACAGAAACATTCCTAACTTCATCTCTTCTCAAGGTAAAGAGGTCAAGAATGTTGTTTGCCGGTGAGGAAAATAAGTCAAAAAACATCTATCACAAACTAAAACAATTACTAGAATATTCTGCACGTTGATAGGCACAGACTCTCATAGCTATCTTCTTTAGTCCTCACATATTTTGAGGATCATATTTTCACATCAAAACAACATTTTGTGCGTTTTTGTAGCTCTCAAAATTACTTGGAGAACTGGATTTTAAGTTCCATAAGAGAAAGTAATAATAATAACAACGAGGGAGAAAGGGGGCTTATATTCGCACTGAGAAGATGGGCTTTTGAAGGCTGTATACTCACTGCAAAGGCAAGAAAGCTAGGGCTTATTAATGGAGACAAGAAGCCATCTTACCTGTACAGTTTCTCTCCTCCATGTCCAGGGCGAAGCCATTATTGCAACGGCACTTGAAGCTTCCGATGGTGTTTCTGCACTTCCCGTGGGTGCACATCCCGGGAAAGGCTTTGCATTCGTTGATATCTGAAAAAAGAGTGAGGCCCAACCATGGAGCTGGTTGACAGGAATGAGTCCTTTTATTGCTTTAACTTAAAAATCTATCGCCATGGACAATAATCGTGCAGCCTTGGACAGGGACGGCTCCTGGGGTCTGCAGTGATCACAGAGATGGCACAGAAAATGTGTCCATTGTGGATAATGTTCTCCACCCTCAACTGAGTCTCGCTTTTCTATACCTGGCTGTTGCTTATGAAGAACAGTGGGGACGGGGATCTCTCTGCTGCTGAGGAACTGGGCAGGTCTACCTCCCCTCAAGCCATGTAAGGAAAGGAGAAGGCCAGTAGAAGGAAAGAAAGAAAATGATGAGCGTCCAGTTTCCCAGATTCCTATCAATACTGTCTTTTAGATGTAATTTATAGTTTCAGACCTTAGGTTGGCCACAAAAACAAAACCCATCTAATTTGCATGGCAAGTAGAAAAAGACAAGATTTCCTGAGCAAAATGGGAAGGTGGGGATCATGGGAAAGGGTAGAATGGGAGGGGGGTGAAAGGGAGGGGAGTGAAGAAAAATATATAGCTCAATAAAAACAATTTAAATCACACACACACACACACACACACACACACACACACACACACAGAAACCCATTCTCAGAGAGCGTAGAGAAAGTCCTGGTAGTGTAGCAGGCCAGGAGCCAGCTTGCAGTTACCTTTGTAAAATGGACGCCCAGTGAGGATGTCCCCTCTGTTAGCAAAGCCTGGGCCCCGGGGGCACAACGTCTCATATTCCTTGGTGCCAGGCTTGGGGCATTCTTCACACTCCGTGCCCCAAGCTGCCCCGACTGCACAGCAGCAGGCGTCCATGCGGAACTTCCCAGGAACAGGATGGATGCATTCATCCTCATCCCACTTCAGGAAGCACTGCTCCAGGCGGATATCTGCATGGAGAGTGAAGCCCAGGCTGAGCCTAAGTCGGAACGCTCACTGAACGTCCCTCTACAGCATCTGTTCAGCAACTTAGACACTGTGTGCCTCAGGCTACCTGTGCGCAGTTAAACTCCCTCGTCTCCTAAAGATCCTTTCTACCTCAGTGGCAGTGCTGGGTGAAGCTAGCTCAAGAATGACGGTAGGCCTGGAGGCAGACTTCCAATGAGAAATCTGTCACCGCCTTGAATGGCAACGTAAGACCTGGTAGCCATATTTGCCATGTGGCATCTCTCCCACTCTCCTCAGCGTCACCCAGGAGTGCTTTGCTCAGATGAAACCTGGACTTATTAATTCTGTTTGATTGCCTTATTACATTGGCAGCAACGATTTTCCAGGGATTCAAAACTTATCATTCAGCTTGTTGGTACTCTGTAAAAGTCAGGTGTGGCAGTGTATACCCATACCTAAGCACTGGCAGGCTCTGGGGATTCATTGTCCACCCATTCTAGCCACAATGGCTTGAGATTTGGCAAGAGATCATGATGTCTCGCTGAACCAAAAATAAATAAATAAATAAATAATAAAAAAATAAAGAGAGAGAGAGATATTGCCTAGTTTTATTCTATTATATAACGGGAATAACTCGTCTAAAGTATCAGAAACTAAAGCTTAAATGATAGTTTTTCTTTTTAATTATAAAATATGCTTTAAACAGAAACATTTAAAATAAAGCACATATTTTAATATCTTGGAGTGACTTTCCTCTCAAGCAGTATCTCATTTAAAGCAAATGTCTCCAGTACAGACTCCGGTTTTGGACTGGCCCAGAGGACAGGGATCTGATGGTTAGCATCATGTATGTGGACAGGAAAGCATGCCTCTTACCCAAACACACGCGACCAGTTCCATCCAGTGTAAGGCCTTCAGGGCATTCGCAGTGGAAAGAGCCTTTGCTGTTGACACAGCGTCCATTTGGACAGACGCCAGGAAACACCTCACATTCATTAACATCTGTGGGGGAAACGCGGCAAGCAGAAGGATAAAGACCTTACAAATAGCAAAAGCAGGTGTAGCCTCATTTCCTGTGTGGCGAGGGCATTCAATCTGCAACCCAGTGGTGTGGGTTATTACTTTGGTTAAAGCAAAAATATTCCACCGCACAGCCACCAGCTTTCCCGGGCACCAGCTGTGCAGACGACCATGGCCTTGCTGTCCATAAAAGCGCAGCCCAGACATGCTCCCTTGCCAGCTGTTCTGTGCCTTGAAGGCTGGGGACTTCCTCATGAACTGACTGTATACAGAGGAGAAGGGGGAACCTTGAGGCTGTTTCCCAAGAGCGCCGTGTTGATTACACTGAGCTATTTTAACTGAAACCTCAAGAGTCTTGAGAAGAGCTACTAGCTCCTTGAGAGCGGACAGAGAATCGGCGCACTTTCTCTAAGGATCTGTTCCATTCCAGCATTGTACCCACCTTCGCAAGTCACACCTTTGATCCTGGCAAACCCTCTTGGGCAAGCTGCGTCTGTAAGAACGGGACAGAATTTTATTTCGTTATTAAAAGAAAAGAAATCCATTTGCCAGGCTCAGTGGGAAGGAATTAAAATTTGCAGCTGGGTGGCAGAGGCTGAGGACCAGTTGCCTTCAGTTCGGAAAACTCCCTCTTGCAGGGGTAGCACCACCAGCGTTGACCCAGATTGCAGCTGCTTCTCCCACAATGCCTCGCTGCTCAAAGTGACAAATGAGTTAAAAAGCAAACGAATCAAAGCCTCAAGGACAAGGCCCTCCTGTTCTCCTGGGACACAGCCAAACGAGGACCCAATTGAGCCAATTCTCCTTCCACGTCTAAGATACTTAGGAGGTCTGCTCACACTTAAAGGAAAACTCAAATTGTCCATTTCTAAAGGAGAGTGAATTCCACCTGGGAAGACATTTTTGGAGAGAAGACAACAGTCTTCTTCTCTATAGACACACTGTGACAACGGACGTCTGTTGACTTGGAGATGATGTTCCAACCAATAGCTCAGAGGGCCAGGTCAAGTGCCTACCTAGCTCACAGCGCTCACAGGGGCTCCCCCACGCAGCTCCGAGGGTGGCACAGCATTCGGACTTCAGGGTGGCCCCATTGATGTTCACCTCACAGCGGTTGTCCTGGATGTTGAGCCAGCAAGTCCCTTTCAGGCTGTCTGAAAAGGAATAGGGGAGGTTGGGAAGCTCTTACCTGGGAAGAAAACTCTCTGACACCAAAGGGATTTGTTACAGTGGGAAAAGATACATGAGTATTAATTCTTAAAGTCATTTTGACACCACATTCTTTGAATATATTGACATGGGCCTGTATTTAAATGTGGCATAAGTCAAATACTGAACTGCACTACCCCATACAATATGGCCATTAACACGATGGTATCTACTAACAAGCTATAGAGAAATAACCACTATTGCCCTAGGGTTCATTCTGGTACTAGGAATATGGTACATTGCCATGACAACACCATAACACAGGGGGGAAGGAACAACCTCTATGGTATGTGCTTTGACAGTTAAGAACAAATATATATCATTTTCATTATTCCCTCATTCTTCATTGAACATGCCAGTCAAACTCCACATTCTATTCTAGAAGAGCCAGTATTCCCCTAACTGTGAACATTTATTTGATTAATAACTTGGAAAGAATCTGAAAGAAAAAAAACGAGCCCAAAGATGACAAACATATGACGATCACACATAATTATGTGAAAGCACCAGTCATCCCTTGGTCTTTCAAGGAATGCTTCCTTTTAGGTACTTTCTCCTGCATATTTATCTGTAGATTTAGCTCTATTGCTAAAACCAATATATACTTATTTATCATCAATGATGTGAGGGCATAGAGAAATATAAATAAGATATAAAAATCCCCTAGCAATCTGACCGCCCGAGATAGCTACTCCTAATTGTTAAAATGTTTCCATATCTCATTTAACTGTCTTTAAATAGTAAAATCCTAGTGAGTGACCATGGACATCGAGCTGGTGACTCCACATGTGTGAAAGGGAAAGGTCAGTGGTTAGGGAAGCTTTGGGCAGAATAACAGATTTGGAAATGGCAACTGATTCTGAACCAGTGGCAGTGAATTTATTCCCAGCTGACAGGGCCACTACTAACTTCCTAGACAACTGCATGTTTAATTTTCTTTGTACCACTGTGGCGTTCAAGTAAGTGGGCACATACGGGTAGTGGAGTTCTGGATGTGCACCTAAGAAATCTGAACTCATGACAGTGGCCTCAGATAAATTTGATAACAAGCCCCTAGGAACATATTGCTTGCACACGGCTGAGGGATACCAAAGTACATTCCCACAGAAGGTACTGGAATCTCATTTAATTCTATTTGCAAAGCTTTACTTCTAAATTCTACAATAAAGCACAAACAAAAGTGATTTCATAAATCCAGGGCAGGAACTAGGAGAGAAGTAATTACAATGCCTGTGTATATATCACAAGAAGTTGCCATGGCTCAAATCTTCTGGTGGTAGAGATTAAACTAAAGGAACAATTCTTTCCTTGACCTAATACAAAATGCTGTGGGCAAGGGTGTGGGAGGGTGGGGTGAAGCTGTATGAGGAATTCAGAGCGTGGGCAGGGCTGGATGAGAGTGTGGGAGAAGCTGAGGTTCTGGGAGGAGCTGGATGAAGGTGTGGAAGAAGCTGAGGGTCTAAAAGAAGCTGGGTGAGGGCATGGAAGAAGCTGAGGGTGTTGGAGGAGCTGGGTGAGGGTATGGGAGGAGCTGGGCAGCTGCTTTCTTTCTCCTTTGTCTTTGCTTTTTCCTTTGGGGCAGTGTTTGGTTTGGGGAAAAGTCTGACCCTAACCTAACTCTAATCCTAACCCTAACCTAACCCTAACCAGTTTGTATAGAGACAGTGACAAGGACAGGGGGTAATGAAGAAGAACACACTAACATAGGATGTGTGTGGGAAGATGCTGGGATGAAATATATTTCTATGTTAAGCTAACCTAAAAGGATTAAGTTTAACATTAGAAGAAACATAACGGGTGGGAGTGAAAAGTAGTGGAAATACAGGTAACCAGCAAGAAAATCAAAAAGATCATGCCTATGGATTCAATGTGGAGTTCGGGAGCAAGGTATCCATGCTAAAGAGGACAATTGGGGGCGGCAGTTTAAAGAACGGAGCTTCCATTGGTGAAGATAAATATGTGTCTAGGAAATAGGATTGAGTTTAGAAATCAGAGCCTTGTTTTAGACATGCTCTGTTGAGATATCACGAGACATCCAAAGGGAAACAGTTGCAGTCAGGTGGAAACACAAGCCTGGAATTAATGGAAGGGTAAGGATGGATCCATGGAATTGAGAAACAGGGTGCGTTCACACAGGGAAGCAAAGAGATCAAGGGCCAATTGGTGATACACTTCAGGGTGGAGGTCAGGAGAATAAGGATGGCATAGCAAATAATAATAATAATTTTAAAAGAGCCAGAAAACAGTTGCCCTTGGAATGTTCACAATGCAAGTCCTGAGAAAGTGAGTGACAGGCTTCTTTGCTAATAGTCGACCATAAGGAATAAACCATGGGATCCAATAGCAGAGAAGCTGCTGCTCTTGTATGTCTATGGGAGTTAGGGACATGGGCAAGAATGCACGCAGACCTGGGACAAAGACACAGGTGTGGATTATAAGGCACTATGGAACTAGAGAAGAGCAACACAGGAAAGCTGAGTCAAATACATTGTCCTGTCAGGTCTAACAACAGCAACCTGGATACAATTGTCTTTTAAACGTTTAGAAAATCACTTAAGATAATCTTTAGTGTATCTGAAGGATTAACTCAAAGTCCATAACTATTCTTAGAGCCCAGTGAAGTCACAGATGGTCTGACTTTAGTAACCACACAGAAGAAATTTCATTCCCTATGCCCTGTGGCTTATACCCTGTGACTAGAGGTGGCAGGACAATCACTGATTAGGTAGCCCCATTGAAAACATGCTCCAGACAGGCTGGAGAGATGGCTCAGTGGGTAAAGGTGCTTGCCAACAAGCCTGATGACCTGAGTTCTATTCCTGGGATTCACATGGTGGAAAGAGAAAGCCAGCGGAAACACTCAGGTTTTATCGGAATGAATGAAAAGCTTAAGACACTGGCTGGGGAAATGTGGTGGTGTTTACTTGTTGGCAAATGGAAGAATGACTTAATGATTTGGGAATAAAACGTCTTTGTTTCATTAATAACTATAAGGACAAAAGGCCAAGATAATAAAAGTCTATATGATGAAACAGAAAGGAGGATGCCTTTGATGCTCAAGTGGCATACAGATTGCTTTCTGACTATGAATTGACTGATGCTGAGTTCATTTCCTTTATGTAATAAAAATGACTCGGTCTTGGTTGGAAATTGTGCCTTAGCAGAAATATTTCTGCTTTACAGATCCAAACCCCATACCCTACCACTGGTAATTAGATTTAAAAAAAAAAAATGCAGCTCTGCCCAAGGCATGTGGCAACTGATTTCTGGAAGGAGAACCAACCAATGCTCAGATTCCAGTGGCCATGTTTCATTAGGAAATGAAGACAGGAGTGTCGTGTCTCCAAAGAGGGTTCCATTGATAATCTGGGCCTTGCTCATTTCTAACTAAAATCAAATAAGTAAGATAGCACCCAGCTGTCTATGGAGACAATGGTGAAACCACTTGTATCTTTTCTTAACTACTAAATCGCTAATTCATTTTGGCTAGACAGCAAAAAAGAACCTGCCCATGTATATTGGTACTGTGTAGCTTCTTTTAAAGGTAGATACTAGGTAGCCATGTGATGGAGGAAGGTCATTGGCTAATAAAGGAACTGCCCTGGCCCATTTTATTGGTTAGAGGATAGGTGGGAGGAGTAAACAGAACAGGACGCTGGGAGGAAGAGGAAGTGAGGTCAGACTCCACATCTCTCCTCTCGGGAGCAGATGCCTGAGAGAGACGCCATGCCCCGCTCCCGGGATGAAGCTCCGACCCAGGATGGACATAGGCTAGAATCTTCCTGGTAAGCGCACCTTAGGGTGCTACACACAGATGATTAGAAATGGGCTAAATTAATATGTGAGAATTAGCCTAGAAGAGAATGGGCCAAGCAGTGTTTAAATGAATACAGTTTGTGTGTTGTTATTTCGGGGCATAAGCTAGCCGAGCAGGTGGCCGGGGTGCTGGGAACGCAGCCCTGCCGCTCTTATTACTACAGATTGGCGCCCCACGTGATGGACTAAACCCACTTAAAAAACCTGAGAATGCTTAAAAATAAGGGAGAGAGAGTTAACACAGATTTTTGCTGTTTGTTGGTGGCATGCTGTAGAGAGATTTCCTGATTCGGCAACAGTAGCAGAAAAAACGCTGTGTAATTTTAAAGCGCGACTTCCTGGGGCTGTGCCACCATTGCGATCTCTGTCTGGCTCCTGCGGGAGACAGAGCATTTGAATAGAGCATTTGGAGCAAAGTGCTACTATTTGTTTGATGGCAACTAGACTCGCTGTGTTCTCAGATCTGCTCTGCTTGTTAGAGGCAAGCATGTGCTTTCATCTAAGAGAGGCTTCCTGACTCAGCTTTAGTTTCAGCTTTCGGTGTTGGCAAAAAGCTGAACGCATGCTTTTCGGTTTTCAGCCGTAGCAGGAAAAAAGCTGCGCCGTTTAAAAATGCCGGCTTTCTGGGCTGTCCTGCCAGGGCAAACTCTGACTCTTTTACGCAGGCGGTTCATGCGGTTTGCAAGCACAGGCTACTGAAGCTTGCTTGCTGGCAAGGACCTTGAAATGCCATAGAGTTGTTGCAATAAACAAGCCTACAGCCGGTACGTCAGCCATGAGGCTGGAAAGCTAAGGGATGGACTGGATCTAGCTGGCAAAGCCACGCCTTTAATCCTACCCATATTGCTCAGTAATTTAAAGACTAGTGTGGTCAGAAAAAGAGAGATGTACAGTAAAGAGAGATTCAAAGACAAAAAAAATTTCTAAATGGTTTACCGTGTGTTAGAAATATGTGCAAGCTAAAAGTTGAAGTTCTTAAAGTAAGGGAAAAAAAAGGAAAAGAGTTGTTGTGTGTGGTAGCACACACGCCTTTAATCCCAGTGCCTAGAAGGCAGAGACAAACAGATCTCTGTGAGTTCAAGGTGTAGTAGTGTACACCTTTAATCCCAAATGCCTGGGAGGCAGAGACAGGCGGATCTCTGAGAGTTCAAAGACAGCCTGGTCTACAGAGTTACTTCAGGTCAAAGATACAGAGAACCTGTCTCAAAAAGCAAAGAGTTAAAAGTAAAAATAAATAAAATAGAGGTTAGAACAAAGCTGCACAAAGATGGAAAATACACAGAGAATTTTGATACTGTATGCTATTGTGCTCTCTTTAAATTATTTAAATGCTGAGAAAGGAGCAACAGCTGCTAAAAGATATTTATTTATAAATGCTGCTGAACTAATCCAACATAGATATTTTGAATTTGGATCTAAGGACATGATACTTTGGAAAGGAGTTTCTTATTTTGTTTTCACAGAGGATGAGACACTGTTCATTTCTTCTATTCCGATTTGGTATGATGGACCACGCCCTCCTGAAGGGTTGTTCTGAACACCTTCAAAAAATTGCTTCGCTCAACTGCCAACTGAGATGAAACTAGCACACAGGTTATACAATAAAAGACCTAATTAACGACACCCCCATTCAGCAGGAAGCAGTTTGGAGAGAAAAAACTGCGCCCATGTTCCCAAATAGGGTTTATAAATGTCCTTTTACATTTAAAGGGGGATATGATATAGGTATGAATAATTTGCATTAGTATAGATTTTGCTTTATTGATAGAGATTTAAGGTCAATTTTGTTATATGTATAAGTTTCTGATTTTGATTAAGGTATTGTGATTGTGTAGTTCATTTAAATATGTACTGTATAATTAAGAAATATAGGTTGTTAATGGATAATCATCGATAATAGTAAAGCTTGTAGTCATGTTAATTAGATTTTCTAGCTATATAGAGATATATTTTAGATAGACATTCTTCATATCTTTCAAAGATTATAGAATATGGCATTTTAAATGTTTTAATAACTTAGGACTTTTCATGACAATGAGACACTCTGCTCCTGGCAGCACCAATCTACTTCAAGAAGAAGATGGGCATCGAAGAGGATCCTTATGGAGTTGGATAGCCATTTGGGCAAGAAACTGCTCTTGCCTGGACTGTTGCATCAACTGGACACAAAGAACGCCCAGAGAGAGGACTACTGAACTTGCCTAAGGTGAGATGATCTTTCGGGGTTCCTGATTCATGAAAGAGTCTGTGAGACATTCTGCAGGACACAACAGATAGTGACTGAACTGACTTTGAATTTTCCTGCTTTATGGAAATGTCTGCTGGATACCATGGGCCTGAAGGCTGAAGATGGATGCCCTAACGGTACAGAGGAACTTTGGGTGACTGTCCAGGCAGCGAGATGTCTCTGTCATTTCTAGAGTTTTAAAAGTTGCTTTTTTCTTGTTTGCTTAGGTAGTATTGTATCTTTCTGGAGTCTTTGATGGAGTTAAGAATAGTTAGTTATAGTTTTCCTTAGTTATGATAAAGATTATTGTAACTTTTACTTGATAACTGTTTTGTTATATGTAATTTTGCTATGTTAAAGTTAAAGCCTTTTTTGTTTTTGTTTTTGTTTAAACTGAAAAAGGGGAAATGATGGAGGAAGGTCATTGGCTAATAAAGGAACTGCCCTGGCCCATTTTATTGGTTAGAGGATAGGTGGGAGGAGTAAACAGAACAGGACGCTGGGAGGAAGAGGAAGTGAGGTCAGACTCCACATCTCTCCTCTCGGGAGCAGATGCCTGAGAGAGACGCCATGCCCCGCTCCCGGGATGAAGCTCCGACCCAGGATGGACATAGGCTAGAATCTTCCCGGTAAGCGCACCTTGGGGTGCTACACACAGATGATTAGAAATGGGCTAAATTAATATGTGAGAATTAGCCTAGAAGAGAATGGGCCAAGCAGTGTTTAAATGAATACAGTTTGTGTGTTGTTATTTTGGGGCATAAGCTAGCTGAGCAGGTGGCCGGGGTGCTGGGAATGCAGCCCCGCCGCTCTTATTACTACAGCCATGGGGATTGTGGCATGCCACAAGATGGAGGAGTAATGATAGGGGCAGACCTTTCCTTTATACATGATATTTATTCCCAGATCACACTTTCACACTCTGTACACGTTCTGTGCCATTACCAAGACCTGGTCTTGAGCAGGCACGGTGGCTCCTGTCTGCAATCCCAGGATCTGTGGAGTTGAGACAGGGGAATTGTCAATTCCCAATCTGCCTGCTCTATGTCAGGTTCTAGGCCAGCCTGGGCTATACATCAAAATCCTATCTTGGAACAAAATCAGGAATAAAAGAACTGGCCTTAGTGATTTTGAGTAATATTTTTATCCATAGAGATTTTCCAAAGCAGAAGAACACTTATCTTCTTTTCTTTGGAGGATGATGGATGAGAAAAAGGAAAATACTAAACTCCTACGTATTCCTGGTTAAAATCTTCATATTCTTATCCTCTGAACTGAATCCAAATTCCATCGTGTCTTCGATTACAAAAGAAGGTTTAAAGATCTGTGATAGGGATTTGATGGTACCATGCCTTTTAAAGCATTTGAAGGATAAGAAATGTGTGTGTGTGTATTCTCTACATATTTCTATACATATATAGAAATGTGTGTGTGTGTATTCTCTATATATTTCTATACATATATAGAAATGTGTGTGTGTGTATTCTCTATATATTTCTATACATATATAGAAATGTGTGTGTGTATTCTCTATATATTTCTATACATATATAGAAATGTGTGTGTGTGTATTCTCTATATATTTCTATACATATATAGAAAAGCCTACAACCACAGCATCATGTAGCTACTGATGTGAAAGGGGGCATTCTGGGACGGAAATGTTTAAAAGCCTTCCTAATTTCTGCTCTTCCGCTCTCCTCCTGTCCTTTCTGTTTCCCCCACAGGAAGGCTGAGGTAGGGAACAACCTTCACATGGAATCTTTGTAGGAAGCTCACCAATGCAGACGAATCCGGTGGAGCTGAGCTTGCTGCCGGGCGAGCACTCACAGTGGAAAGAGCCGAGGTTGTTCCTGCAGGCCCCATTGACACACGGGTTGCTCTCACACTCATTTACGTCTACAATGCAGAAGGAAAAGATTCCGTTAGAGCTGCCATGCGTTTCTGGAAAATATTATTCCAGCAAGCCGTGCTATGCCAGAACGTCTGGTAAACTTGGCTCTTATAATTTTAATATGGATCTGCAAGGCCTAAAGTGAATGGGGAATGAAGACATGTTCTACAGTGTGGTTACACATCTATTTGACTGGACCCTCAGTAGGACCAGAAGGAACACACTGTTTGGAAAAGGATTCAGTATGTGCACCTTCTATGACTCTGACTATTTATAGCTGCTTTGGTTTGCTTCTTGGTTGTCACTCAGGTGCAATCCAATGGCACAACAAAGCTTCATTGTTTTCTGTCTCTTAGAGTTCTCTGAGGTTTGAAGACAAAAGCATACCAGCATTGGCTTTAATTCTGAATTCCTAGAGGCAACCCAAGAAACAAGGACTGGGATATTCATCCTGGCTACAGAACTCTCCACAGTCACCATTCTCTTTCCTCTGCCCTTTACGGTCACATGATTACTTAATGAATTACTTCACACAATTAATTAACTTTAGCAAGACATAAATTTGGAAAAGTAGAGCTGTGGCAGGGTGGAGGAGTTGTCTGTTGGTGGAGCACATGCCTCAGGTTGCTGAATTTAATCTCCAGAACCAATACAAAAAGAAAAAATAAACAAATTTAATTGCATCGAGTAGGACTTCATGATTACTGCTTTAATCTCAAATCAAATCATATACCAGTAACCTAAGCAGTTTCTGTTGATGTCAAAAGCAAATAGAATCATAGTACACCTACATTTTCAAGAGGTGCCTAAGAAATTCTCAAAGGTAAATAGCATACCATTATGAATTAATAAAAGGTAGACACAGGTCTCAATTAAAATATGAATGATAACATCAAAGTCACTTTCCATAAAATCCAATTACTCAGTCACCAAGGCAGCCACTTAATTATCTATCCTTGCTTAATTACTCCAAAGACAGCAATGTAGCTCAATGCTTTTAGGTTAAACAGAATGGTCTCTGAGATCCCAAGGAGATAGTCCCCTCTACACATATCTTTGGATTTAATATAGACACTTCTTTTCTTTAAAATGTTGTAGGTAAAACTAGAAGGCTCCAATGCTTGCTCCTGACTACCTCAAGTGAGATGTAAACCAGTCCTGAAAGGGCCAGGCTCAGAGCTGACTGCCAGTCACTGGGATAAAAATATCAACTCAAAAGTCTATGTTCAAATACGAAAGATGTGCTAGCAAAGGAAGGGGAAATCTCACTGGGGCTTAAACCCTAAACCAAGAACTATAGACAAGTAAGGAATACTAAGAATAGGGAAGATGCCCCAACTGGTTATTCAGTACCAAGTGGTCACCCTAAAAACATGCACATACCAACAACATCATACGGACTGAGCAGGTTATAGTTATATATTTAGATGCACACACATGTAACAACATTTAAAGAGATGGCGGTTATGAACTTGAGAGGCAGATGCATGGGAGGAGCTGGAGAGAGAGAAGAGATGAGGAGAGTTATATAATTATATTTTAATTAAAAAATTTCTGTAGAGAGCAGTTACTGTCACTTCAGGGTGTCTAGAGATGAGCTCAGATATTAATTTAGTTCTTGAGCTATACATTACTGCGGGAAATGCGAGTATATTTTGCTTTTAGGTTGCTTGCAATGAAAAAGGACTTCTTGAAAGAACAATACAAATATTTATAAGACTAATTCAAATACAAGGCTTTTCAATGAAAAGTATTGAAACCTTTTCATAAAAATTTAAGTACAAAAGAAACGAGATGAGCAAGAAATATGCGATCTGAGGGTATCCCACATTTAATTCTCCAATTAATTCATTTGTGAGAGCTCCCCCCCAAAAAAAGAAGGGCTGGTGTCATAGTTATAGTTTTTCAAATATCCATTTTGAATTAAGCAATGGCCTACTCAAAAACTATAAACACACACAGCGACAACTACAAATATCAACTATTTAGTTTTCCCTTAAATACAGTGTTTTTATGGTATAAATGTCATGGAACCAGAAATTGAAACAGTTCACTGTACATTTCTGGAAATAAACTTCAAAGCACATCTGGTTTACATTGAACTAGTTATGTCACTGGAAACACAATCGAAACCACAGTCCGGGATGTAAAAATTTTAACTTTCACAGACTCTCCAAGCTCAAGCAAAATGAAATAATTCTTTTGTAACCTCAGTCTAAAATACAGAGAAACCTCCTGCTTATTGGTACTGTTGCTTATTATATATTTAAATTAATCTATTGAAACCATGAATTACAAATAGAGTCAGCCAACAGAGAAAACACATACACAAAAAGCTGAAATTTGCAAAAAGTCTGGTCCTAATTCTCTGTCTAGCCCATGGAAATTAGTGAAGGAAGACTAGAGAGGAGAGACCAGGCTGACAAATTGATTGCGCCCAATGGTGGAAGTCAGGAGACTTAAGGAGACACGAGAAGAGAGGCCCCTTGGTCGGTACATATGCAGTTTGGGGGAAAACGTTAAATGAAAGGCAAATAACAGTGGGTAAATAGTTACTTGGGTAAGTTTCCAGACTAACTGATTATTATTTTTTTTTAATTTCCACCAACATTATAAGGTTGGAGCCAAAATATTTTTCTATCATTTCATCTTTATTCATAGACTATAGACTCCTTTCCTATGAACCCCAGATAAAAGTCATTTCCATATCAAAGGAAAGACTAAGGTTTGTGGGAACAAGTGCTCTTTAAACAAAGGAAGTCAAGACATCTCTACTGTCCTTGCTGTCTGGTTTGCCACTGAAGTGACTTACCATTTATGTGACAAGCCAGCATTTTGCTACTAAATGTCATTCTGTCTTTTACCTGTTTGGTAGTTTACCTGTCAGTGCCTTTCAACTCTGTCTTACTTGTTTTGACAATTCAGTGTTCGCACCACAGAACCAGACCCCAGCCATTTGGTTCCCACTCTCTCTCATGCCATCGCCAGAAGGAATGGTGCATGTGACAGCAATAGTTCTGAGCTAATCGAGACAACATCTCATCTACCCTTACTTTCTACGTTTCCTGAGATTTAGAGAAACTTAACCCTTTAACAGAGAACCAAAATGGTAAAATGTAGCAGAGGTGTGGCTATCCAGGACAAACAAAAATGCCACAAACCCCTTACCTCGCCCTTCTGGGTTGGGGGACAAGCAAAACAGGGAAATGCTCTAGACAAGCTTTTCTCAGAGAATGTTGAAGGAAAATGTGTGGTGGGAGTGTGAATAGAAGCCAGGAAATAGGAAATGTCACATGTATAGTTGCAGAGCCTAGCAGGGTTTACCAAGAGATGCTCCTCGCTCTTAGGGGATGCCCTGACCATCTGTGGAGAAGACAAGTACTCCAACCCAGAAAGGATGGGTGTGTCATGCCAGACAATAAGGGAAGCAATTATCTTAGCTCAGTTTAGGAAAATGTGATTTTATGTAAATGACTGTCCCCCCACCCATACATATTGATTAATTACTCTTTTTCAGAGGTCCCTCCAACTCAATCCAAACTTAGAACTGCGCTTTGTAATTGCATTCCTTTGGCTTCAGCTGAGACATTTGTGTTTTGCCATCTTGTTCAATAGTCCTAACTTGCTTCTGTCCACAAGAATGCTTTGAAGTTAAAGAAGAAGATGAAAAGAGGATGCTAACATTTCCCCCCCACCTTATAATAGTGCTATTGCACTTCTCCTGGGTGTGGAGTGGCCGAGGAACAATCACACCCACAGAAAAGGAAAGGGTTTTTCTGCAATAATTAATATTAACTTTCTTAAAACAAGCTACTATTTGGAAGTGGTAGCAGGATTTGAGCAGATTATAGGAGCTGTCTGCAGGCCCACATCCTAGACACTGAAGGAAGAAAACAAATGGTAGCTAAGAAATAGATTATTCTGAAACAGAACTGGGATCAAGATATCAAGTCATCCCTGAATGCACTCACATCATAGCCCGAGTCCCACTGAAAACGGAGACTGCCTTAAGCATTGAACTTGTTCAAGAAGCTTGCACCACAGAAACTCATGGCAGAAAAAACGAGGTTTTAAAATATTGACCTAATTTAGAGTTACAAACCCAAATGATATCCTTCAGCTAGTCAAGCGGAAAGGATAATTTTCATAGAATATGTATTTCAGGGAGGAATTAGTTTCACATAGGATCCAAATATTTTTCTAGGTCAACGTTTTGACACTATCAACCATCCAGTTCACAATGAAGTGGCTAGCCGCTGAGTACTTTTGGAATGTAGGTTTTTAGGTTAGTATGTCACAGTGGTTTTTTTTAAAAGGGTAAACCTAGTGAACAAAATCGGATATTTTATTTAAATGAGTGAAGTTATACGGCTCTTTCTGTTGGTTTTTCCAGCTGCTTGATGATCACCTATGTGAATGAAACAAACCAGCAGTGTTTATAAACTGTGTTTACATGAATGCCACTCCTAGAATTTTCAAATCCACGGACAGAGATCATAAAACAAGGAAGACATTCTCTCACACGTATTTTGATGGCACCCCTTTACTATGACTTCTGTGGATGTATTTTGAGGTGCTTCAGGGGCTCAGACATGCCAAGTCAAGGAGGACAGCCCAGCCCTTACCTTCGCAGGTCTCTGTCTCTGTCCGGAACACATAGCCAGGGGGACATGTGCAGCTGTAACTCCCCGGGGTGTTTCTGCATAAGCCATTGTCACAAAGCAGCCGGTTTACCAAGCACTCATCAATGTCTGCAAGCAGTCAGCAGAAGACAAGAGGTGGACATGGTTACAGGAACATCACACGAACCGCCTACGCTTTATTTTTATTGGTTTTGTCCCTCTCTCTTTGCTCTGACTCAGTATTTTTTTTTTTTTTTTTGGATTTTCGAGACAGGGTTTCTCCGTAGCTTTTGGTTCCTGTCCTGGAACTAGCTCTTGTAGACCAGGCTGGCCTTGAACTCACAGAGATCCGCCCGCCTCTGCCTCCGGAGTCCTCTGACTCGGTATTTTTATGCCATACTAGAGCAAATACATTCTGTGCTATTCAGTGGGTACCTTCTTCTTATGCTGGTGGAGGCTTTTACGATCTTCTGAAGTCCTTGGAAAATGTGTCAGACTTAGCCAGGGCTCATTCTTTGTTCTCCTTCAGTTACCTTCCCCCACTCCCTAAAAGCGATTATGCTAGGTTTATTTTTACATTGAAAGCACTGATAAAATATAATAGATAGTTAAACTCATTTGCCAGTAACCTTACACATAATAAGAATACGATATTTTTCAATTTTTTTTTATTAAAATTCCAAGAATGCATTAAGTGTTGGTTGTGGGAAAGTTTCCCATTGTGTTTCCAGCTAATGGAGTTCCTAGCAGAGCACTGTTGATTCATTTCGTACATTCCTCTGGCCATGTAGAACGGCCCAGGGAAGACGGTTCAAACATTCACATTAGCTTTATCTCCCTTTATTTGGAACAGATCTCACGCTGTAGCTCCAGCTGGCACTCAATTCACTCACTGTGGGCTGAGGTTACAGGCACTGACTTCTTATCGGCAAGTTTGGTTACCGAGAGGAAGAAATAATAACCGCACTTGGGGATAGGGAGTTCCTTTTGCTTAAAGTGACATTTTTCCTCTCGCAAGCAGTTGCCCTTGGTCAAATGGCATAGGGTCACCATGATGACACTGAAACAGGGATCAGGAAACAATTTCACGTAGCATCACCATAGATAGTATTCTTTCTGCTTCACTTGAGTCTTACCCACTCTGGATGCTATATTTTGCTCTGATTCCATCTCTTAATATGTCTTCTTAAATGAAACTTGTATAACCTCAGTCACTTTTCTTCAAGGGTATGGCCCCTACTAGGGTTACCTTGCTCCGGTGGATGATCATATACACCCACGCATAGATGGGCAGCACAAATTGGACTCAATTGGTTATTTTCTTTTTAAAAGAATGGATGAAGTTGGAGGGGGCAGGACAGTAGAAGGGGGAGGGATGTCGAAGAAGCTGGGGGAGGGGCAGGAGACATATGCTCAACATGCTTTGTATGCACATATGAAATTCTCCAAAAGTTAGATATATATTAAAAAAAAACTAATCCTGAATGAGGCCACATCCTGTGCTTCTGAGGTTGAGGACTTTGATGTATGTTTACTAAGGGACATAGTTCAATTCCATGAGAAATGGGTAAGAAAATGATGAGTCAAATACTTGGTAAGACTTGCATGTTTTTTATTTTATGTGTGTGTTTGCCTACATGTATGTATGTGCACTGTGTGCACACAATGTGGAGAGCCAGAGGGGGTATCACATGTCCTGAAAACTGGGGTCACAGAGAGCTATGAACCACCATGTGGGTCCTGGGAACTGAACCCTGGTCCTCCGGAAGAGCAGTCAGTGCTCTTAACTGCTGCAACATCTCTCCAATCCCTTCATCTCTAAGTCTTTAACAAACATCACACATATGTAACGTGTCATAGCTGTGTGACCTGAGTTCTGCGTGGGCCTGGTCACAGGATATTTTTGGTTTTCAAAGGGCCCACCCACATGCTCATTTGGAAGTGTCTTTGCTTCCACTTAAGAAAGGGTGGTTTGGTTTCTATGTATTTATTTATTTATTTATTTATTTATTTATTGAGACAGGATTTCCAGCCCGGCTGACCAGGGACTATGGTTGTCATAGTGCTTGAATTTCTGATCTTTCTGACTCCCAAATTCTGTGATTACAGGTGTGTGCCACCACCATTGGTTTACGTGGTGCAGAGGATTGAACCCAAGGCTTCAAGAATTCTAGGCAAGCTCCTAGCAATGGTTCCAAACTCCTGGCCCATCTGCATGTTTTTAGAACTGTTCAATAATCTTTGGCCGGTACACTTTCTTATATGTGTTTAGTTCATTTAAGTATATAATAGTCTATTTAAGCATGTAATAATAAGAACATAATTTAAATTCATCTGTCTATATCTTAAATTCAAGATCAAATGGGTATATTAAGCAATAAAACCCTTAGCAAAAACACAGCTATTAAATTTCTTTACTCATAATCATCAGTTGCTTGGTTGTAAAAAGCATTCTGGGTAATTTGTAAGTGTTATGTACAATGATAGTTCCAATAATTCTCATTTTATGAAAATGGACTCAATTGTTCTGTGGGACAGTTTTGATTTTATCCAATCTCTTGAAGATGTAAACTAATAAAGAGTTGGCCTGAAAGTCTCCTTATCTTCCTCCTTTTCCTTCTGCTGAATATAAATTACACAGGAGTTTGGTTACCACATTCTTTTGTAAGTTACAAAAGGGAGAGACTTCTCTCAGCTATCATATTTAGGCATAGCAGTAACTAGTGGTTTCTTGATCAAGTCAAGGTTCCTCCAACCTGGGTCAACCGCACTTTCCCAAACTATCAAGTGTGTTAGCCTTTGAAGTCTACACCTCGCCGAAAACATTTAGGATTCAGATAACTACAGAGAAGCAGTTGGTGAACGATTCATTTGTACTCACTCTCTTGGGAAAAGACTGTTTAAATATACAGTACCCCATCAAATTCGACGCTGTCCTGTAGAACTCAATTCTAATAATTTTGTATCAATGCCCAATACAAAGACCATAAGAAAAGCTACGGGAGTTCTAGTTTTCATCGTTAATTATTGTTTCTCCTCCGATCCAGGGAATTAAACGACCCGAGTGGCTCTTGTACACATATCCGCAGGAACTTACCGATGCAGTTTCTTCCTGAAGCATCTGGCTCATAGCCGCTATTGCAGTTACAGCGGTAGCTGCCTCTCAAGTTTTCACAGATCCCATTGGCGCAAATGTCAGGGTCCAAAGCACACTCGTTGATATCTGCATGAAAGGCGGCATGTTTAACACTCACAGACACCTGTTTGCTGACACAGGAGGACCTAACAAGGAGCTTTCGGCACGTGAAGCATCTAAGTTTGAAAACCTACCGTTTGTGTTTTAGAAAGAAAAAGGAAATATAATAAGAAAAAAACTGAAGGACACGACACTTCTCTGGTAAGTCAAGAGAAAGTAATGAAAGGAGCTGGCCCCGCCCAAATAGTTAAGCCATCTAGCAATGTCTATATTTTTGACAAAATTAATAAAGAAAAATTACAGGCTGTTGGCTCAAAATCCAAAAGAAATCTCAATTTAATAGGTATGATAGCCATCTAATTAAAACATGGAGATTTATTAGGAAGGCCTGTATGACTTCATAGTCACAGAGTGTTCTTGCTTTGTTCTCATAATTAGCAATTATTTAAGTAATGGGGTACATGGTGCTTCTCATTGTTCCTGAGTTAGAATGAACCCAGAAGTCACTAAAACATGGCCACTCAACAGCTCAGTTTATAGCAAGCTAAGGACATGACAGCTGCCTCACTGCCCAGGAACAGTGAGGTGAACTCCAGTCAAACAAACACACAATTCCCAACAGGCAGTGGGCTTTGGTGGGAGGCCAATGACAGGGAATTAATGAAACAAACAAACAAAAACAAAAGAAAGCAACAAAAGAGGGGGAAAAAACCCCAACAACAAACTACTGTGTTGCAAAAGTCCCCATTTGGTTCACTGTGATCAAATTCTGGTGATCACTGTTCCCAGCAATTGGGAAGGATCTGCCAGTCAGAACATCCCTATAATCCCAGGTGCTGGGACAGGGGAAAAGGCTCAGGAATTAAAGGCCAGCCTGGGCTTCAGGACACTGTCTTTAAAAAGGAAAATGGAATTAGAAAGACCTCCTTAGAAACTCTCTGCTTCTTTACCTATGTTTTCATTTTGTATTTGGGAAAAAATATCCCAGTAACATTCTGCCTTTCTCTGGTCTCAGATATTTATTTAAAATGTAAGAGCACCGCCTGAAGATTTACAGTCCGCCCCAACGCGGTCTCAAACCTTTGCCCTTATCAACACAGACACCCTTGCTTCTCTTTCGGAGTCTTGTTAAAACATGACACACAGTTGGAAATAAGAGATCATGAATGAATTTTACTTCTGCAGTTGGAGAGGAACATTTTGATGGTTTTTAGAGCATAAATGATCTTAGTTATTTCGGGACGGTGTATCCCAGACCTGATCCATATCAAATATCTCTTAAAGACAGGTATTCTTTTCCTAGCTGTATCTGTATCATTATTTGGTGTAGTGCTGTCTTAAAGAAACAGACACATAAAATCATGGATATGGACTGTGAGTGAGATTCTCAGTGGAACACTTTTAACAGATAGATATTTATCTCTCGTGAAAAGCAGTCACATGTGAAATGTCACTTAACGCCATCCAACTTAACAGCTGTTTCTCTGGAAGACGGAAAAGGGTTCACCCTACCAGTCTCCACTTCTTCATTTTCACAGTAAATATAACCATATTCCCATGATAATCAGAAAGCCATGAGACTGAGAGTTGAGCAGGATTACCTCTTCCGTCCACAGTGATGCCCACGCCACTGCTACAAAGGCCTTGGAACTCAGCTGTGTGATGAAAACAGATAGGAAGTGTTAAGCCACGCCCACTCCACATCCCTCCATTAACATAACAATGGAAATAAGAAAAGTTAAAAGAAGCTTATTCCACACTTTGTCATTAACATAACAATTTTATGTAAACTCATCTTAATAATGAAAACAATCCACTATTTTCTAGACCATAATAATTTCAAGAATTCTAAGAATCATGGTAAAGTATAAGAAGTAGAATTCCTTGCAACCATGGGTAGGGATGATCTCACTATATTGATAAATGTTTCAATATTTTTCACATGCAACTTTAATCTATGACATGCCACCACGTTGCCTTTGTCTTCTTTTCTCCATGACAACATGACAAGAGTCGAAACTTATGTCATCATAGTTACTGAATACCAGGTAGTCTCCATTTTACATCTAATAATGAATCTAATTGTTCTAATACAGCCAGCTAGAAACATTTTTTCCCCTCTTACAAGGGAGTAAATTAACAAAGAGTAACAGGGTAATTTGCCCCAAGCTACTGAGGTGGGTAGGGAAATAGGCTTGGGTCCCAAGAACTCTGTCACAGACATGTCGTGTCAATGTCCCCTTTATAGGGCATCAATATTTTATTCTCAGTTATATGGAGAGACTACATTTCTTCATCAGTCCCTTATTGATATAGTTCGGTCTTTCCAATTTGGAAAAACTTAGACAAGCAATGACAGCTTCAGCTATGCTTCTCAAATAATTAATTTTTTTTGAAAGTAAAACTTATCCAAGTGCATGCTTCTTTTGAGGCTAACATCCCTTCCCTGTTCCCAGAATACTCAGCCTTCTGTCATTTAAGAGTATCTCTTTTGGTATATCTTCCCATCACAGGAAAAAAATCAATTGCCTATAGCTTCTCCAAACTGATAAATAAAATTGCCATTTCATTATAATTTTTATAGCAGACATTTTTTTCACATGTAAAACTACTATTTGCATTCTCCTTTGCTAACTCCTGTGTGCAGTAAACTTTTTTCAACAGAGCGTTTCCTGGCTGATTAGCATGTGTTCCTTGAAGAGTGAGGGATGACATATGAAATGCTTTCTTTCCATTTAAATCTGTGCTTTAATACCTGATATTAAGTTTAGGATAGTTTATCCCCCCCTTTTTTCTCTAAAAAGAAAATGTCATATTCAGTAATTTGAGATGCATGGAATATTTTTCCAAATGCTCGAACAACTCATTTAAGACTGTCCACAGAACTCAAAACCCATCAACTTTGCAGGAAGTTCTCTCTTATCCTTCACGTGGAAAGAGAATCAACTACGTGTGCACCTCTCTGCTTCATTCATCCCCCTGCCTTAGGCAACAGCCTGCTTCATCCTTCACGCTTTCCCTGCCCGTGACCCTTTCAAGGTGCCGATCATACACATTGTAATTTGTATTTGCTGCCTGTGATCCCAAGTATTTTCAACCTGAAGAAAAAGCAGGGACTCTGTTTATTTTTTAACCCCGCTGTCTTTAGGCATATTCTACAGAGGTTCCTTGAAAGTATGAACAGACAAGAGTCAACCTTGATGGACCTTGGACTTGACATCATAAGGTATCTAGTCTTTTACCAAGTCAACCAGATTGTCTTGTGTTTATAAATTCAATAATGGCACATACATGTCAAGGTATTCTGTATTCTCCATCACAACACAGATCAAGAGAACTGAGGATAACATTTGAATATAGAATCTGTACCACAATCACAGTGGCATGAGCAAAGAGTTGCTGCTCACTGTGATCACTGTGGTACAGCCAAAGCTTACACGCAGTCCGAGACTTCTGACTACACGCTGCACACACCAATGCAAACTTGTTTTTTCTTCTTCAGTTCAGAATAAGGACAAAACACTTTTGAGCAGATGCAATCTTTGGACAAGTTTGTTGTTGAAGTTCTAGTCTCTTGCAAGGGAATACCTGAATTTTTGGCAGGGCAAGGCTGGCAGGGCTCTCCAAAGCCGTAGTCTGGATTAGCACAGCAGCATTCAGACTTGGTCACCGCGCCAGGGAAAGGACGCACGCACACCCCCTTCTTGATTCCGCCATAGCAGGTACTACGCATGTGAGTGTCTAATGGAAATAGACGATGGTAAGAGAGACAGGGGCTGTTAGATGGGAAGCTTCTTTAACCCGAGAAGCTACGCCACTAGGAACTTCCAGAGGACATCTCCCATTTCCTGTCCTTTTAGCATCTTCAGCATCTTCACGGTGGGGAAAAGAACAAAAGGGAATGACTGACAACATCCCAACACCTGTAGTCCCTAGCCCTACCCTGTGCCACACAAGTACCCAACATTCCCCTAGACTCAAGGTCTTTCATTGGCTAAGGATGTAGCGACAGTCAAAACACCGCGTTGAGCTTTGATTGTGGAGTTGTCTGAGCCTCAGCCTGGCCCTTAGCTCCATTGAGGAGTTCTAAGGAGCAGTGAGGATAAACTACCGCGAAGTGACTAGCTTGTTGTCTAGGGAATGGCTTGCTTTGACCTTTTAAATTAAAACATCTTTTTTTTTTCACCTGTCTGGATGCTGTTGGTGACCATGGATTTTTGTTTGTATATAAATAAGAAATCTAAGTTAAAGAGCCAATTCGAATAATTCATAGCAGTGATTTCTTCCTAACATAATCAGGGATGGTTCCCACTGTTTACTGGGTGGACCGAAGAAATCTACCACAGTATGAGAATAGCAATATATATTTTTCCACCCAAACTATGTCTCTTGTTTTAAAAAATTGAAATCGCCGTAGTAATAAAAATTTCGCAAAGTCGTCCCAGTGATTTCTGATGTGCTCCCGATATGTGAATAAAAGAATGAAGCCTTGGTTTTGAGCATGGATTTCATGAAAAATATTCATAGACTGGCTGCTGGAAATAGAACTAATTTCTCCTTCCCAAACCAGCTTCATGTTCACTTTTAGATTTCAATGGAATCCTGTAGGTGTAGACAAAAAGCAACGAAGCATTTCAAGACGACCGAACATATTTCAGCTGTCCGCACAGGAAGGGGCTGCATTCTTCTGGCTGCTAAGTGCTGACAACCTGCAGGCTGAAATGCAGCCAGGCCTGCACAGAGGATGCGGCCCAGGGAACAAATGGTTTCCATCTGCCGGCCCTGCCTGGTCCTCCTCACTCCTCCTGGGATTCAAGAGTTAGAAGTAAAGTCTTAACAACTATGGCTGAGAATTTTCTTTCTCTCCAAAACACGCATTCAAAACAGCCTTGCTGTTTTCCTGCACGAGTTGAAGATCTGAGGGTGCAAAATGACCGACTCATCCTTCAGGTTTCCAGAAAGTACTTGGAAGGGAAAGCCCCACGAATGCATTTTCCTAACCTCCCTCAGTGTCCCTGCAGCTTTACAGCTTAGGTCCTGAAGAGCCCACAGCATCTTTTCAAAGCCAATGCACAAGCGCTTTGATTCATTTTCATGGTACCCACTCGGCAGATGTTTCCAAAAGGAATTCAGAATGGCTTAAGGTAAAACGTATATTCAGCCTCCTATTTTCCCTTCAGGTTGATGGTTTGAGGCATAAGCTTAAAAACTTTAAGCTTTAGGTAGCAATACACTTCTATGGCACACGTTACTTATGACTCAAGCTCTGTTTGGATAAAAGTAAGAGTTTACATGGATGTAACTGTAATCCCCAGTTTCATATCGGTTATTAATAATAACATGAATTGCCATTGAATTCGGAACTCTCGTATCTTTGTATATCATCAGAAGTCTTGAAAGAAGACAGTGTGAGGGGTCTCATTTTATAATAGGTATATTGAGATATAATGTACAAGCTATAGAATTAATTCACTGAAACTCTACATTTTAAGGGCATTTACACTCACAATTGGTTTTTAGAACATTTGCATGTCATTTAGTTATCATTTTCTTCTCCACCCTGTCCTTTCTGCCATAACCAATCACATGGATGAATGCAGATTTGCCTCTTTGGGGCATCTTTTATAAATGATATCACATAGAAAACGGCCTTTTGGTGACAGACTCCGTTCACTTGGCACATGTTTAAGCCTTACTTGGGTTTTAGCATGCATTCTGCTTGTGGTTAAATATTACCATTCTTTTGTGTTGATATATCCTATTTTATGTTATCAGAGATCACTAGGGACTATCAGGCCGTCACAGAATGCTCACTTACCAACACATACACGTCCATCCACTCCCACAGCCAGGCCAGGGGGACAGTCACAGCGGAAGGATCCTTCGTTGTTGATGCAATGTCCATTCATGCAGATGCCTGGGGTCTGGCATTCGTCAACATCTGCCCAGAGGAGGACAAAAGATGGTCCATTACAGAGTAGAAGGCTTTGCTCTCTAAACTGGTCTATCCTACTAGCCTTCCAACTGGGTAACTTGCAGAAAGAATATATAAAAATGGCAACCGACCTTCTATAAAAATATAGACCTCTCAAGCACATTTTGAGAGTAAAACCTGCTGAATGCATTGAGGGAAAAAGAGAGTCTCATAACATCCATTATTTATTTGATTATCTTGTTTACTACTATTATTATCTAATTCAAGTTAAGCGAAGTAAATATCTACAAATCTATGAGCAATTTTTGCAATATTTTTCCACACAGAAATAGATTCTGTTTTGACATTAATCTCAACATTTCCTATCTAACAAAATAAGCTGAGATAGTCCATGTAATCTTCAGTCCACTTGCAATTATCAAATGCTGTCCAACCCTAAGCAGCTTTCTCAACAGCAGAAATACACCTCAGACACAGAACTGATAAGCTATGGCCATTTCAAGACACCTAGAGTCTAACATTAGTAATGAGAAAATTGATGGAAAATGATTCCCAGAAGGATTGACAGGTGAAACCTTCATACACGCATTTAACTTTCCTCAGGAACCCTGAGATGAAGCTCCAGACTGCCGTGCAATGCTGCATGACACAGAGAAATGCTGGTCACCTATCCTGTGCTAAGTCTCAGTCAACTGTCCTGGAGATATCAAGGCAAACCTATAGCTTTCCACTTCATCTTGTATTCCTTTTCTTTTCTTTCTATATTTTTTTGTGGGGGGAGGAGTTAAAAGCTATTTGTATTGCATAAACTTAGTCCCATATTATATCCCTACTGTCCTGGAATTTCAATGACATCATTGGAATTGGTAACGAATCTTATTTTATTCAGGTAGACTGGTAAAGTGGAAGGCAGAAAGCGTTCCTTGAGCTGATTTCCTCTAAGGGAGGAAACTGAGATGTAAATAAAAGCTTGCTTCCAAGGCAAAACCACAAAATGAATTCCACGTTACAAAGTTCTGCTTGTGAGCATGAACGTCATACAATGTCATATAATTCTGGGAGGCCTCTATTTTGATTATTAAAATTATCACTAGAACTTAAAATAGCTAATGAAAACATCAAAATCACATCTTCACTTAATTAAGATTGTAAAATTATGACGTTTCCAAATGACCTGTAGATCACTGCTATGGAGAAGATGTGATACTGTGTCCATAAGGAGTGGGCATAGAAAATCCAGGCCTGGAAATAGATAAAAATGGCAGCTTTGCAAGGTGTTCGCTTACTCTTATTCATTTAGCTAACAATCAGGAAGAAATTATTTCTGTACTGTTTTCTTCAGACTTGCCAAAATCAATGTGCCATTTTCTTAATTTTTCCTAGACCCTGTTACCTTGCAAAGGCACTCCTGTTTCTAAGCTCACAGAGTACTTTCCCCTAGGAAGCTTTAGGTATCTCCCTTGCTGAACTAGCAAGAGAGGTGAATAATGAAATGGAAGTAAGGGAAATGGAACTATCCTCGCATGATCCACAGATGAGAAAAGGATGGCTCCAATCACGGTGACTGTCTTATCTCAACGCCCTGCGTACCTGTGCAGTAGCGGCCGTTCGGAGCCAGCACGAACCCGGGCTTGCATATGCACTTGAAGCTGCCGTCTTCATTGATGCACATCCCATTCAAACACATGTTCGTAGTGGTACATTCATCGTGGTCTGTGGCAGAAGACAGCATGGCTTTGACCCTGGCCTCAGAAAACCAAGGCTTCCTCTCCTTCCGTGGTCTCTAGTCAAAACTACCTCATATACGATCCCTGTGCTTGTGGGTACTGCTTCACTTTTAAAAACCATTTAGATTTCACTTTGAGATTATGATATAATCACATCATTTATCTTTTCCCTTTCTTCTCTCCAAACCCCTCCCATGTGCCCTTCTTTGCTGTCTCTCAAATTCACGGCCTCTTTCCCCATTGATAGGGTAGTTGCTGTTAAAACCATATAGACACCAGTGGCTTTTATCTTCCCGAGAAGGTAACACGGTTTCAGTGGGTGTCCGGTTTTTGATAGAATTAAAGTATGGTAATCCTCAGTCAGGTTAAACGAGCTGGCTTTCCTTAGCGAATGTGTGAGTCCCACTTCTGACATCTATTGCTCAGCTAAGCATGCCAACCAAGGATGATTGGCATGCCAAACATGCCAGTCAGTGACCATGGATAGCAACTATGCCATATTCTCCCAAATTCAGAAGGAAGCTCCTTCTCTATCCTGTCAGCGTTATGCCTGGTATCTAAAATACAGCACAGCACACCGCAGAAGAATACCTGTTATTTATACTTAAGTATGCACTGCATAAGAAAAACAAGAGACGTCATAAATCATGAGTTGTTGTGACATGACTAATTAATTAATTCTATCATGTAATTTCGATACTCATGCTAAATGCATTCATATTTTATATACCTAAGTCATGTAACCAGCTTTCTGCCACACGCGAGATGCGGGAGCCTTTGTAGAAATCACGTATGTGGTTCTAAAGAAAATGTATATCCTCTAAAAACCGTTTTCAAGGGAGAGAGAAAACGCCATACCAACACAGTTTTTCCCATCTGTGGTTAATTCAAAGCCAGCGTTGCAAATGCACTGGAAACTTCCATCTGTGTTCACGCAGCGGCCATTTTTACAAAGGACGCCATTCTGGATGCACTCATCAATATCTGAGAAGACGAAAGAGAGGAAAACAGCATTCCTTTGCAATGCTTGTCAATAAAAACAGTAAGAGAATGCACGCGACTTGAAATACTCGCTGCATTTTTACATGTGATACCCAAGAGCGTGTTGCTTTCTCACTAACTTGTCTTCTTGCGTAGAAAGTGTAAGCAATTTCGCCAACCAGATAGTAGATAAAGAGGGAAGGAAAGAGAGAAGGATGACAAGGTTGTCATCAGTCTGACTACAGGGAAGACCATTTTGGGCCACTAGTGCTTAGGGTCTTAGCTGGGGTTATTTTTGTGGATTGCAGGGAATGTCCCTAGTGCCAGGCTTCTCGCTAGGCCCATAATGATGCCCTCAATCAAGAGATCTCTTTCCTTGCTCTCCTTCGTGTTCTTCTCCCCTTCTCTTTCTCCCCTCTCCTTCCCCTTTGGCCCTCCCTTTTCCCCACGCCATGCTCTCAATTTTCTCAGGAGACTTAATCGTCATCATAGAGCCGTCATCCAGCAACTGATGGAAGCAGATGCAGAGATACATGGCTAAGCACTGGTCTGAGCTGCCAGAGTCCAGTCAAAGAGAGGGAGGGAGAGATACGAACAAAGGGATCAAGAGCATGATGTTGATACCCACAGAAACACCTGACCTGAGCTAGTGGGAACGCACTGACTCCAGACTGACAGTGGGGGAACCTGCATAGGACTAGACCCTCTGAATGTGGGTGACGGTTGTGTGCTGGGCCAGTTTGTGGGGCCGCTGGCAGTGGGAGCAGGACTTATTCCTAGTGCTTGAACTGGCTTTTTGAAGCCTATTCTTTTTGGGGGAGATGCCTTGCTCAGCCTAGATATAGTGGGGAGGGCTTTGGTCCTGCTTCAAAGTGATATGCCAGACATTGTTGACTCCCCATGGTAAGCCTTACCCTCTCTGAGGAGGGGACGAGGGGGGCAGAGAAGAGGGGGGGATTAGAGGAGGGGAGGGAGTGGAAACTTGGATTGGTGTGTAAAACGAGAAAAGATTGTTTCAAAACTAAAGAAAAAAGGAAAGCGAGAAGGAAATGGGGTGCAGTGAGATTAGGAGCAGGGGGGAGGCTGGAATTATTAACGCAGCTGTTTAGGGTATAAGGGATGAAGAACTTAAAAGTCAGAACCTAATGTTGGGTAAGGGAAAGAAATCACAGGATTTCTGGGTTAAGGGCAATAAAGACCAAAGGCAGGCAGGAGAAGTCGATCCAGGCAACCAGCGCCCATGGGCGAACAGGAAAGGGGAAGAGAAGTGGAGTTGTCTGGTAGATGAATTCCGAGATGCATCAGCAGTGAGGTAGGGTTTGGATGACGGTGGTGGTGGATGAAGCCATGGGACTCTGCATGCAGACAAGGCACGATTTGGTGTCGGATTGTGAGTGGGGCTCAAAGAAAACAGTCATTGAAAACGGCAATCAATCTTATCTCAGCAAAGGGTAATGCTGACGGTACTGGGAGGAGGAGGCCATGCTGTATGGGCAAAGAAGGCAGACTGAAGTGTTTTGAAGCCAGATACTACATTGCCTGGGTTCTACATGCACACAGTGCTTAAGTTGAAAGGGAGATTCTCCAAGGGCATTACAAAACAAATCCACTATGCAAGAGTGCTTAAGCGATTCGTGCCTCGTTTTAGTAAGTTCCCTTTAACTCCAACAGCCTTGCTGACTATCTCACAGAGCCATTTTCTCTGCACAGAAACCCTGCTTTACCGATGCATGCTTGCTTCGTAGGAGTCCTCTGGAATCCAGCGTGACATTTACAATAATAGGATCCAGGTGTGTTAACACAATCTCCATTAGTGCAGGGATTTGATGTGCATTCATCAACATCTGTGAGCAGCAAAAGAAACCATTACAGGCGTCACTCAATTTGCAGAAATGTTTGTTTAAAGTGCATTTAGCCTCCTAAACTTGAGAGAAGGCCAGCCCGTGGTAATAGTCTAAATAGCGGAGTATTTATAAATGAATGAAAATTCCTTTCCTCAAATACACAGTGTCCAATGTGAAGATTTACAAAAAAAAATAATAATGCTTATTGGAGAGTACTAGAGAATTTGCTTTAATCAGGAAATAATGATTTTTTTTCAACTGGAATAATGCCCAGTGATTAAGGGCACAGACCTTGAAAAGCAACAATGTGAGTTCCAACAGACTATAATAGGCAGTAACTACAGCAAGCTAGGCAACATAGTAGCCTAAGGCCTTAGACAATGTCATGAGAACAATGAATGGTTTCTAAAGATACACACACACGCACATGCATGCACACATACACGCACACACACATATGAACACTACATGTGGTCAATACAGTTAGTTTTAGAGAACAGGGCTGATGGACTATGGACTTTCTGTGCTACTGGGTTGTGGACTCAACTATCTAAACACAACTAGGTATTCACCGAGGCTTTATTTTGTAGTAACAAACAAAGTACACAGATAATGAAAACTGATTAAAAAGTGATTTTTTTTTCCCTATTAACTCCAGATTTTCTGCAGGTCTTAAAATTGGCACTGAGGATTTTTCTCACAGAGAATAGAATTCTATGCAATTACTACCTGATCTGAAAGACGAGAAAGCTGGAGTTTTTTGTATAAAGTCTTTTAAGGCTCAATTAAATGTGGCTCCATTTGGGTGTGTAAACAAAGCACTAGGCTTGACAATTCAGACCAGGCAAATCCCAGGGAAATCACTTGTGCCAGTGTAAGTTGAATTTATCCTCCCTTAGCAATGCTCACTAAATAATATTTTGAATGCTGGCAAGTTAAAGGAGCTGGCGTGGTGGCTTGCCATCCCAGGTACATGCAGAAGCCATCAGCATCATAATTTTAGCTACACTGGAGAAAACAAGGCTATCTCTTCGCAGGGTGACTATTTTAATAAACAGATCGCCACTCCTTCTACAGATGTTCATGCCACAGGACTGCGCTCTCTCAAACACACTAGCCTCATTTCTATAAACCTTCAGATGGAGTGCAATTAAACCCTCACTGGTAAAAGAAGACAAGGCAAAACAAAACCTCATGGTGAATATAATTAAGACAGCAAAGTTTAACAGGATTAAATGGTTTTTCAATTCATTCAAAGGCCCTTTCAGCCCATTAAGACTCACGTACATTGACACTTTTGGTTGATACCATCAATTCTACTGAGCCAAAGGAATGAAGCAGGAAAAACAGGGAAAGAGAGAGTTTAAAGCATTAGCAAACACAAGTGGTATTACCGGTGCATTTCCTACTATGAAACAGCACCTCCAGTGCACAATGCTGAGAATCACTTCGTTTATCTAGTTGGACTTTACTGACGTTCAACCATTAAAAAGGATCCACAGAGGTATCTTGATGGAAGCCCCAACATAACACTGTTTAATTGAATAAAATTAGAGCCCACACAGCCAACCTCCCTTTTCCAGGTAAACTGTCTGGGAAGCCATGGCAAACCGGAAGAGGCTACAGCCTTCAGCATGTCTTCTTCCTACTTTAAGATCCTACACCCATGGCTTATTGTTACCATGACAACTCTTCCTGCTACCCTGTCATTCAGCGATATAAAAGCTGTCTCCTAGTCTCCAAGGGCCCAGCCAACAGATAGGCTGTATCTGTTCATTTATTTTTATTTTTTCATTGGCAAATTAATTAAGTTGCTTTATATGTCCATATGCCTTTTAAACCTCATTTGTTGATTTTTGTTTGTTTAACAGGATTATGATTTGTTGTGTTCTGTTTTATTTTCTAGACAGGGTTTTTCTATGTGTATTCTTGGATGTTGTGGAACTTACTCTGTAGACCAGGCTGACCTCGAACCTCATAGACATCTGCTTACCTCTGCCTCCTGGGTGCTGGGATTAAAGGTGTGTGCCATCATGCCTGGTTGAATTATATGTAATTTTCATTTTTATCTTTTTTTTATAGTTCTGGATCAAATTCAAGATCTTAAGCATGCAGGCAAACACTTCATCATCGAGTTCCCGCCCCAACCTCCAGAGATTTGGTTTCAGAAGAAGCACAAGTCACTATCACTACCTTCTGAAATGTACATTTCATGTCTCTTCTCTATTCTGGGTCTCATATTCCAGTACGGCAAAGTGATCACATTCGCCTTTCTTAAAGGGACAGAGAGCCGGGCAATGGTGGCACACGCCTTTTATCCCAGCACTCGGGAAGCAGAGGCAGGCGGATCTCTGTGAGTTCGAGGCCAGCCTGGTCTAGAAGAGCTAGTTGCAGGACAGGAACCAAAAAGCTACGGAGAAACCCTGTCTCAAAAATCAAAAAAAAAAGGGGGGGGGGACAGAGATAAACAACTATTAGAGTCACTACACTTTTTTTTTTATGACTTCATTAAGGACTGAGAAGGGTTAAGAAGAATTCATGGGAATCTTATGAAAGAATTGTGAAAGTATTGACTATTAAAGTTGTTGAATTTTCAGACACTATTTGAGTTTAAAAGTTTATCCTTGAAAAATATTTTATATATCAATTTAGATACTTAATTTGAAGAGCTCCGTATTACCCGTAGCAGAAGAGGAATGGGTTTATTTCCCATTGTCCTATAATGCAATGACAAGAGGTAAAATGATTTTAACAACCGGGTGACTCACACAGGCACCAAGACACTGCAGAACTTCACACCAAAAGTAGAACAAGAAGATAAGAAGAATATGCTGAGTAAAGGCCACTGGTTTCAGGCTTCAGGGGCAATTCTAGAAGCAAGAAGGGTAATTCTAGAAGCAAGAAAGGCCAAAGGTTTTTTTTTTGTTGTTGTTGTTGATGATGTTGTTGCTTTAATGTTTAGCACAGTGATTTCCTTATGCTTCAGTAAGCATCTAACAGGAGTTCCAAATATAAAGGCAAATCTATTACTCCTCAAAACAATGCCCTATTTTAAGGAGGTACCATTCTTATTCTAGCTACTAGAATATTAACTACTAGTTAAGTATTCACACAGTTTTTCCAAAAATGCTAGTTTGTTCCTCATGAACTCCAAATGATTAAAATCTGACACCCCAGAAAGAGAATGGTAGGTTTAGAAAGACCAAAAACTTTTTTTTTGTTGAAATTGTGCTTCAGTATTAAGCTATGCCTGTGTGAATTATAATAGTGTGAAAGAGAACCTTGATGGGATTTCATTGTTGAACAATGAGATCCATCTCTATCGTAAGCATGCATATCTGGGCACACTGCAGAAGCTCTAGGCTTCCCTAACATAGTAAACCATGCAGATATACATTCTCAATGCCACAGCAGGCAAGGGTGATAACAAGTGTAACAAGAACCCTTCCTTCCTAGGGCTTAATATGCCAGGCCCTTCAATGTTAAATTTTTAACAAACTCATCTCCTGGGCATGGCTGGGTGTGATCTATGTACCATCTTCGGGTGAACTGAGCAAAATCCATGGCTATGATTCTGTGGAGGATGATGTTCAGGGAGTGGCATTTGCAGAGGGAAGTCAACTTGAACAACCCAAAGCTTTAGTGGGGTTCTAGCTGTCCTTTCTAGGCATGAGTCTAATGTTGGACAAATGGGTACACCTTTGGTTAGTATCTAAAAGTATAAGGTAGTTTTACAGATATGGCCATCTGCCTCACGACTTCAGACTTGGTAAGTTCAAATGAGGAACCTAAATAACAGATCCAGATACAGTTTTCAGTATCTGGGCAACACCATATGTGATGGGTTGTGATTCTCTTCAGTGATTCAGAACGTGAGAAGAGAAAAGGAGATGTGCTGAGTATGGCTTTTTATAACACCCCCCCCCAAGGAAATTCTGATTTATTCAGAGAGTGAAGTCATAGCTCCTATAGAGCCTGCTTCTGAGCTCATTGTCATGTCACCAGCTATGACTCTAAATCAATAGATGGAATTTAGGGACACAGACTTTTCAAGACTACTTTTTAAGAGTGAGAAAATGGTGGCATATGCCTTTAATCCCATCATTTTGGATGCAGAGGCAGGTAGATCTTTGGGTGTTCAAGGCTAGCCTGCTCAAAATCGTGAGTTCCATGGAAAGCCAGAGGTACACTGGCTTTTTTTTAAACTTTTTTTTTTTAAAAAAAAAACTTTTGTTTTATAAAAGGAAAAGTAAAAAGAAAGAAATGAAGAGAGATATAAATTGATAGAAAGATAGATAAATAGAAAGATAGATAGATAGATAGATAGATAGATAGATAGATAGATAGAGGGAGGTAGGGAGGAAGGGAGGGAAAGAGAGATGACAGCTTCTGAGTTCATATATGGCTGGTTCACATAATAACTGGTCTCGAGGTTTGGTCTATGGGCTCCTAGACGCCACTGGGATTTCAGGAACACGATTAAGAAACTTTTTCATTTTCACATGAAGATCTCACTGCCTTCTTCACTGTGTGGACGTTTTCAGTGACAGGACAAAGCAATGCTCGTGCCTGAGCCCAAATGAAAGCCACAGTGCCAAGGACACGCGGCACAGCAGAGCAAAGAACAGTCCTGTTCAGCAAAGAGCATTGTTTGTGACAGCAGAATCGTACCATACATACCCTGAGCTGTGAGTGTGCTTCCTAAACTCTCTGAGAGCAGGAACATATATTACACACCGTTTCTGACTAAGGCAACTCAGCTGTCTAAGAAATGAATGGCCGCACCGTTCTTTGTGAGCCGTGTTTTGTCACAGAATACCATGTTTCCTTGAAGATGAGCTGACATGCAAATCAAAGTTCTTCAAATGTGTGATTTGTAAGACATTTTCTTGAAGAAGAAAAACAAGAGCCTGTCTCTTTAAGGAAATAAAAATGTCTAGTTGATGATAAAGTTAAAATCCCAGGCTTAAAGTGGTTGAATTAGAAAAGAATACTGCTGATTTTCTAAAATTTAGCAGAGTTTCTTCTACTGAATCTGAAGGTGGCAATAGCAAATGAGTTTCTTTAATAATGGTGAAACATCTTGGCTATAGAACAACTTTTAGCACAGGGAGCCATTGTTTTTCTGGTGACACCCAATGCCCATTGAAAAATTCACCCAACATACAAGGCAGGCTGTGGACTGAGCACAACAATCAGACAGTTTGTTGATGATTCCACATTGCAGGGAAGCTGTAAGAATCACTGCTTATTAGCCTTGAATGGAATATCAGAGAAGATCCACAATTATCTAAAAATCCTTCAAGACATCCCTCTCCTTTCTCAAGTATTTAGCTGACATAAAATTGAGTCTGATTGCATTTTTTTCAGCTAAAACAACCTATCTCAGTTGACTAATACAGACACAGAGAGTCTCACTTCTTATTTTTGGTTTAGAAAAGACTCTCCTTTATTTTAGAATATATATATTTTTCTATACCTGGTACTTACATTGATATGCGATATTTATATTGTTATTTAAATTTGATTTAAAATTTATCTTTATGTTAAATTGTGTGTGTGTGTGTGTGTGTGTGTGTATCTGTGTGAATGCATGTCGCCTGTATGTGAGTGGCTGTGGAGACCTGACGAAGGTGTCAGGTCTCCTGAGACTGGAGTTATAGGCATATTCTTGGCCCCTTGACAAGGACACTGGACACCAAATACAAGTCCTGTGCAAAAGCAGGAAGTATTCTAAACTGCTGAGACATGGCTCCAGATTCTGTCATTATATTATAAAAGCTTTTATTTCTGACTATTCTGTGTGTGTGCGTGTGTGTGTCTGTGTGCTCACTCATGCATTTCAGGTGTATGGAGAGGACAGAGCTTGATATCTATGGTGGTTTGAATGAAAATGGCTCCCATAGGCCCTTAGGGAGTGGTACTTTTAGGAGGTGTGGCCTTCTTGGAGTAGGCGTGGCCTCACTGGAGGAAGTGTGTCATTGGGGGTGGGCTTTGAGGTTTCAGAAGCTCAAACCAGGGCCAGTGTCACTCTCTCTTCTTGCTGCTTGCTGATATAGATATAGAACTCCCAGCCACCTCTCCAGCACCATGTCTGCCTGCTTCCTGCCATGAGGATGATGGTATAAACCTCTGACCTGTAAGCCAGCCCCACTTAAATGGTTTCCTTTATAAGAGTTGCTGTGGTTGTGGTGTCTTCACAGCAATAGAAACCCTAAATAAAGCAAGCAACATCCCTGTTTTCCACAATTACTCTTCTTCTTCTTCCTCTTCTTCTTCCTCTTCCTCTTCCTCTTCTTCTTTTTCTTTTTTTCATGGTGACAGGATATGTTACTGAACCTAAATGTCCCTGACTGGCTAGACTGGTTGCATATCAGGTCTCAAGGGTCATCCTGTGTCTGCCTCCCCATTGCTGGGATTACAAGAACGTAATACTTTGAGCTCTACTTCCCATGCTTACGAAGTTCATACTTTACCAGCTTGGTCATCCCCATAGCCCTCTGTCTTCATTAGATACAGCCCTTCTGAATCTAAGAAATTAATGCATGTAGACCATGGTGGCATACTCCTTTGATCCCAGCATTCAGAAGGCAGACACAGGCAGATCTCTGTGAGTTTAAAGTCATTCTGGTCTACAAAGTGAGTTCTAGCACAGCCAGAACTATATAGTTTGTCTACATACCAGGACTACATACCTGGTCTCAGAAAACCAAAGGCAGGAGAGAGAGGAGGAAGAGAAAGAATTAGTTAATGGCTGGAGTCACGCAGTCATAGCCAGCACCTTTTAAGAGTTTAAATGAGTCAGGGACCATAATATGTGTATATTTATTAGCATTGCCACTTCAAAGGGATCAATGAATATTGCTCTAAAAATACACTCACTTTAAAAATTTAATTTAGAGTAAGGATAAGAAACTCTATAAAGAAAGGAAAAACAGATTATATGCAGGAAAAGAGAGAATTAGGAATTCTTGATGTGACTTAAGTCAACGACCAGTTAAGGGGTCCCAGGAGAAAGAGAGAGGCATACACATCAGAGAGACAGCACATGAATTAGTTTTACTTCAGAAGATCGTATTCAGTCCCATTTCACCTTACAGTCTAGCAGCTCTGTGAAAACTCAAGGAGGATTAAAGAATTGTGAGCTTACCTATGCAATCTCCATTTGCATCCTGTTTATAGCCCATGTTGCATTCGCATCTGTAGCTAGAAACAGTGGGTATGCAGCGTCCATTCAAACACAGGTTGGCGTGGTGCTTACATATGTCTATTGTCTGGTTGAGAATTGCTATGGAAAATTATGACATAATCAGGCTTGATCATCATAACATGCACTATTTCCTTGAACTGATTGTCTTAGACGCTTAATAGAACTTAAGTATATATCAGAAGACTCCATTACTCCATATTTTATTAAATTATATTTTTCATTTTGGAGGTGTTTGAAATATGTGTGTGTGTGCACGCATGCGTGTGTGTGCGTGTGCATATGCCTGTGTGTGCGTGTGTGTGTGCGCATGCGTGCGTGTATATGTGTGTGAGTGTGTATATACATGTGTGTGCGCGTGCGTGTATATGTGTGTGAGTGTGTGTATACATGTGTGTGCACGCGTGCATGTGTGTATATGTGTGTGAGTGTGTGTATACATGTGTGTGTGCGCATGCGTGCATGTATATGTGTGTGAGTGTGTATACATGTGTGTGTGCGCATGCATGCGTGTATATGTGTGTGAGTGTGTATACATGTGTGTGTGCATGCATGCGTGTGTGTGCGTGTGCATATGCCTGTGTGTGCGTGTGTGTGTGCGCATGCGTGCGTGTATATGTGTGTGAGTGTGTGTATACATGTGTGTGTGCGCATGCGTGTGTGTATATGTGTGTGAGTGTGTGTATACATGTGTGTGCGTGTGCGTGCATGTATATGTGTGTGAGTGTGTGTATACATGTGTATGCGCGTGCGTGTGTGTACTTTAGACATAGCCATTCTCTGTCACACTCACATTTTTATTAATTTTAATATGAAGGATCTTAAAAAAAACAAATCCTCGAGACACATGGTCACAAGTTACACTTGTTAAGTCACACATCTGGTAACTCTGCTCGTGTCTTTTAAAAAAATTTCAGGAATGTTCTACCATACATGTGAGCACTTTCCACTTTTTTTTTCTTTTTTGTAACTTGCTGAATATTTAGATGTAGCAAACAGGCAGCATGCCAGAGAGAATAAACATAGCAGCATGGGACATTATTAAATATTATTATCAAGAACTGTGCTTTTCAAGACCGAGCTTAAATGTCAAGCAAACAGATGCCAATTCTGCTCTGAAGCCCACAGTTCTCAATTTCAAGCGGTTTGACAACAATGGCAAAGCACGAGGGAAGGGGGATGCGTGCGTTAGGCTGTTTGGAGAGGCCCCCGAGCAGGGCTTGCTTTATCTCATCTGAGACACGGTGCTGGGACACCATCCACGCCATATATGAGGAGAGCAGCAAAACAGGCCAGATGAACTGAGTCTAAAACATGCTTCCTAGTGACGTCACCCAGATCGCATATTCCTGGACTCTCATTTGTATTTTTGAAGAGCCTAGCTCACATATTCTATTGTTCCAATTTATCAAAAGAATTGAAGGACAGATGAAATGTTTTCCTACCACATTTTCTTAAACTTAGTATTACTGTATTTTATATGCACACACACACACACACACACACACACTCTTACACACACATGCTTGTTAATATAATATCACGTGAGGCTGAAAACTCAAGAATCTAGAGGAAATGTGAGTACTTACTTAATCCAGTGATGATGGGTCCCTGTCCCCCGGCTCCTACTCCAGTTCCCCCAACACCAGGAGAAAAGCCGTTGCCTCCAGGAATGGGGAGGAAGCCTGCCCCTCCTGGGCCATAGCCATTGCCATTGCCCCCCGTGCCTCCAGGTCTAGAAACGGAACTCCCTGGAATGCCGCCCATTGGAAGGCCATCCAGGCACAGCCTACGGTATTCCTCTGTAAGAGAAAGAGTGGGGTTAAACACAAACAGAGTTCTCGCTGCAGCACTGAAGCAGTTGCCATAGGTCAGTTTTACTTGGTCTACACAATATGAATAAGAAGTGAAATATTTTCAATGATATATATTAACAAAAGCAAGGTATAGGTGTTTTAAAAAAATATTTAAAACTAATGATCTTCATTATTTTAACTGACTCGCACAAAGAGCCCTTTGTGTGCACCCCTGTATTTTAGTCCCTAAGTGTAACTCATAAAATTCCAGGCATAGCTATTATTGCAAGAAATTTACTTGAGCAGGTGAAAAGCTTTAGGGAACTCATTCTACGTCTTTGGTTATACTTGAATTCTCATCAGTATTATGTCCACCCAAATTTTATGTCTGTTTTCTTCATTTTTAAGTGATTAGATATTAATATAGATCCAGAACAAAGTTTTAAAATAAATTTTTGCTGTAGATAGTATCTACACAGCTTTAAAAAATCTTTACTTAGTTGTATATATCAAAACCAAGTAAGAAGAAGCAAGGCTGTAGCAACTGCCTAATTGTCCTAATTATCATGGAATTAGGGCCATATATTAGGGATCAAACTTGGTGGCGTCTTATGGTTTCATGCTTTTGAGAGAATGAAAAATGTCTCATTTTTCCTCTATAAAGGCATGAATAAGATGCCATTATTAGCAAATTTCTGAAGCTTGAATTATTTTTGAGTTTCAGAATTCCACATGGGAAAGATAACAAAAAAAATGTCAACATATTCGATTATGAGGCCGTGATCATACTTTACTATTCATGCTGTGTCTTCTTTTTCATCCTAGGGGATTTTTTTCAATAGAAAGTCACCTTTAAGGCACAGGCTACAGGAGGGATTGATCCTCAGGTCAGGAGAAAGGAAAGGAACTATGGTAAAGGACTGGCACACTACAAGCCAGTGGTGATCCAGATAAACATCTGGTCTGTTTCAAGAAGGGCAGAGATTACCAGTGTTACTGACTTTCTTAATACTGTTGCTGCCAAGGTGACACAACCCGCCACTCACCAGAGCCTCTGACAGGACAGGCCTCAGGAATGGTTCCGATGCCCCAGCAGCGGCCGGGCTCACAACAGCACTGAGCCTTTGCCATTCTACCCGGGAGTTCTTGTGCACAGCGGCCATTCACCAGGCCAGAGAAGCACGTACCCATTCTCTGATCTGAAGATGGAAAGGGAAAACAGAAGACATGGCGGAATTACCTCCAGTTGCTACAGCAACCATTTCCCATGTTAGGCGAATATAGGGGAGGTAAATTGCATTGATTTATTTTCCTTAAACCAGCTCATTCCTTTGCCATTTATTTTTTATTCATCTGATCATTGCTTTATTTATTTATTCAGGAAAGATTCCTTTAAATATACTGGTTCTATGATGAGTTCCTTGAATATGAAAATGAAAGACAGGTAACTCTGAGGCAAGCTTCAGTGGCAAGCCAGACAGGTCTGGTGCTTGGGGAACAGTAACAACCCAACCCCATCTTTGCAACCCTGTTTAGGCTTGATCAAAATCCTTTTAAAAAACAAGAACACCACCCCCCTCAAGAAAAAAACAACAACAAAAATAACGATGACATAGAGTTTTCTATGTATTCTAGGCCAGAATCACGCTTGACCTAGCAAGTCCTGCTCTGCCATTGAGATCCATGTAGCTGTTCACTCTACAACAGCATCTAACTGATGGATGTGCTGCTTTAAAGATCAATCAGAAGTCACCAGAGACGCTGACGTCTGAGTACACAGACTGCAACCGTACAAAACACAGGTTCCCAATTGACTAAAGAAGAGGGAATTGTAGAGGCTACTATCACAGAAGCCCTAGAGTCACTATGAAAGGATTATGGGATTTGAATGCCCTGTTGTGAGGGTTTGCAGATGGGATGGTTTAAATTAGAGAAAAGAAAATGGCTGACATGTTTAAGATCTTGACTATGGTGAGAACTTAGAGAAGAGAAGGAAGAGCCATGGAAAGGACACAGGAGATGTAATGGTCATGACTTTGAGGAAGGCAGTAGTCAGTACCATGTTGTAAAAAGCATTGGGCAGAGACATCTGAAGGCAGAGCGAATGGGAAGTCACCCACATGCTGGATATAAGAGAAAGCATGGTGGAAATTTCCTGAATTTTGATTTGCACATTTCAGATGGCAATGGCTAGGAAATAAACAGGCTGAGACAATACAAGCCTGTAATCCATCATACATTTGGGATGTTGGAGAAATGAGCTTGGAACCCAGGGGAATACTCAAGGCAGAGGTGTGTATCTGTAAGTTGTCATTGCATCTAATTAACTGAAAACTGTAAGGCCGTGAGATACCTTGTAAGAACTAAGGGTAACTAAGTCAGTCAAATATGGATGAAACATGAAGCAAGGTGATAACTCAGAAGTATCATTGAGTTTGGCAATTCAGTTATCGTAAAGCATTGGTACACTATCTGGAGGATTTGAGGTAGGAAAGTAACAGATCGAATTTGAGTCTCATAGATTTCATTCTGTCTGCTAAACTGAGAAAGAATCGGAGTGGCAGGAAACACTGGACAAAAGACTATCAACTCCGTACCACACTGAAATAAAAACCCAGGTCATCAGCAAACTTGATGGACAACCACCTTTCTTTTCCCAAAGGAAAAAAAAAGTTATGTCCAGTTAATCATGTGCTTTGAAATTTGATCAAGATCCTTTGTCACACAAATAAATAAACAACAAAGCCCCCTGGGTTCTAACAGGTAGCTAAGGTAGCCCTAGAACTTGCTGTGGAGTCCAGGGCAGCTTCAAACTCGAAACCACCCTTTCTGAGCCTCTGAAGTGTTAGATTATGAATGGATACCACCATCTTGATGGTTATGAAGATGTAGTCAAAGACATGTTCTCCATGATTGTAAAAAGGTACAGAGCAATACTGAGGAGCATTGCACCGATGATGCAAATTGACAGAGGGAGAATCAGTTTTCTCCACGGACAAGCTTTTCGACAGGTGGCACAGTCCCAAGTGATCAGTCCTAAATACAAATACATGCATCACTAAATGGACTCAATGAGCTGCACACACACGCACACACACATATGTAACAATATTAATTAAAGAAAAAGAGGTCATCAAACTGAGAGGGGCATGGGAAGAGTTGGAAGAGGAAGAATGAGGGACAGAAGTGATGCAATTACAATGCTCATAAAATTATAAAAAATTATCACAAACAATGCCAGTAATATAAACAGCTGACATTCTTGGCATTAATTCCATAGTCTAACATAAATACATCATTTCCTCAAATGGTCCATAGCGTCTTCAGAGGGCTTCCAACCTTGCTTGAAACAAATGATCTGGCTTTCAGATAGCCAGCAGGAAGTGGAATGCATCCTTTCATTTTTCAATAGAAGCTTAGCTTGCTCAAAAGCAAAGCACTTCATTTGTTGCATGTATGGCCTAAAGCCATGGGAGACACTGAAAATCGTAGGAGCTGGGTTTGAACAGTTTGTAGCTGGGAGTGATATCCCAGGTTAATTTCTATTGTGAAGTGAGACATGGGAACACATTTTAAAACATTCATTCTAGGAGCCAAACCGTCATATGCTTAGCTCTACTTGATGGCTGTACCTCTCATGAACAAAATGGAAATTAAAACAAGAAAGCCCTGGACTCTTAAAAATAATCCCCCAAACTATAGAATACAACCAATGTTACAAGGTAGGATGGAAACATGAAATTTGCCAAGGCTTCTGCATGAAGGAGGTTGTGGCACTTTTGACCCATATTTACTTCCATAACTGTATTTAACTCTTCTTACTCATGGACCAGGGCTGGTGGAAAAATGAAATAAAACAATAAGTCCCCCGGCCAAGTGGTAGATTGTCTACATGGTATGTCCCTTTTAATAAAATTACCCTGAAGTACAAACATGTATGAATAAAAAGCTCTCTGTTGGCCTGAAAAGCAAGATTAAAAGGGAGCCTCCAAATGAGGTGAAGATGGGCATCTTGGGACTTAAGTGTGCAGCTGGGTTTCACTTTTCAGTTTCTATTAAACAATGGCTTTGCCAAACCTGTTACAGTATCACAAGGCACAAGCATGCAGAACAGGAGATCTAGACACCGCCTACCATGGTGTAACAAAGACAAATGTCCTGAGGGCATTGGTGATCTAGTGAGGGCACTGAGAAATAATGCCTGTCTCTATTTGGAGCTGTGGGGAGAAGGAGGTAACTACCTTTTGAGAATTTATAACCATAGGCTCTTCCCATATAAATAGCATTGCTTTTACAATTCATAGCATGCTTCTGTTTTGACAGACGTCAAAGAAACACACTGTATAACTAGAAAAAGCCAATATAAGCAGAGCAGAACACTAAGAAAGTCTCAAGGGATTTTCGAAAACTTCCAAGAAACGAGACTAGCCAGCAGGGAAGTAAACAACACAAAGAAACAAGCCTCGAGGAAGCAAAAGAAGCTGAAGGAGCACTATTGACTATTTTTGGTAACAGAATGATCAGACCAGTCGGGCTAAGCATTAACCATTTTAAATCATTAATAGTTAAATACTGATTATCCACTAAATTGTTTTTAAGGTTTAAAGTGGTGAACGTCTGAACTATGGATAGTGTAAAAGAGGCTGCACACAATGGAAGAACTATCGTAGACAAGCTCTATGGAGTCTGTGCCTGAGAGGGTCACAGCTGGTTAAGGAACCTCTCAAATACACCAAAGAAGGCTGCCACATGCAAATTAAGAGCGGTTACTGCTGCAGTAGGTGTGTGCACACTGGTGTGTGCGCACGGTGTGTGTGCACTCACTCTCTTCAGGAGAGTTCTGAGACTGGGATCGGAAATGCTCTAAGAAGCCTGAGAAATGTGGAGATGAAGGAGGAAGGGTTATGATCTGATAAGAGTATTGGAAGAAGGCCTAGAGAGAATAACAGGATGTTCTACAGATACAAACCTTCCAGAATTTCCAGCAAGGTCCTAAGGCAAGCTCAGACCTAAGAAAACCAATAAATCCAAAGTGGGAAAAAGAAGAGGAAACCCAAACTATACAAACTAATGCTTATAGAAGTCCATGGTAAAAACTTTAAGTAAATCTAGTTCCATAGTAGAATGGGAACAGCTCTCTTGGTGATGGACAGGAGGAGAAATCTGGACAACGAAGTCACTGAGTTTGATCTCACAGACATATCTAGAGTCTATCAGCCATATGCTCTAGCTATTTCTGTGAGATCAGGTCATATCACATATGACCTGAAGAGACATGTGTGGAATAGTTAGTAAAACTAAGCATTTTCTATGCCACCAGCAAACACCAGACACTTCTCTGATCTGAATGGATGTCATGAAATTGGTTATCAATAGCAAAAGAAACCATGAGCACTCTACACACTTCAGCACATCTCCTAAACCAGGCACAATATCCATTTAGAATAAGGTAATGTGTATAAACATGTAATGAGCGATGTGGCAAGTGCATCAGGGGGCCGTCCTATATGGGCTCCAGACATTGGTTGTGGACTGGTGATGTGGGAGCCGTCTCCTTATACAGGCTGGGATACTGCAAATTCGGAAACCTGCATCTGCCATGGGTACTGAGGATGGAGTAGTTGTGCTTCCCATTGGATACACACAGCTCTGCTTCACACTGATGGATATACCAGTGGGATCAAGAAAACAGGACTTCATTAAAAAAAAACATTGCACATTAACTAGCCTTTTAATTATGTATTTTAGTTCACATATTACATTGCCATCACATAGGAATGTGGAAAAAACTGATAATAAAAGAGTCTATGGTTTGGAAATCTCGAGCTAATGTCGCACACACTTAGAAAACTGGGCCATATGTGTGAGGGTAGGGGCAGAGAGGGAGTACTGTATAGAAAATAATGTTTTCACAAACTTCATGATCCCTCTCCTCTAATAACAACCAAGAGATAGATGGCATACTTCTAATCAAAGCACACAGAATATTCTAGTACGAGGTATGGAACAGTGGCATCCATGGTTAGGGTTGACAAAAAGATGTCCTATAAAGGAAGCCAGTTCAGTCTGGCCGAGTGTGCCTGTAATTGTTTTTGCAAAGCACTGCATTTTATCAAGAAAGAAGACATTTAGAAGAGTACCTGGCAGAAATGGAAGCTTCCCAGGGACATTATTCCTTGAAGCAAGGGTTTATTAGAGCCAAAGCAGAGAAAACCCATGAAACAATGGTCCTAACCCTTGGTGCGCACTCAACTAGACGGACACAGCAAGGAGAACACACTAAGTCCACTCCGCTAGTCATCTCCTGACTTTTTAATTGCCCAAGCAGACTTTGTAAGTCTTGTTTACCACTGTCCCCAGAAAGAGGAAACAATTTTCATCCTCTGAATAAAGTGTAAATCTTTACTGAAACAAAATCAAGGTATGGTCATCGGAATGTGCCTCACGGCTGGCATTTACTCTAAATTTGATTGATGAGAACTGAAGAGGAATGACAGGGTGCGCTGGGTGATGAATCCTTGGGCAAACTTGGAGGTGACAACCTGAGCACGTATGTTTGGGATGAATGACCTCTGCTCATTAAAACAGAGCAGAGAAGTTTCATCCAGGTCAGAATACTCATGACAGTTAGTTCCCTGGCACTGGACAAACATCCACATCTCTGTTGGCCTAGCTCCAGTTTGGGCTACTGTGGATTAACTCCACAGATCTGTCTTTTCCCAGGATACTTTTTATGAAAACTTCATGAGGATGTTATTCAATAGAAACTGAACTAGGGACAAAAAAAGAAATTGAACCACAGTGGGAATCAGGCTCACTGCTTCCCTTGAGGTAGTCAAGATGCCTCCTTGTCTCATTTCATCTCTGGGCACTCCTCCTTAATTATTGGTCTTCTTTTATATGACTGTGAACTAGTTACTACACTGCTCACCCTGGATTTCCCTGTGGGCTGTGGGGAGCTAATCTCTGGTCCTCATGCTTGAACAGCAAGTACGTCATTGAGTCCCCTCCAGCCCTCTCCTTTAGAAGTTTAATTATCAACCTTTAAGACATTTTTGTTATTCTGCGCATGTGGAGGTTAAAAGACAACTGTGTGGAGTTGGTTCTCTCCTTCCACCTTTCTGTGGGTTCTGGAGATCAAACTGAGCTCAGCAGGCTTGCATATGGACTCTACTGCTGGGCCATTTTGCCAGCTCTCGCCTTTTCTTTTTCTTTTAGCAGTACATATTACCTTAAAAGTATTTAGCAGTGAGTTACTTCTTCCCTCAAACACACACACACACACACACACACACACACACACACACTTTATATTTTCATGTTTGTATCCTCAGGACGTTCCAGGTGATGCTGTGTACCGGAACATGGAAACGTGTAAGGCAGGAGGGGAATGTTTTAGAGGGTTGTGACAACATCACGCTCTGCAAGAGTTTCCAAATGTTTTAATCTCTTCTTCTAAACTTTTCTTGCCTCTCATTGCCTGGCATTCACCAGTCCCTGTTGAGGGCTGATGCTAGCTCTGTGGGCAGAAAGAGGCAGCCGCCCTCGCCTGCACCCAGCTTGCTCTATGCAGCTTAAATAGTCATGACTTATTACTCCTTACGCCAGTCATTCTTCAGAGCCTGTATTAAATTGTGGAAATTAGGTATTAATGATGCCCAAGGGGAACAAATTCCAAAATGACATGAGGCTCATTAAATAATGCTATTAAAATGCTTTTAAGGAAAAATACGATTAGTGACACTTCAATTCTTTTTAAATGTGGTATGTTAGTTTCCAAGTTAAAGTTTTCCTTTTCCTAGACATAAAAAAAATGATTAACACGCTAGGTAACATTAAGTTAGGATTTGTCTTCCTAATTTAGCATTAAATGAAATGGGAGGGCTATGCTATTTGAAAGTTGAAATGACTAGCTAAATGCTTCTGCCCCAGGAAACTCTTCTCTCGTCCGCAGGAGAAGGATTGAGTTCCCAGACATTTTACAATGTGGTTTAGACTCAGCATATTGGCTTCGTTGATTTTCGTATGATACTGTAGGGAGAACTGTGTTAACTAGGAAGAGGAAGGAGGGCAGATCCAGCCAACATCGCTCAGAACAACGCTGCAATAGCATGAAGCGTCACACCTGAGACCATTGTAAGTTTATCCCGCTCAGTATCATTAGTATGTATACTATGTATTTACAAAACAAACAGAAGGAAATTCATATATTCACGACATAATCGTCTATCATAAATGAATTCAATCTAAGAACATATACACACAAGGTTTTTAAAACTCAAAACCTCTTACATGTTAAGATGCTGTATTTTTTCTCAAACAAAAACACATATTTATTGAAAATAAAATGTGTTTATTTTTTAAACTAAGCTGCTCACTTAATTTTATCAAAAGCTTTATAATTTCTGGGAGTCATTTTTCACTTTTCTGTTTTTGGGGTGCTCTTCCTCTGTCCAATGCGATAGAATATTTCCTCTGAAACGAAGGGTATTTCTGAAGGTCCAGGACTCAGCTTCTGGAGTCAACCTGTGACGTATCCAGGACCATGACTGAGCACTGCATCATTTTGCCCATCACAAAGCCAAATGATGCCAAGATGTCATTCACCAAAAGAGACTCCTATATTCACTATCACTTTACTCACAAATTTTGTGGTTTTCCCACTCATTCAAATGCACTGACATGGCAAGAAATTCATACAACATTTAACATGAAGCCTGAAATCCACAAGGCCCACGAGGCTGACGAAGGCAGGAGCCCAAAGTCTGGCTGGTGGGAAAAGCACAGGCACTTGTGAGAGGACAATAGACCTTGAGCCACAGGACATGGCTCATGTGGAAGGGGCTCCATCATTGTGTCCAAGACCAGAGTTGAGATGAGGTAGGGGTGGCTATTAAAACTAATTCCAAATTTGAGGCTCAGAGAATGAGTGAGCTTCATTGGGTGTGGAACGGAGAAATCACGATAATTCGGGCAGAGGAGTCTGTAAGCAAACAGGACAATGCTACCATACTTCACAGCGAGAGATGGGCATTTAGGTCGGTTGTGGTGGCGCACGCCGGTAGGATTTGCTGAAGGAGGCAGAGGCAGGAGGATCACAAGATGGGCATTTAGGTCAAAGGTGGTCACAAATGAACCCTGGATACAAGCTCAGTGAAGACTAGCAAGAAACAAACAGGTTATTCTCATTTAATGGTGAGACAAAGAGAAGAAAGATAACTAGCCCGTAAACCTTGTGGTGTAGATGTATCTGCCTTTCCCTGCTTCTCCTAATAACAGCAACAGTGATCACAATGAGATTACTTCATCAAACACTTCCGGTAATGTTAGTGGAGAGGGATCAGTAGCTTGCCTGAGTCCTGATAGGTGGGACTGAGGGTGTACAGTGCCTGAGGGTGTGAATTGTATATGTCACATGTCATATACAATTCATGACAGCTGTGACTGTCACTGACATGTCTATCCTGTGATCCTATTATCTGTGATGACAACATGACCCTCTGGTGACAGAACACACACCTCTCACCCTCCCTGATGGATGGATGGCCATAGCTAGCTTAGCATCAGGGAGATAAGATATTTATCAAATGGTTTTGAGCCATAGCCCTTTATCGCTGGTGTGATATCTTCAGTTCATCTCCTTAACTCTGTAGTTCCAGCTTCTGAACTGGTTCACTTGGTACTGTCACTAATCCACTAACCCCTCAGGGAGCTACTCATACACCAACTGTCGGACTGGGGAAAGCTTCATTATCCCATTTATTCCCTCCAGTGGACCATGAAACTCTATTCTCCGGGCACTAGACTAATTTCCTTAATTCATCATCACATAAATCTTGAGTGCTGTTGTAGAAACTGTACATATTTCTCCCTCTCTTTGTAGTTATTATCAGCTCAATATTAGTGCTGACCGGGATGAATGCCCAAGGCAAGAATTGTGAAGGTAACTAACTATACTATGATTGTACGTCAAAGGGCATTTCCTAATCTCTGGGCTCACGCAACAGAAGCCTAAGGCATGCTTCCTGATGGATAAACTATACCATGCTGCAAAGTACAGCTTCATCTTTTCCAACAGAGCAGACCATGTAAGTATATTTGGCTTTAATTTGAATACGCTGGAAACACAAAATTAGGAGTGCCAACTCCTCTTTGTAATAAGTACTTCTCACCAGAACAAACAAGCTTTAACTAAATAAGATGCTGCCTGTGTTCACAATGCACAGTAACAGATGAATCTTTAATTACTATATCCCAGCTTCCCACGCAGATTTGACATCTTTCTCTGGCTGTGCCTGCAACATTGGGCAGCAGTTACATCCCGAGCAAGTCTTTCTTCCAAAGAAATGATTTTGACAACATAAAACTAAGCCAGATGGCCCCGGAAAGCGAAGACTTTACAAACAGTACTTGGTCTAGCAACCCCTCAGTGATGCTAAATACTGCAAAGGCTTTAGAATGGCCCTTTGGTCTATGTCCATTTCCCAATGGTTTTATAATCGTCACCTACTTCATACCTGTTTGGCCTGTTCTGTCCTCAAGAAACAGCATATTGTACCTTCAAAATGCAAGGCTTACCAATGCACCGAGAGCCATCTGTGGAGGAAACGAAGCCACGCGGACAGACACAGAAATAGCTTCCCACGGTGTTGGAACAGTCGCCGGCTTCACAGACCCCAGGAACCACGCTGCACTCATCGATGTCTAATCAAGGGAAGATAATTGAGAAAGGCCTTCATTAAACAACAGGATTTAGAAAACCAGGAGGGCACTCATGGTTGATTAGGCCAGATCATGTAGCCCCGAAGATACTCTTGTTTCAAGCCCTAAGGAATTTCTCACACATATCTATGGGAACGGAGTTGAGTGTCACATCCCAGGGCAGCAAAACAAGGCCAACGAAAGCAAAACTCTATATAGTCCTTTCCGCTCAAGCGCAACTTAAATTGCCAAAAAGACGTCAACGTTTAAGTTCCTATTCTACACCAGCGAGGGAAAGATCCTTCTGTAGCCCTTCAAAAAACACAAATACAATTACCTTTTTAATATGGAATAATTAAATACAAACATAGCAAATTTTGACAAAAAGCATTGGAATCAACAAAGGCTATCAGATTATTTTTTCCTATTTGGCTTTAGGATGTGCTTTTGGTATGTGCATTTGGATGTTGGTACATTTGACATCCTGGGAATAACTTCACTTTGAACAATAAACTACGACAAAGCGAAAAGCTGAGAGGCACTGGATTTTCCTTCTGCGGCTCTCTGTGTTTCTTCACTCCGCTTCATTCTGTGAATGGACTGTTTCCTTGCACAGGAACGAAAGCCTGCTTTTTCTTAAGTTGTCCTAAAATGGGAAACCCGAGCGTTTCTATAAGCTTTCCTGTACTTCTTCTCTTTTAATCCCAGGGGCAGAGAGAGGTAGAAAGTCAAACAAAACCTCATTTAGGCACACTGGGAGCTGAAGGCTAATCCCTTTTACAAAAGGAAATGAGCCACTGGGAGAAAACCCAGCCAGGGATACCCAATTGTTGGCATTGTTCTCAAAGACACTGGGGTAGGAAAGACCACTGAACAGAGGAAGCAATTATAAAAGTCATAAACATAATTACTTAGAATCAAAGTAAATGGGAACTTGTTGTTTCTTTTATGTTCTTGTCCTCTTGTGCTGTATACATTCTTTTAGAATGTCTCAATTTACAAGACAGGCAAAATAACTGCATTTTAATTATAAGTGAGAGGGAAAACGGTTAAGCTCCATCGTTACACCCCTCCCCATGAGCCCGGGGAGCCCTGCAGAAGAGGCCATAGGAAGGTTGAAAGGGATAGCGAACTTTCACAGGGAAACGGTCTTTCCTGGGCCTGGCAGTACACATAAAGGTCACATTAACTCTCAGGGGCTGTGTGACAGCATGTACAAGACATGCATAAGACGGAGCTAGCCAAAAGGCCAGCATGGAGAAGGGAGGTGGACAGCAAGGCCCACGCTTAGCTGAGAAGCAACTCAGGGGCTGCCTGGGGAGGGAGAAGCAGTTTTCTTCAGGGATATAGTCCCTGAGAAGCTAGCCCGGAGTAGCTGGTCCTATATCAGTTCACACATGGGCGGCGGAAAGTAGACTCAAGAGTGTTTAAAATCAGAGCAGTTGGGGGAAAGAAAAGTAGTGAGGGAGAAAGAGAAGGAACTGGAGGGGGGAGGATGGGAACATTTGATCACACACATTGCAAACAAGTATGAGATTCTTAAACAATCGGAAAGTAATGAAAACTATGAAATGAAAAATATAAGAAATGATAATAAACAGATAATAAATAAGAGTTTTAAATAATAATACATAAGGTGAGCCATCCCTTTTTGATATCCCTCTATTGTTCCACTCATTTTATTTTTTGCCCGTTTATTCTGATAAATCACCACAAAGCAACCATTAGATTTTTTTAAATGTCCTTTGTAAAAAGAAGGTCAACATTAGGACGTCCTCTAAAACGCTGCCTTCTTTGGAGATTCCGCAGCTGCTGAAGGGCAGAGGCGCAAATCCACACCTACCAATCCCCCCGAGAGATCAGAAGTCTACCAGGAACTGCCCACACAAATGAGGAGCAAATGTGTAAGCGGTTAGAGCCCTCCCATCAGCCTTCGCCCCACAAAATGAAACCATGTGTGCAAATTAGGACCTGTTGCATCCGGTGCTGCCATCTTCGTGCATGCTGCTCTTCCATTCGCTGGAAAGCAGCATAGGCATGAAGCTGGGACAGACTGCAAACCACAAAGATCCCGATAAACTGCCTCTCCCCAAAAAAGATGAGACCGAGCATAGCATGATGGGAAGCAGGTGGCACGAGCGGAAGGCTGGACCCGGCATCGTATTGTCTTCATCATCCAAAGTATTAGCAGCCCAAGAGTTCGGGTGGTTTAGGATTACTGAAAATTCTTAAATATTATAAAATCTCATGTCCTTTCTTTGAACACTAACTTTAATTTGTAAGCATTTCCTAATAAAGATCTTTTTTTTTTTTTTTGGTTCAAAACTGAAAAGTGAAAGATGTTTGACATTTGGGAGGGGGTATTTTTGAAAGAAATATCTGGAATATAGAAATAGATGCTATGTTTCCTAGTTTGTTTTCTGTTGTGATACAACACTTACCAAAACCAATTGGGGCAAAAAAAATTGTTTTATTTTACAGTCTATAGTCCATCATTGAGGGAAGCCAAGGCAGGGCCTCAAGGAAGGAACCTGGAGACAGGAACTGAAGCAGAGGTCATTGAATCGGGTGGTGATGTGATATTACAAAAACACCTCTTACATTCTAAGAGACTGGGACTTTGGCTGGACATCACAGTCCAAGTTAATAATACACCTTGAGGTCTCTTGAGGCTTAAGACCGCTATCCTATTGCGTAGTCAAAGAGTTCGCTTAACCTGCTTTTCAGAGAACAATGTAACAGTCAAGCTTATGTGCTCGGGTTTCCCATGTAAGCAACTTTTACAGCCTAAGCTAGTGCATAGCTGTGACCTTAAACCATACACCCTTCTACACCCTTGACCGAACTAATGAGTGTGCATCATTTGCCGAAAGCAGCAAACACAGAAGCTGAAAGCAACTTCTGAAATTTGCCATGTAAAGTTGAAGGCAACCATGTATGGATATTGGCTGATAAGCCATGAAGCTTGCTATCTGGGTAAGTTTAGATGAGTCGGAGCCAGTGACTTAATCCAGCGTAAAACTCTGTTAAAGATTTCTGTAAACCCTCACCTTCCATCCCCGTGGATGCTTCCTGTAAGGTTCAATAAAGATAGAGCAAGGCCCTGTGCAGTGAGGGACAGACATTCGGATACAACAGGCAGACACAAGTACAGAGGTAGACACAGATTCAGACTCACAGATTGCAGACAGAGAGGAGACCCGAGACACAGGGAGCACAAAGTGAAGGATGCAAATCTAAATTTGCTCTTGTTCAAATGACTGATGCCAAGGGGCAGTGCCTTTCATTCCTTCGTTCAACATCAGTGCCTTGTTGGGACTCAGAGTCCATCACAAATGCGCTTAGTCAATGCAGAAGAGTGCTGCTTACAGCTTTCTCCTCATGGCTTGCTCAGTGTGCCTTCTTCAACCTCCCTGAGATACCTGCACAAGGATAGCACCATCCACAGTGGACTGGACCCTCTCACATCAATCAGTTTCTGCTCCACACATTTCCTCATAGGCCAATCTGATGGTACAGAGAAAAACTACATTCTTTTCCTGGCTTGGCTCAACTGTACATATCCCACTTTCCTTCACCTAGTTCTGTTTCCTGGAAAGCTTCTGGAAAAGAGGCATCCTCAAAAGCCCTCCATGAGCACCAGGAACAAGTGATAAGATTTAGGAAGTGCTGCTAGAACCCTTCCTTTCCACCAGTGCCAGCAGCCTGTATCCTTAGATACAATCTGAGGAACTTGTAGGTGTATTGGTGGGAAGCAGGCAAATCCCTGAGCTGGGATGTGATGGATAATCAATCGCTGCATGTTTTAGTTCGAATAGGGCAATGCTGGTGTGATATAATAAATTGTAAATGGAAAGCTCCTGCTTGCTTTCCCCCTCTTGGGTTTGGAGAACACAACATAAACGAGCTGCTCTCAGAGTTCTGTTGTCTATCAGGGGCTTATGGGAAACTTTTCCTCTACTGAACACTCCGCAACTTCACCTTATAAATTTCTGCTGTACTTTTCTAAAAATAGTGCAGGGCTGTACGACCATCACTGCAACCTAATTTAATGACACCTTCACCCCTCCCGGCCAATTCCCCTCCGTTATTAATCACTCTTCATAGCCACCTGCAAGCCCTGGCTAACCGTTAATCTAGACTGTCGTAACACAACTGGCTGGTCTGCACAGTCCATGCAAATGAGATCATAAAGTAGGTAGCCTTCTGGGACACATGGCTTTCAAGTAGCTTGACATTGGCTATGCTGCTCTGTGCTGTGGTGTGTTTTCGCATTTTTTTCCCTTGGAGTGGCTGTATGCATGATGCACCTTATCATTCCTTGTGGATATTTGGGTGATTTACATTTGGGAGCTAGTGGACACGAAGCTGTCACCAATGTGATGTCTAAGGTGTCACAGAGACCAACTGTCTTCAAAGCAGCAGTGACATTGTATACTCCCACCAACATTGTATGAGCACTCCAGTTTCTCCATATTGTCACCTACATTTATTAGTCTCTTGTTTGTTTCCTGCAGTGTTTTTTTTGGGGGGGGGTTTAAGTAGGGGTACAAGTGTTATTATAGCACAGTGTGGTTTGTATTTCCCTAAGGATATCCTGCTGATATTTCAATGTGGTGCTTATCAATCTTTTGTATATCTTAAGAAAATGTATTTAATTCCTTTGCCTATCTCAAAAAAATGGACCGTTTTATTATAGAGTTTTGTGGCAGCTTGTGAGAATGGCCTCTATAGGCTCATATGTTGGAGGACTTGGTCTGCAGTTAGTGGGACTGTTTGGGAACGATTGGGAGGTGTGGCCTTCTAGGAGGAGCTGTGTCACTGGGGTAGGTTTTGAGGAATCATTTCCAGAATGCTCTCTGCCTTCTGCTTGCACTTCAGCAATGCTAAACCTTCTATTCTGAAAAAGTACAGCCTATTTCCATTTATTTAGATCTTAATTTACTTCAACACAATTTATAGTTTTCAGTATGCTTGTCTTTTGATTTGATCTTATTATTAAT